TGATTTAATTATAAAGAGTCAGAAATATTTACCTTTAGTACTAACTAGTTTAAGACAAAATGGAAATCCAACACCATTACTAGTTCCTGTCTCCATATGCAATTTCACAGTTTCCGTTGGACTAAAATCAAAACTGGCTACAGTTTTAATATAATTTTCACCACACGAATACAGAATTTCACTCTTATTTCTATATACAGAGTATAATGAATAGTCACACAGGTTCGATGCAGTTGTTACATTCATTATTTCAATTTTCACAGGATCCTGATTATATTGAGTTAAACTAATGGTACAATTACAGTCAATACCATTTGTGCCGTTATCTATTCCAGATAAATAAATCTCTCTCTGTCCACTCATTTCTAGGCTACTACAAAACGGAATTACAGGTGGCACATCTTTAAAAAAAAAACAGTCATGTAAACTGCCCAACTCAATAACTGGGTAAATGAGGGTAAAATGTTAATAAAGAAACGATATAGATTACGATTGCATTTGTTCTAATTTGAAATCCAGAATGGATAGTTGAAGACATGAAGATAAAATAACGTCTGATATATATTGTTTAATTTGGAGCGACGATGGCTCGATGACCTTGAGGGCCCGTGTTCGATCCCGGTGTTGGCCAAGAAATTTCATTGGGATTTTCAGGTGTGGTTCTTCCTTGTCAGCGGTGCAGGACGCGGGTGGGGTGGGGCTGGCATTGGAACACGTATAGTCGTTCGGATGGGACGAAGCCAGTCGGTGCATGTGCCCAGTCGGTGTATAACGTTAAACCCCATTTCATTTCATATTGTTTAATGCTTTTAAGATATGTTATTATACCTCACATGACTGAATCGTGCCAAATGTTTCTCAATAAACAAAACAACTGAACATAAGAATTTCAACATAAAACCTGTTCAATGGCAAGAATAGTTTCATCTGTGTACAGTAATGGTCAATAGAATTTATTTTGTGTAATATTATCGCAAATCTAAATGTTATCTTAGTTGAATTTACTTACTCGAATTTGAGTTATCACAGTTCTTACTGGCTGAAATAAAAACAAGACAAAATGATCAGCAATAAATAATTGCTTGGCCGCTCCTATCATCAATCGGGATAACATTGGGGCGAGTTAATTGATTCTCAATATTAACCGCACGTGACATTAAAGGCCAGTCATCTCGTACAGAGTTAAAAGACTTTCGCATTATTGTTATTAGGAATTAAATTGGCATTTTTTAAAATAAGAATTAAGTACATATTTATGAATTAAGCGCCCCGATAAAACGTCATTCTTAAAGTGTGTTCTGATTAATTATTTTATTAAAATGGTACTGCAGATAGAGAGGACGGTTCTGCTAATACTGGCGTACATCTTATGGTCCAGGAAGTGGACCCCTCGGGCAACTTATTATGTGGTCCTTCTTGGGGGCGACGCTCTTCGAAAAAGTCCCAAAGGTTCCACCAATTTAACTACGACTGACCAGAAATGTGAACGCTACAGTTCCAAGATGACCGCGATGATATCATACTTGTTTCCTGGTTCATTGTACACTCGTAATGTACGTGCACACTGGTGTTTTGACAACGATCTAAGATAAAAAAAATTGCAGTATAAAATACGTTTATTAGATTGGACAAATAATTTCCGAATCATATAAACCGATGTAATTCTCTAAATACTGAGGTATTGTGGTCTCTGCAGTGGATTTTGAACATAATACCTGCTACTTTGTATCTTGTAAAGAAGATTTATGCATTTTGCTTATACGAATGGCATGTAGCCTAATTACATTCTTCGAACGATAGTCAATCATTTGGAAGAATCGGGTATTTCAGATCAATCCTGCCATACACCGCACCGGGCCTGTTATTTATGAATTTATTTACGATTGTAACTATGATATTTCAAAGAGATATACTGAATAATATTTACTTACCCACAACACCAATATATAATACTGTAACGGCCACGCCGAAACTAAATACTTCCCTGTGTGATCTGGCCATGATTCACGGGTGTTCATATGACCATTTCACTGTTAAACTTATGCTCTGAAACTAGTTTCCAAATTACACAAGCACTATTATTTAACACACTTCACTGTAAAGCTTATGAGATGAAAGCACTAGTGAAATTACACAACCGATATTATTGAACATATTTCTGATTTATATCTTGTTCTTGTGGATTTATACATTTATAAAGCGATCAAACATTTTTCACAATAAATATGTATACGTTGAGCTTTATATTTAAACAACAATAATATACTTCCTCATTACCGGTATATTTATAATATATAACTAGCAATTGGTTACTCTATTCATATTTGTACAACACATGCATTTAATACATAAAGGATACATTGTTCAAGTTTCAAAATAAAGCAACACAACCTCTTCAAGTTCAGCAGCTTATAAACAACTAATATGTTATCTATTTAAATTATTCTCACCATAAGACAATACAATACACACGCCAAGGTTAAGACAGGTCTTGTTGTATTTTGAAATATTTACATTCACTGAGTCACGTATCATCAAATACAATATCACATATAAAACAAATGATTTATACGATAATATCCAATATGATATATCTCATCACATTATAACCACTCATGTCATACGCTGACATCCAGTAAGATATCACATATAAAAACCCATGTTATTCACTGACATCCAGTACGATATCACAAATCACATAACAAAAACATGTTATACACTGACATCCAGTACGATATCACAAATCACATATAAAAACCCAACAACTTAAAGCGGACGTGGAAGCGGACGTTAATTAAAGCTATTTCACACACACACAACCATCACATTACCAACCGTAATTAGGTGAACGTATTCCGTTATCCGATTACATTGCCCCATCTTAAATCATACATCCATTACGAAATCACATACAACAATCCATGTTGATACACAGAAAACTAACTAAATTAACACTGTAGGTGATGTATCAATTTTTTTTATATATGTATGAAACTCGGGCTACCGTGACCACATACTTTTGTTACTAAATTATGCATTTATAAAGTAGACGACGTGTTATTCACAAAGAATAGGTTACACATCAGTAGTATGCGTATGACGCGTATGCGTATTTTACTTCCTCGTTTCATAACCCAATAACTAAACGAGGGGCTTTTTTGAGTATAATATTATTAGTGAGTTTTAATAGAAGTTGACAATAACCAATCTAACTATAGCAATAATACAGACACACCCACGTCAATGAATGCCTGTCACATAGTACAGTTAAACACACATTATGCAAGAGCTAAATCTGCCTATTGCAGGTCTTTCTTAAGGCCTGAAATGTTTTCTAAATTATTAATTAGACATTAATTAACTTATCCAGGCCATAATCAACTCTCGATGGCATCGGATTTCTCCGATGTTAAATAGATTAGAACAGTTCAGCCATATTTTGGTTTAAACTAAAAATGGAGGAGCGAGACTTAGCTTCGAACAACTAGTACAGTGGTTGAAATTATTGCACACGTCTTGTCAAACCTTCAAAGGCTAATATCTTCGCTCGCAATAGAGTAATTTGAATGAAATTTTCAATTTGTTCATTTTACATTATCTATTCTCGAACTATTATAGCAAGAATGGCTAGCTCTTTATCTAAATCTTTCATAATGTATCTTTAATAAAGATTTTAAAGCAGCAATATTGTTATTAATTATAAAAATTCTTGAACCACGAAGTTAGAACGAACATGCCATGTTATTTATAACTAAAAGTAGTAATATTGCTATTAATTTATAAAATCGTTGCATGAAGTTAAAGAATGCTATATTATGGTCATCTACAAACTAGTTAAATCTTACAAACCTCCGCGTTTGTCAATTACAAAGTTTGAAAAGTCGAGAAGTCTAGAATTAGTGAATGTGAGACGTCTAGAAGTCGAGGGACGAAATGGCGAGGTTTGTGGAACGCTATAAAGTGAGAAGACGAGGAACGAGGTAGTGGCCGGAACAGGCTCCCATTAACAACTGCCTTATACACATTATAACATTTACAAAATACTGCAGCTATTATTACAATAAATTTGGTTGAAATCCATCAGTCCCAAATTCACAAAGCATTCTCAGACTTTAGTTAAGATTTTACTCAAAATTGCTCGACTTATTTTAACTAAAATATAGTCCTTTATAAAACTTTTGTTGTTTTGATGTATCAAATACATCAACAAGAATCTATGTGCAAAGTCTTGTGTTTCTGAAATAAAGATATTTTCTTATCTCATAAACAGTGATTGAGAGTTGAGTAAAATATGAACTTAAACCTGATAATGCTTTGTGAACTCTGAGCCAGATGTTCGAAAATGTTACATGTTTTATTTCGGACAGACTGTAAAAGTAGTAACGATATAAAAAACCCTAAAGAGAATTATGTTTTATGTGTACTTATTGCTAAACGGGTTTTTGGATTAAACTCTTACAGATATGGTTATAACCCCCCCCCCCCACCCCCAATTAAATGACATTACGTATCTAAATTCCAGGTAGTTCTGTATCTAAATTAGACCAAGGCGCAATCCACGACAGACGGGGTTGGTAAAATGATTTCTTTTTTGTGTTTATCGTTTTCACACTTTTATTTTATAAACTTTTAATTTTTGCTTTTCAAGCAACTTGTTTTGAGTTGATTTTTTTCAATTTGCTTATTTCTAGTGAACCACGGCCACGTCCGCCCATGGTGGATACCCTTTTAGATGTCTATCAAAGAACGAAATAATTCAGGTAGGGTTTGTTGTATAATGCTCCCGTCACACTTAATTGTAGTTATGGATTCTCACCCGGGCAATGGGAAGCGAATAAAGAGCGGGACCATTGTTCTTGTATTCATGTCAATACCTATCTAACCTAGTGTATTCAAGTAGATACGGTTACAAAGTATAGAACAGGGTTTAAACAAGATTTAAAAAAATATATATTGAAATAACACAAAGAAGACACACATTTTAATTTATTAACTAACAAAGTTCAAGACAATCAAACGAAAAACTGGCGTATAATATGACATGGTAATAATCTCTTCATCACGTGCACCTAATCGTGCATGGAACACTGCGATCACTAAGATTTACTAGTTATTTATGGCCGAAATCATTCTGTGAATCGTTGTTTCAATATAGTAACTCTAGAATCATTAAGCACCGTACACAGGGAAAACTACCATTTCCATTTTGTTTACATGTCAATCGGGACAATTCATCATACTTCGTAAATTATCGAGTGAGTAGTGATATGACCTTAAATGTTAAAAACAAGTAATATAGCTGGTTGCACATCAGTTACATACATAGAATGAAAACAAGGCTGGTAATAGAGATTCTGAAAAGTCTCCCGTCAATTTTACACATGATTGTATATTAGACTAGATAGATTTTAACAGTTTTCAAGTCTTTCAGATGACACCATATTTCATTTTGGGATAATCTATGACAAAGCAATGCAGCCTTTTATTGTGTGACAAACGTTGCCTTGAAAGACCGTTTCTGTGTGTATCATGCGACTATTAGTCCCCAGAATTCATATCTACTAAATGTCAACGGTACTGTATAGAGTCAATATTTTTTTTAAATCACCCCTTCATTTCCGCCGTTCATATTATCGTTATGTTGTGGAGTTCCATTCTTAACGGGTGCACCATGTAAATCCATATAGATATGTGAACTCTGCTGTGGTTGTTGTGGCTTCTCATATACGAGATCCTTCTTTTGTCTTTTCATTAAGCTAAAAAGTATAAATACTACTTTTAATAATGTGCCTACATTAAGGCGAGATCTGCTGTGTGTATGTATATAACACTTCCTTGCCCCCAAAGCGAGTGAGACAGATTATTATTGTGAATGGTTGATGGAATGAAGTCTAGTGGACTGTAGCCACACCTTTCTTTGCCAGTGTGTTTCTGTCCTTTGTCTATTATATCTACTGATTTTGATAATCACGCTTACGAACATGAACGTAACAGACTTCAGACATGATACCTAGTCACAGCTACATGTCATTTGTAAAAGAGATGGTCCACGTTACAAGAGTAGTTTAGTTGTTCCTGACAGGAAGCTGTTGTACTCGTTACAAAATACAATAGAACCATTGAACAGCACTTCGACTTGATATCAATTGATTAACAACATTAACACAAGATTTTAACAGTGGGTATAAAACTGTTGTTTATACTGACCAGACAATTATAATAACTAAAGCTACCACAAACAGAACAGCGACAATAGATCCAATTATTATACCAATCACTGAAAATATAATACAAGAAACTTAGAATAAAAGAGTACACCAATAGTTATTTAAATATTATGGGAAAGATTATTGTAGAATATCATCTAAAAATCTTTGCCTACCTGTCCTTCATTAACATTACCCTAACCGGAACCAAAGATTATGAAACAGGATTTCGGGATTTAGCTTATTTGTTCCATGTGATGTTTACGTGCAATACCAATTTGAGACAATGGGGCCCTAATTTTACTCAAACAAAAGGTATACAGACTGAAAATTCCCGGATCAAATCCAGGATTCGCTAAGTCACTGTGACTGATCACCCATTTGTACAAAAGAGGCTTGTTGTATTGTCTCATGTTCCCTGCCAGAATAATACCAGGACCTTCACGTCCAATGCAGTGATGAACCTAGTTGGCCTATAATCTTGCTTCACCATTATCAATTCTATAGAGAGTATTTAACACCAACCATTGCATTTTTAAATTACATTGTAAGTAATTTTCTAATTAATGTCCCGATTGCCTAATTGCATGGTTTTATTTTTAAGTATTATATACAAGATGCCCCTCCCCCCCCCAAAAAAAAAAATTGTCAATGTATATTTTAGAAGAATTGTTTTCAGACAGTTATTTATTATGCAAATAACTCAAGAAAACGTTTTGTTTCATTCTATGCGGCTCCATCGTTTTCACATTTTGATTTGTAAAGCAAACTTTGGTAGTACATGTAGAAACCAATATACTTACATTGACCAGAATCATCATTAGGTGGGTCTTCAGTTGTAGAAGGCATGGCAGGTTTATCCGTTCTATAACTAGTGGCACATGTATCACCATTTCTCCTGGTACTGTCAGAAATTGTCGACATACCATTGTTGGTGCTTGACGTTGTTGTTGTTGACTTGGACGTACATCTTAATTGTATTTCGGAACCTACAAGAGTTTAAATAAACAGCAGTCTCAACGGTCCAACTAACTGATTGAGTCCTGTGTTTAAAATTAAGTTATTAACACATTTATTCTGGTTTTATTTATGATTTAAAATCCACGCTCTGTCGCACTAATTACCCAACACTGCCAAGTTATTAATCGAACTTGGGCTTTTCTTGGACCGGCAAATACGTACAGATGTCTTTGTGTGTATATATATATAGACATTATTTATGAATAGTCCCAAGACGGACGAAAAGTTCTTTAAAATGTTAAAATGTTATTAAACCAGTGTTGAAATCAGTTTGTGTCGGCATACCTTTTTTTTTTTTTATCTTTTCATCATTTACCGTGAAACAAAGTAGTGCAGCTTTGTGGTTGTGCTAATAATTTTGGATATATATATATATATATATATATGTGTGTGTGTTAAGTAGCTTTATGTGATGTCCGCTTCTACCGACGTGATTCACCATTGTGAATTGTCTGAATTTATATCAAATCACAACGTAGGTCTACAAGAGTAACAACATTTAATTGACACGGTGGGGAATAGCGTATTCTCTACTAACCGGCAGATGAAAAATGAATACAAATTGTTAAAACAAACAAACTTCACAACAAGCAATAGTTAATATAGCCAAGTGGAATACAATGACAGTAAAATATAAATTGTTTATTTGAAATCGGATCCTAGAAATATCAGAATATAATCAAAATTGGCGATATGTTTAAAATCACATTATTGATTTAATTACATAGAGTGAGAAATATTTACCTGGTTTACTAACTAGTTCAAGACAAAAGGGAAACCCAAAACCATTAATAGTTCCTTTCTGTATATACAATTCCACAGTTTCCATGATTCCCAATTCAAAACTCGTTTTATGTACATTTTCACCACACGAATACAGTGTTGTACTAATATTTCTATATCCAGAATATAATAAATAATCACACCAGTTGGTTGCGGTAGTTACATTCCTTACTTCAATTGTCACTGGTAGCTGCGTAGATGCATTTAAACTACATAAACTAAAGTAACAATTACAGCCGACACCGTTTGCACCATTGTCTATTCCTGATAAATACACGGTCCTTCCGCTAACAGACACGTCACTACAAACTGGCGCTTCAGGTTTCAAATCTGTAAACAGTCAAGAACACTGATTAACTCAATAAAAGAAAATGTGAATAAAGAAACTACATGTATACTCCTTACGATTACATTTGTTCTAATTTGAAATAATGAATGAGTAGGTAAATACAAAAAACTAAGATTTACTTATGTCCGTGTAAGGGCAGAGATTCTAATTTAAAATACAAATAAAATAAAACCAAGTACGAACAATCCAAATCATTAGACAAACTTCGAAGTTCTTAAAAAACGGTACAGGCAAAATGGTGTAATCAGCAAATGGACTGTTTACCGTGTACAAAATACACGACAAACAATGGTAACAGGTGTCCGGAAGAGTAAGCTTACCCTGCCTGGCGCCACACCCGCCATAGCTGCATTCAAATCTCGGCAAAATGGACTACAAATACAAAAGGCCACGAGGACAAAATGACGTCTGATTTTTGTTTTATTTTAAAGCGAGAATTTCATATTTTCTAAGAAAGTCAAAACAAAATTATTTCTATGTCTTTTGCTCAATAGGTTATCAACTCACTATTATGCGACCATGGGCATTATTTCCCACCCCTAAAAATCATTGACACAGGAAATAATAACACAATTACCATGGAATAGCTATGTTTGAATTTGAAGCTGAAAATGATATTTTTGCCAATTTCTCAGCTGGCAATAGTGAATTATAGGATTAATAGGATTATTCTTTAACAAGGTAGGACTGTTTATGGATACCATCTATTTAAGGCTTTAATTTAATAAATTTTAAAAATATAATTTAAAAATATGAAATTGTAGCTTTAAGTATGTTATTTTACCACACCGTGTTCTATTCTATATTATAAAAATGAGTGAATCGTGGAAAAAACAAACCAAATCTAAATATTAGAATGTAAATATAAACATAGGTCAATATCAATAGTAGGTTTAATGTTGCACAGTGATAGTCATTAGGATTTAGTTTGTGAATTATTGTGGAAAATACAAGTGTTAACCGTCTCTAATCAAATAAAATTAAATGAAATGGGGTTTAACGTACTACTGTTCTGCTCCTAAACTGGGCTAATAAAGACGGGCATACGCCATACAGTGTGCTATGAGAGAAATTTTGCCCGGGCAGCGGCCCTACGGCCTACTCTTATATCGAATTTCAAATGCCAAGGGATCTTTTACGTGCACGCCAATGTGTACACGGGACCTCGGTTTTTCGTCCCATCCGAACGACTAGACGACTGTCCTTGTCAGGCCCCCCCGTCCTGCATCACTGACAAGAGGAAACCACGCCGGAAAATCTGGATGAACTTTCTCGGCCAATGCAGTGATCGAACACTCGACCTCCAGGCTAGCGACCCAGCGCCATACCCACTTAGCCACCGTGATCCCTCTTCTCTAATCAAATATACTTACTTAATCTATCACAGTTCATACTGACTGAAAATAATAATAATAAATTATTAGTACAGCTGGGCGCATATTGATTAAAATAAACATAAACAAATTGTAGCAAACCTTTCTTGTTTACTACGAGCGTATGTACTACCCACAAATTAGAAATATTAACAACATATTACCAATTAAATACATATAATAAACACTAAGACTGGGTAATAACATCATAGGAATTGCACACCATTCCAAAATGGCGGCGTACAGTAAATTCCTCCAGTTCTTTTAATTTTATACAAGTAACGTCCTTCGGCCCATACATCAATAGAAATTTACTCGGATTCAGATGACCATGGGAGATGCCATTGTGAATATCGCATGCTGCTGACACTGTTCAATATAATTGGTCCAATGCAGTCTCGTTTAGATAAACCAGTTTTTCCCAAACTTTCCTTGTATGCGACCCCATTCCAGAAACCATATTCTGATCGCGATCCTTCCAAGAACAAAGTCACCTTTCACTATGAAACATTAGTTTTGTTTATACACATTCAAATGTAATGAGAGCCTGACGAAACAAATCCTGAGCGCGTGAGAGAGGAAAGACGGTTGGCAATGTGGCAAAAGTTGTGTACGCGGGCTGGCAAAAATTCTAAGACGGCAAGTTTCACATGCTGGACCTGCTATAATTATTCGGAGTTTCAAATCCTAAGGATGATTCAATTCCATGTATGTCGAATTTTGGTTTACACATGCTGTGTTTATTTCTTTAGATTTGTGGGTTTTAGGTAAACCATTAAAATTGCTGGTTTTCACGTCAAACTCTGTGGGTATTTGGCCTAGTTTAAACAATATTTTATTCATTTGAAAAGGATTGAACAACAGGCAAAGCTTTTGGGGAGAGAGGGGGTTTAACGTCCACTCGACACAAACTAGGTCATTTCGCGACTAACATTTGGTTCATTTTTTTCCCAATAATGCGCTTGCGCGTAGAGGTCTTTAGCAGCGGGTCTTTAGCACTCCTTGTCATGTACAACCGGGGATTCGAAACCACGCCAGTGAGTTTTCTGCGGTCTTCCTGATTTCCTCCCACTGCTAAAGACCCCTACCCGCAAGCGAATTATAGAAATAAAATTGAACCATGTGTTAGTCCCTAAATGACCTAGTTTGTGTCGAGTGGACGTTAAACCCCATTTCTCTCTCTCTATGACGTCACGATGTTGTTATTGTATGTCTTGACAAGTTCAGACGAAACCTGTAGAAAATTAAAAAATTGTACTTTCTTTAAAATCAAACAGTACTTTCTTTAAAGATACATTATGGGAGATTAGATAAAGATATGTCAATTCTCACTATAAAACTAGATAATGTAAAGGTTATTTGTTGAAAATTTCAGTCAAATTGATCCACTATTAACTGAGATTTTAGCGATTGAATATTGAGGTTAGCCTCGATTACCATTACTAAAGTCGGTAGGATAAAAAAAAAGTCTCGATTATTCATTTTTTTATTTAATTATGAATGGAAGTCGAACAGCAAATCGGAACGTAATCCAGTAAACACCGCAGGCTAGCGATGCCATCGAGAGTTGATTATGGTCTTGATATGTTAATTAATGTCTAATTAATAATTTAGATAACATTTCAGGCCTAATAAACGACCTACAATAGGCCGATTTAGCTCGTGCATAATGTAACTATGTTTAAGCATTTTTAACCTTTATTTATTATATATATACATTAACTCTTGAATGAAATATATATATGGTTCTCCATCTTTTTTTTTACCAACTGCACACCTTGGAACACATGAAAAAAAAACCCCAGCACACTGGTTGATAATCACTGATATATACTATTCAAAAAAAGTAGGGGATATTTGATTTTGGGGGCATAATACTAAAATATGCAAATGACTACGAAAAAAGTCACTATAGAACCTAACAGAAGAAAAATTTCCAGTTACATGTGACGCCCAAACGCACCAATAGCTACCACATGGAATGCAGGTGATGCTTGGGATCATCATGGGGGTCCAACCCAAGATTTGCACGACTCTGACTTTGAATGTTACAGTCATTGTGGCATTGAATTCCAGGGTGGAAACATCAGTTTAATTGTTTTAGTGACCAGAAAACAAATTTGATATGCGTCGGCTTACCCAAAATGAAAGGTTACGTGCCCTTGGCATGCTACAGATCGGCACAACACAGGCGGTTGTGGCGCGGACGATGAATGTTTCTCAGTCTGTCATAAGCAGGCTATGGTCCAGATACCGTGATACACAATCTGTACAGGACAGACCACGCTCAGGTCGACCAAGGGCGAAAACTCAAGCCCAGGATCGATTTATCCGTACCTTGGCCTTGAGAAATCGTGTCATCACAGCAAATCAGATCAGCGCTCGTCTTCAAACAGACACTGGTGTGAGAGTGAGTGGCCAGACGATTCGGAATCGACTGCATAGGGGTCACCTTCGCGCCCGACGTCCTCGCGTGATCCCTTGTTTGAGAGATCATCACATTCAGGCAAGACGTCGTTGGTGTAGGGATCGTCAACACTGGGATAATCAACGCTGGAGCAATGTGATGTTTTCAGATGAGTCAAGGTTCACTGTTGATTTTTTGGACAGACGTAGGAGGGTGTGGCGTCGTCGAAACGAGCGCTTCCAAGACGTTAACGTCATCAGACATGATCGATTTGGGGGTGGTTCTGTTATGGTGTGGGGAGGCATCACTGTTGCTGGAAGAACGGCTTTACATGTTGTTGCAGGGCGTGTTACAGGCCAGTACTACCGGGACAACATCTTGGCAGTCCATGTTGTGCCGTTCGCACGACGTCATGGCCGCCGTTTCATCTTCCAGGATGACAACGCAAGATGTCACAGGGCCAGGATCGTTACAGGTTACCTCCAACAACAGAACATCACCACATTACCTTGGCCAGCACTGAGCCCCGACCTCTCCCCCATCGAGCATGTCTGGGACATGCTTGGACAGAGGTTACGTCAACGTCAACAACGTCCTGCCAATGTCCAAGAACTTGCTGCTGCGTTGCAACAGGAATGGGACAATCTGGACCAAAATGACCTTAGACGTCTCATTAGGAGTATGCCACGTCGGATCAATGCTTGTTTGGCAAACAGAGGAGGATTTACCCGTTACTGACTTGGTTGTGATGCTGTGGTAACTTTGCTGTTTGACCCCGGGTATCATTTTACCCTTATAATGGTCAGTCTGTGCCTTACTTAGTCTAACGATCATTTGGAATAAATCGATGAATGTGAACTTCATTTCATTTTGTCATTTGTTTCTTCGTCAGTTTCATTAGGTGACTTTAATAACACTTAAAAATCAAATATCCCCTACTTTTTTTGAATAGTATATATGTACATTTGAGACAATGTTTACTTACCCACAACACTACTATGTAACATTATAATGATCACAAAGAAACTAAATATTTCCGTAGGTGTCCTCTCCATGACTCACAATCATAATGCGTTTAACCATCTTTACTTCACAAATATGTATACGCTGAGCGTGACATTTATACAACACATGTATAATATATATCTATTACTTGACAAATCTGTACAATGGCCCCTTTTGTTGTAAACTTCAGGCAGATTTGTAAGAACCATAAATGTAATTCATTAAGAAATTCATTGTGTAACTTTTAAAAAAACCCAAAGCAACACATAATTTATTCAATTGCCACAGCTTATAAATCACTAATACGTGGTCTATTTAATTTATTGTTAACATAAGATAGTTAACACACACGACAAGGATAAGACATGCCTGATTGTATTTTGAAATACATTCACTAGTCAAATATCATTGAATAAAATAAATAAGATCTGCTAACATTTAGTGCGATATCACAAATCACATATTATAACATATTATATTATTGTTATATTATACCAACCCATGTTGTACACTGATATCGCATATTTCAGACACAACACCATATTTTAAAGAGGGAAATGGGGTTTAACGTACATTCGTAACAAACTAAGTCATTTCGAGACTAACATATGGTTCAACTTTATTTCAATAATTCGCTAGCGCGTTGTCTCTGGCAGTGGGAGGAAACCGGAGCACCCGGAGAAAAACACGGGGTTGGACAGGGGACCCTATTCCTTGTCACGTACAATTAGGGAATTGAAACCACGCCAGTTGACTTATTGACAGACCTTATGATGCAACGCGCACGCGCTAACCATTCGGCCACATCTTCACCCACCCCCACCATGTATTAACGGGCGATTAACTAAACTAATATTGGAGTTGATATAACATTTTTTTTAAGATTTATGTTTAAAAGTAACGTTGACGCGACCATATATAGGGTGACCCACCATAAATAAATATCTCCATATATCTCGACAATTTCGCCACAATATTTATATATATGCCAAGCCTCAAATCAGTTTCACACAATTATAGTCACTAAATAAACGATCATGTTGTACTTAATAAGCTATGACCATTAATCATCTATAAATAATAGACTGAAAACTGGTTCCATGTGTCGTCCATAACATCCAGACACTTTTGAGTAAAAGATAGGTTACGTGCCCTTGTTTTGAAATTAGAGTCGCTTAACCAGTCTGTCGACCATTCTAAGGCTGATTGACAGGTCGGGATAATCAAGACTACTTTTTTACGAAACATAACAGAAAGTTAGAACAAGAAATTGAATTAAGAAATGAGCACGTTAGCTAGCTCAACAATTGTTTTAAGAAGCTTGTAAAAGTAAAATGAAACTACTGCTAGTATCATGTTCCTGCCTAAACCGAGTGTTTCAGAGATAGTATTTGTACTAAACCAAAAGATGCCGCTCTTAACGGTACAGTAAATGATAAAGCGATTTAAAAAATGAAACGAACGTAATTTCTAAATCAGCTGTAATAACCAAGAAGCTTAATTTTACTGCTATTCAAAATCGTCAACAATAAATTTTTTACGGCTGTAATAGTTGATAGATTTGTAGAGAATTGCACGTGCCATGGCTATTTATAGTATCATACTGTCAGAAAGTTGGCCTCGACACGCCGAATGTGCACGCTTCAGTGGTAGTCTCGAACTATCAGCGGTTGACTGTATTTCTGTAGGTGCATGGGCCACCCTACCATATACCTCTTGTTACTAAAATATGCATTAATAAAGCAGACGATGTATTATTTATAGAGAACGCTTTACACTTCCTCGTTTCATAACCCAATATGAAATGCACTTGCTGGATAGTTGGGGATTAAGACGTTGAGTCAATATATTGAAAGAAGACTCAGGCTGACGCCATTGTGCAGTAATAAGATATTACTTGATGTCCCGATCTCGACACCATCTTGTTGCAAACTAGTCTGGATATCAACAAGGTTGAACTCTGGTCATAATGGAAGCCTTTCTTCAGGCATCTCGTGAAGAACGAGAATAAATCAATAGGGTTCAAACAAAGCATTTATTAAAAATATTGAAATAAAATAAAGAAGAGACATTTTAATTAAAAACATTCGTTCGGATGGGGCAAAAAACCGAGGTCGCGTGTACACATTGGCGTGCACGTAAAAGATCCCTTGACAGTTGGAATTCGATATAAGAGTAGGCCGTAGTGCCGCTGTTCGGGCAAAATTTCCCTCATAGCACACTGTATGGCGCATGCCCGTCTTCATTAGCCCAGTTCGGAGCAAAACAGTAGGACGTTAAACCCCATTTCATTTCATTTTTGTGAACGCATCTGAAAGGTCGTCATTCAGTTTTACACATCGTTGTAATGAGAGTACATATAGGGTTTAATAGTTTGTGAACCAGCACGATTACACAATATTTCATTAGTTTCTGTCATAGATAACACATGCTTTGCGAGTCATTTAAAAAGCAGTACATCACTTTTTGTGTGACAAGTTGTTGAAACCTGTAATATTATCCTGGTGAAGACTTAGTCCCAATTATTCCCATCTACTAAAAGTCAATATATGTTTTTTTAAATCACCACGCTGTTCACATAAATGTTGTTTTGCTGCGTTCCAGTGTTTACGGGTTCAACATGTAAATCCATATAAATATGTGAACTCTGCTGTGGTTGTCGTGGCGTTTCATATATGACATCTTTCTTTCGTCTTTTCACCAAACTAAAACAAGGAAATATTTTTTAATAAGATATCTAAACAAACTTAAGTGACGACATTATTGCAAAAACTAGTGAGAACTTGTGAGTATTGCGACTAACTGGTGGACGGGAGCCTAATGTGTTTCTTAGCTTTGTAAAAAAGTAGGGGATATTAAAATGCAAATACCTATGCAGGCTGCGATTAATAAATAGTCATGGACATTTGACATGCTTTGAGAGTATGCTCACAGATGAAGACTTATCGCCCCAACAGAACCACCGAGCTGCACATGCGACACGCAATAGCGCCATACACGTGGGAGGGGTTCATTGTCAAATTTGACACTTCAAGGAAGGGTTGATGAAAACTGCCGCGTGCTAGTTTATCTATCCATGTTTGCTTTCCTATCGGTTCTTGCATAAGATTTACTGTTTAGCATATCTTTGCTTTAGTGTGTTGCGTTTAATTTGATCAGGAGACGTGTTCGTCGACGTCAACGTCAACCAACAACACTGCAAGAATTGGCCGTGGTACTGCAAGAGGAGTGGGTCAGATTGCCCCAAATCGTGATTGGACGGTTGATTAGTAGCATGCCACGAAGAATTGCTGAATGTCTGAGGATTGGTGGAGCAATTACTCATTATTAAGACAAAAATCAAAAACGTCTATTTTCACTTTTGACGGTGTATCTCTTTGCGAGTGAAATGGGGGCGTCAGATAAGCCGCCCATATGAACTGTTTATGTTCATGTGTAGGCAATTGGCCTGTTATTAACATACATTGGTTACTTCTAATAAAAACAGCAGTGCATTTCCGCAGTTTTGTATTGTTTCTGAATATCCCCTTCTTGTTTTGAAGAGTATATAGGACACAGATCGCCAAATATTTCTACGCTGTCACCCACGAATGTAGGGCGAAAGTTATTTTTAGTCTCTCTCTCCCTTTCCCTTTTTCCCCCTTTTGCATGGCGATTTTTGTTGACTTTTTGGTGTAGAATCGAAAAAAAGGGTTTGAAAATACATTTTCTGCCAGGTTTGGGTGAATATTCGTGATTTTGAGGCGGAAGGATACAAGAGTTGTGCGGTTGGTTACGTTGAAATGTAGGGCCGGAAATTGCGTGTTTACTTGTCTCTACTTCCAGCTTGTGTATCTCAAGTTTTTCATGGTGAACCTCATACATGCTTTTGGGCAAGAGTTTGCCACATGTTGCTCCATCCAGAGGCGTAGTCGTGAAATATATATTGGGGGGTGTACTCAACCCTAACCCTAACCCTTTTTTAAAACCCCTAAAAAAAACAAACAAACACCATGTGGCCATGCTGTCTACACAACTTGTTTGCTGATTGGCCCAGACACCGCGTGCAAAGTATTATTGTTACGTGGCTGGCTGAGCGGGCAATAAATATTTGGTTTAGGTGATAATGTTTTTGGGTACCTACATGCGATTCACTCTGATAAGTGGCAGGAAAAGATTAACAAAATATTACTGACAGGCTAACTAGACACAATTTTATGGAACATAGTTACTTTTTACTCCACACATATTTCCAGGATGATTCCCTCTGTGTTTTATTTTAGCAATGTAAACCATATTGGGATATGTACAGGTTTTATACAGATAGAATGTTAACTAATCCTAATAATTGTTGTAAATAAATAGGAGTTTGGGCCTGAAATTTTTTATTTTTTTTTTTGGGGGGGGGGGAGGGGCAAGTATATTCAGGCCCCCCAGAAAATCAATTGGGGGGGTCGGACCCCCCCCCCCCATGTGTGACGCCCATGGCTCCATCTGTGGCAGAAAGCGTTCTACCCAACGAAAATTTGGGAAAAAGTTAAAGCCGGTCTAAGAGACGAGAATTAACATTAAAGTCAATGTGGAAATAATTAGTGATCTGTGGCCATATATCTACTGATATAAAATAGTTATCAGATGAGTTATCTGTCCTTGATTTTGTCAGGTATCGTCTTACAGTCCCATATAACAACTTTTGGTCTTGAAAGGAATTATTAGTGGGCAGAAATTCGGCCGTGTATCTGTTATCACTCGTCACATCAGTCAGTTATATAGAGAGATGGCTCGTGTTTTCCTTTGGCGTTCGTCACTTCCTATTCAGGAAACCTGTATTACTCAGCTATCGTAGCAATGATCTCTGTGTTAAAATTATATTTGGAATGTGTTTAACCAGCTCTATCACATATATGATAATGACTGGCACCAATATTGTCCTTTAAGTTGTTGCTGATGGCTACTTGCTGTACGTTTTGGAAAATGCAATAGCCCCATTGAACATCACTTCGATGTTGTTTTAATTGATTAATAACATTAACATAAGATTTAAATGTTTTGTATACTGACCAGACAATTATAATAACTAAAGCTACCCCGACCAGAACAGCTAGAATTGAACCAATTATTATACCAATCACTGAAAATATAATACAAATATTGGATAGATCTAATTATTTTACCAATCACTGTAAACACAATTAAAAATATAATACAAACACCGGATTAGAAGTAATTACACATAAGAATAATTTGTATATTAAAGGAATATTCCCTTAAAAACGTTTTAGGACCCTATAACCTGAAATAGAGTAGTGACAGGGGTCTTCTCGGTCAACGCCAGGTTGAACCTTATTGGTCTAGACTCTTGACTTATGATTATCCTGGTCAAACAAACTATTTAAGAGGGAATATTACAAGAAAACTTGTTTTTAAATTATGTAATTAATATATTTTCTAATTTATTACCACACTTTTTTAATAACAAAATAACGAACGACAACTGTCTGTATAATTTAATACACCGATCATGAGATAATCAACAAATGACCAATATACATACTTACATCGATCAGAATCACCATTGTTTGTTTGTGGTTTAGACGCATCTTCATTGAAGATTGGTATATTTTGGTTGTCAAAAATTGTCGTCATGAAATTGTCTGTGCTTGAAGATTTCATGGATGTTAATGGTGTTGGTGACGTATTGGTTGTTGTTGTTGACTGTGGTGTAGGTCTACACTCTAGTCTTATATGAGAACCTAAAAAAATATTAACAGTATTAAAGCCCCCTAAGCAAAACATAGCCAACATGCCAGAGGATCATTAAAGACCAGAAAAGTAAAGTATGTTGTTAATGTTATGTAAACTACCTATAACAAATGTTATTGTGCTTCTCGTGGACTGCCAAGCCTCAAATTCATAAAACAATGCATGATGACAATGTGCTATCCAGAGTAATTAAAATATATGGAAAAATATATTGTGCCGTGGACGTCACAACAGGACACAGATCACCAAATATTCCTACGCCGACAGATCACCAAATATTCCTACGCCGTCACCCAAACAAGGGCCAAAGCTATTTTTTAGTCTTCCTCTCCCTTTTCCTTTTCCCCCCTTTTGCATGGCGATTTTTGTTGACTTTTTGGTGTAGAATCGAGGAAAAGGGTTTGAAAATACATTTTCTGCCAGGTTTTGGTGAATATTCATAATTTTGATGCGGAAGGATACAAGAGTTGAGAGGTTGGTTAGGTTGAAATGTAGGGCCTGAAATTGCATGTTTACTTGTCTCTACTTCCAGCTTGTGTATCTCAAGTTTTTCATGAAGAACCTCATACGTGCTTTTGGGCAAGTGGTTGCCACATGTTCCTCCATCTGTGGTAGAAAGCGTTTTACCCAACGAAAATTTGGGAAAAAGTTAGAGCCGGTCTAAGATACGAGAATTAACATTGGAGTCAATGGGGAAATCTTTAGTGATCTGTGGCCTGTCTGTGTGTGATAAGGCTGTCACTGATATGCCTTAGTTTTGAAAATATGAAGATTAAATTCTCAGAAAATATGAATAAAATAGTTTGGCTACAGAAAAACTAAAAAAAGTTAATTAAAAAAAAAAAAATCAAAGTTTTGAAGAAAAATTGTGATTTTACTGCAAATTTCTCAAGTTTCAATTTTTATTGAATTTTTAAGAGTAAGTAAAATATTCTAATGCCCAATGTTGGCTTATTCAGTCTCAGAAAGCACAGATAAAGTGAACAGTATTGAAATTTCACCAAAATTTGTCTAAAAATCAGTAATATTCACAAAAAATCTTGAGATTCCCCCCATTTCGATGTAGAAATTAATATTTTCATGACTATTAAAATGAGTCAAAATGTCTAAAAATGCCCATATTTTCTTTGCTAATATAACTTAGATGGGATCTACATGTTTGTCAGGTTTAGAAATAGCTCCAGTTTTCCTACAGAAAATTGAAAATTGGTAACACTGAGTTAATAATGTACAGCAGATGGGTTTGTACAAAATGTTCAAAACAGGGGTTGGCTCAATTTTGCCACTATTTTACCCAGAATAAGCATTTTTTTCTTCTTTGAAACATTAAATTCTTGCATTTCCTTCATGTAGGAAGCAATATCCCAGCCTTTCTAGACATTTTTTACTCCATCATTCTGTTTAGAGAGGCAATAAATGCCCCACCCCACCCTTTTCCATTAATGTGTTTTGAGGGATTTAAATGCACCTGTGTTGACATTTAAATGATCTTAATTGGAATTTGTGGTTGAATTACAGCTAAGAATGTTATTTTTCACCCAAAAATATTTTTTTTGTGCATTTCAAGGATTTCTAACCCTTATTTGTTCAGAGTCAAACGTAGAACCCTGAGGCATTTCAGGCCAATGAGACCACACCCAGATATAAAACTGGTGTAGATGTGTAAATATCAGTTTAATGTTCAATATTTTCTTATCAAAATCCAGCATTTGTGGTGTTTGCTGCATTTATGTTGCCTATAGAACAATAAAATATTAATTTTTCTCCTTTTCAGGCCTCTTTTTATGTTGTCAATTCTGTCATGACTACTTTTTTGACTTCATTTTTTCAGGAAATTAATTAAAGTTCCAGACATCTTGCTTCAGCACAAGGATTGCAATACAAATTTGTAACATGCCTCTGAGGTTTGAGATGTTGGAAACATTGAAATATTCCCAAATTTGTGAAAATTGTGTATTCTGTGACCCTTCTGTTAGAGAGGGGTGATCATAGACCAAATATGGCATTTTTTTCATTCATCAAGGCCTATTTTTAACCATAATTCATATTTATTGCACCTATTTGAGTTTATATGTGCATATGTTAGCCAGGGATGGTAAATCATAGCTGTTAGACAGATTCCTTTGGTAATGTTAGTGCTGCAACCATAGATTAGATTAATCCAATCAGTGGCATGTTCAGGGGGTAGGCACACATGTTTCAGTATAGATCTCCAATATTACAATCATTGCAACTGGTTTGCATTTTTTCTGTTTGCATATTGTCCACAGATTCTAAAAATATATTTCTTGTCCGTCCGGATATTTAAAAAAGTGGAAAATTATTGGTATTTTGAGAGATGCTACATGTAAATTTTGTACATTTTTCATCACATGGCAGTAAAAAATTATATTTTTGAAAAAAATTCCTAATTATGAGTGTTTTCTATGTAGTTTCTTTGTAACTTGTCTAATTTTTTCACAGAACTCAGATACTGCCTTTAATAAGAAAGATTTTTAAATTTTAGCACAAAAGGCCTATGGACCTGAGATGCACCAGTGTACATAAAGCAGCATGTGTACTTAAAGGGCCATCATTTTTACAGTTATTTTTTGATTTTGATTTTCTTTCACCGGCATGTTGCCAGAACACATGGGGGGGAAATAAAAAGGGCCTTTTGGTGATACCTGAAGTTTCACCCCTATATAGGACACAGATCACCAAATATTCCTACGCCGTCACCCACGAAACAAGGGCCAAAGCTATTTTTAGTCTTCCTCTCCCTTTTCCTTTTTCCCCCTTTTGCATGGCGATTTTTGTTGACTTTTTGGTGTAGAATCGAGGAAATGGGTTTGAAAATACATTTTCTGCCAGGTTTTGGTGAATATTCATAATTTTGATGCGGAAGGATACAAGAGTTGAGAGGTTGGTTAGGTTGAAATGTAGGGCCTGAAATTGCATGTTTACTTGTCTCTACTTCCAGCTTGTGTATCTCAAGTTTTTCAGATGCGAACTTGGTTTTTGGATGGAAACCTGTGCATGTGCTTATCCTCTACTAGAGACACACAATTAAAAATGGAATGTAGCCATGGTTAAATATATATTTTATTTGAAATCGGACCAGAGAAACATTTATGGCCTTTATCTCTTATACCGCCTATTCCAGATCAGGTTTACGTCTTACGTCTCATGGGTCGTTGTGATAAAAAATAACTGGACAAAGGTTTACGCATCATATACAATTAATGATTTTATTAAATAAGAGTGAAACATATTTACCTCGCTGACTATATAGTTCAAGACAAAACGGAAATCCGACAGCATTATTAGTTCCTGTCTCCATATGCAGTCTCACAGTTTCCATAGCGGTCAAATTAAAAATTGTATTCTTTAAATTTACACCACACGAATACAGTAAGCTACTTGTATTTGAATAATCAGAATATAAGGCATAGTCACATAAGCTGGAGGTAGTGGTTACATTATTTATTTCAATTTTTACAGGACCCTGATTAGATGTAGTTAAAGTGATGGAACAAATACATCCAATACCATTTGTTCTGTTATCTATCCCAGATAAATAAACAACCCTTCCGCTGGTTTCCAGGTTACTACAAAACGGCACTACAGGTGACACATCTTTAAAATAAAATTAATTAGTCACGCAATTACTGAAACTAATATAATGATGATATAAAGATTATTTTGAAAAAAGACACATAATTGATTTGCCTAAGCCCCACCCCGTCTTTAATAGCCCAGTCGACGAAGAACAGTAGGACGTTAAACCTCATTTCATTTGCCTATAAGTCTCTCTCCAGGCCAAACCTCATTTCATTTGTCTATAAGCCTCTCTCCAGGCCAAATTAATATATAAAGAAGATATATATATTAAAGAAATGTCTAAAATGAAACCAATAATTAACAACTGAATAGAACACGAAGGCAAAATGTCGTTGGATTTATTACGTAAAGTCTAGCCTTCCGACGGCGGACTTTGAATTAATGTTCCGCATTGACATCCATTCCATATTTGCAAAGTACTGCAGTATGAATTTTTTAAAATGTGTCTGAATTAAATCAGTCGTTAAAAATGCAATGGTAAGAGCTGTTTTATTTGTGTACATCAATGGTCGCTGGAATTTATTTTGTGTAATGTCGCAATTGTCTAAGTTAGATTTACTTACTGTTACTTGACGTATCGCAGTTCATGCCGACTGCAATATAAAAAGAAAAAGCACCATTACTTGACCAGTGTGTGGATTAATTATGAGTACGATATGCCAAATATAATTCCAACCACTTCAAATGACAATATGATATACAAAATCTATGTGATAAAAGTTTTCTTTATTAAAGTTGAATTATTATGTAAGAGCTCAATCTGTCTGTTGCAGGTCTTTCTTTTGGCCTCAAATGTTATACAAGTTATAAATTACACGTTTATTCACCCTGTACCACCCTTTTTCTTTATCTATTTTAAAGCTATTAGAGCGATCAGTGTCGGCTTGTTATATAATTCTTACATAATGCATCAAGTGTTATTCATACCTTTTAGTACGTCAATTCATAACATTTTGCAATTAAATATCAGATATATACATACATACACTAGTATTCTAGGATGGCGGTTAAATATGCCATGTATGAAGAAAATCTTATTTAATAACCACACAACTAGTATTAATATCTTTACTTACCCACAGTACCAATATGTAATATCATAATGGTTGCGATGAAACTAAATACCGCGGTGTGCGACATGGCCATGATGCACCCGTATAAAGCCTGCGAGATGAAACTAGTAGTGAAATAACATAACGAATACCATATGACACTCTTCTTGCAATAAATACCTATACGTTGAGCTTTATATTTATACAATAATAATATACTTCCTTGTTACAGGTATGTTTATAATATACAGGTAGGGCGAGGTGACTTGTTCAATTGTCACTGTTTGAGGAATAAATCTTTAGTTATGAAACAATGTATATTCACATTCAGCTGTTGTCTATGAAAGGGTTAATATATTGGATAAAGATTAAGGCGACTTTAGTGATCCTTTATTTCCATGTTATACGTATTGACAATATTAATAACAAAACTCTGTAAATACGACAAGATGCGTTCAAACAAACACATGTGTACAGGTATTGACAATATTAATAACTAACCATGTCTCATTCTATATAAATATGGCAACTTAAAGATATTCATAATAACATTCATAATAACACACCAGGTCAGCTTGATAAAGATACCTGTAAGAGTATTGAAACGTTGCATGTAATAAACTAAGAAGTAGTAAATCCATAAAGTTGTGTTATTATGAATATTATACCTCTACTTCTAAATGTCATTCAAGGAATTAAAGATACATCCAAACCACCACATTTGTTTAGTATGTGAACTCCTCAAATGAGACAGGGGTGTTATTCAGGATGTCCTATGATAGAAATAAGTATAACCTGCCCCTTCCACAACACCAGTCACTATATGGAGCAATGGCCGCAGTTTTATATGATAATTATAATCAGCTTTCTGTATCAGTTGCTGTTAGTTACCATTCGCAGTTTTCGAACCTTGGCTCGTGAAATTGATACTCATTGTAAGACACGGCGAATCATAGAAAAAGACTTGTGATAATTGTGGTAATACATTAATATATAGGGATGAACACTTTTTTTAAATTCTTAGAAAATATCACATCACGTCTGAGTATCACAATTCAATATCACAATTAGATTTGTGGTTATTATTGTCATTATTCATGATATAACTAAAACACTTGTAGCCTGTTTTGTTATCAGAATCTAGCTCCGAAGTTTTATTTCATTTATACAAAAATATCCTGACTGGACCTGATTGCAAGTTACCACTTAAAAGTAATGATTTTGAATTTATATGTATGTACATGCATATAATATAATTTAAAAAGACATAATTAACTGAAAATGCAATTGGTTTGAACATATACTATCGCTTCTCTTTTCTAAGTTATTTGATGTTTTATAACTATTTCTTTTGTACAAGCGTGTATTCGTCACCAAGGGGTCAAACTGTATGACCCGTTGACGCGCCATTACCAGAACTACTTTTCTTGGCGGTTTTATTAACCACAGCATATTCAACAGGTTGATGAGAAACTGAGTTTTCTGCATCTTGGTGAACGTTATCAGTATCATTGCTTGAAATATAAAGGTCATTTTCAAGATATATCATGCCTTCGTGGTTACTTCCCTTTCTTCCTACCGGCTCGTCGTCATCAATACTTTTATAAAGATCATTTTCTAAATAGATCATTCCATGGTTACCAACTTGCGTATTTTGGTTGTTGTGACCGTTTGCGTTGTTGTTGGGTGTTACAGCTGCATTTACATGTGGCCTATCTTGTGGTTCCAGTGGAGTCTCATAAGGAGGCTTTGTCTTTCGTCTTTTCACCAAGCTAAAACAGATAAATATTAGTATAACTAAAGTATGCGGAATGGTTCTGCTATATTGCACGATAACTTTTAAGAATAAAATGTATTTACAATAAGAGATTGATGCATGCCAATCCCGTAGGAGATAGCCCACTGTATGGTGTAAGCCGTCTTCATTAGCCCAGACGGTACAGAAAAGTTGGATGGTAGACCTTATTTCATTTCCTATCTAGGAGATATTGTATTCGTTATTAATGATTTGAAGATCGGACAACATGCAAAATCCATATTTACAATGGTAATAATGAGAACTATAAACTGAAACAAGTCATAATCTGAAAGTTCATTTTGTAAATTGAGAATACTACTTGTTGTTCAGAGCGCCACATTCCTCACAGAAAACACTGTTTGCTAAATGCTAAATCCATCTTCACGCCCCTACTGACAGTTAAAGTCAATAACGCGATCACTGACTTTATGACGAAAACTATGTATATAACAGTATTTTATTCTTAAATTAATTTTATGCAACCGCAAAACACAACGGTTAGACAAGTGTATTGTCCAGTTTTGGAATAAATTGACATCTCAGCTCCGAATTTTTAATGTAAAAGGTTTACTAAATGTATTAGCGCCATTATGCATCACATCGATATTTCGACGCTTTATGAACAGATAACGAGTAACAAAATCAAATGGATATAAAATTGTTTCTTTACTGACCAGACAATTATAATAACTAAAGCAATTACGACCAGAAGACCAACAATAGATCCAACTATTATACCAATCACTAAAAATATAATACAAAACAAGGATAGATCCAATTATTATACCAATGACTGCAAATAGAATACACACATTATACCAATCACAATATAATACAATATATTATTATATATACAAACAGAACGGAAGAAATTTTACACCGTGAATGCGTTAAATATTGTAGTAACATATCTTCTAAAAATTCACCCGTTCTTACTAAGTGTTCATCTCCAAAGTATTGTTATAGTGACTGATTTACATTTCATGATCAGACCAGACTCCAAAGGATTAGCAATTAGCTAAACTATAGCTACTTAATCAGTTAGCAATGAAGTATTGACTGGGTTATCCCTCTAATCCTTTCATAGATAAGCATACCTTATACTATTCGATTAATTAGTTTATATACATGGTAACCAAAACTAGTATATATACCCCAGTCATCTAGAATTCAATATCACTTCTATTCTGGATATTAAATACAAAAACTAGTATATACACCCCAGTCATCCAGAATACAATATCACTTCTATTCTGGATATTAAATACTTCATATCAGTTAACTACATATATGTTCTTGTACTCTTTTAGGAATCCCTGTTTACGTAAGGACTCTGACTAATAGTTTGCGAGTTACAGTCAGGCACCAGCAAAGTTCACGTCCTCAGTATGAACGTTTTTTTAGACGTATTTCTAATGATATTTTATAAATTCAGTTTTTATTATAGCCGATAAATATTAGGCCTTTTAGTTTACGTTTGAAGAAAATAAATTTGACAGCAATTGAAAACTTAAAAAAATTAACGCATTGTGAGGAGTGCGTTTTTAAAGAATCAGCACATGTCATTTCTTCGTTTCGTTGTGAATTTTTAGGTAGTTCTAATTTTTACAGCAGAATAAAAAATACGCGGGAAATAAAGGAATCCCGATCATCAAATCGTATTATACCTATTTTTGGGCGTACACCATTCGCCGTTTTAGCAGAATCACAGCCATCGACCGAGCCACCGTTGGTGACTAGCAATTTTCCTCGCACACTGTATGACGTATGCCCGTCTTCATTAGCCCAGTCGAAGCAGAACAGTGTGGACATTAAACTAAATTTCATTTCATTCCTTTTTGTCACATTTTCCCTTCCAGGATAATGGGACCTTCACGGTCAACGTAGGAATGAACCGGTTGGTCTACAGCCTTGCCTGGCGATTATCAACTCTGGTGAGTAAATAATCATATAAAGTTATTTTAAACAACATTGTAAAGTAATTTCCTATTATTTTCCAATTGCGTTATGATATGGTTGTATTGTAACATATATAGATATATACAAAATGCCCCCCCCCCCGTTCCCCCCAACACCAAAAATATTGTCAATATATTTTTAAAAAAAGAATTGCATTCAAAGAGTTAATTTTTTTTATACACATAAATCACGAGAGCTTTTTGATTCATTTTATGCTCCTTTTTTTTTGCATCGTGATTTAAAAATAGATCTTTAGGAGTACATACGGATGACCAATATACTTACATCTATCAGTATCACCATTATTCGGTTGTGATTCAGTTGTTGAAGGAATGGCACTACTGGTGTTAGATGGAGCCGTCGTATACCTCGTACCTTCTTTTCGCCCAGTACTTGTGTTCGAAATAGTTGACTTGAAATTGATTGTGCTTGTCAATTTCATGTATGTTAAAGTTGTTGTTGACACTGTTGTTGTTGACTTGGACATGCATGCTAATAGTATATTAGAACCTAAAAAAAAATAATTGATTGCATTACAACGCAAGAATCACAGTCTGGAATAAATAGGAAACATTCCAAATTGTCCACATATATTTAAATGTAAGATCTACGTGATGACTTTGACTTTCCGATTGTTAACAATCCACTCATTAGTAGTAACATTCCAATACCGCCAGCTTATGGGGTGTTTGTGTCTCAGCTAATGTGTTACGCGAGAGCTTGTTCATTTTATTCTGATTTTTTTTAAGTAGATCGAGGCATTTGTCATCTAAGCTTCAACTACAGGGATACTTGCCCAGCACTAAACTTACAAAAAACTTTAAAAAGTTTTATGGCCATCATATTGACTTGATTGGTAAATATAACATGTCTCTTTCGGCTATTATTCTAGATATATTAAATTGACGCGTATACTATCTCCCTGATTATGTCTACTACATCGTTAACACTGTTCATCACGTGCATTTTGCATACGGATAGTCCATTGGCCAATCATGCTATTTTACCGAGATTTCGTCTAATGGTTTGGATACAGCTATGGCGGGTGTGGCGCCAGTCAGGGTAAACTAACTCTTCCGGACACCTGTTACCACTGTTTGTCGTGTATTTTGTACATGGTGAACAGTTTATTTGCTGATTACACTATATTTCCTATACCCTTTTTTTAGGACTTCGAATTTTGTCTAATTGTTTGGATTGTTCGTACTTGGTTTTATTTCATTATCTGAAAAGTCAAATAATATCCAAAAGACGGCATATTTCTGGCTGCAGATGTTTAGACCAGTTTAAAAACTAAATATAAATTATCCTGTTGGTAACTGACTGACGGGAAATCATTTGTGTTTTTTTTTAATTTTGGTTTTATTTAAGATTTGAAAACGACGATCCTCTATTATAATTACCTAGCTATGGAAAGTATGATAATCAAAACTTATATTAGTAATTTTGTACCGCTGATATATAGGTGGATTGTTTGAATTTATAACAAATGGGCCAGATCCGTGTGATGTCTAGAGTAATTAAAATGTATGTAAATTTATCTAATTTTCTGTGGAAAAGTAATTCTTTGCTAAAAAGATCGTAGTTGACTGAGTTCTGGTAAGGACGGATGCTCGGTTTGGTGTGCCCCTTTCTTAATAACTCGTTCTTGATGTTGGGTGGGTATGAGGGTGCACATGACCTCTGGCACTCGGAATACGAAACAACAAAGAACTCATGAATAGTGTTATTGGGGCAATAAGTATAAATTAATAAGTATAAATTAGAGAGATTTTTGATGTCAGACCCGAAAATATTTGAGGCCTTTTGACTTTCTTCAGCATGTACTTCAGATCAAATGAATTGAAATGGGGTTTAACGTCCTACTCCGAATTGGGCTAATGAAGACGGGTATACGCCATACAGTGTGCTTTGAGGGAAATTTTGCCCGGACAGCGGCACTACGGCCTACTCCTATCTCGAATTCCAATTGTCAAGGGATTTTTTACGTGCACGCCAATGTGTACACGGGTCCTTGGTTTTTCGTCCCATCCGAACGACTAGACAGCTGTCCTTGTCAGGCCCTCCGTCCTGCATCACTGACAAGGGGGAACCACGTCGGAAAATCTGGATGAACTTTCTCGGCCAATGCAGGGATCGAACACCCGACCTCCAGGCTAGCGAGCCGGCGTCTTACTTACCGTGATCCCCCCTGCTCCAGACCAGGTTTACATATTAGGAGTCGTGTAAACCGTAAACAAGTTTTGTTAGATGGGACAAAATGGAAAGGCTAAGGAAGTAGATAAGACCTACATTAATTTGTTTATTAAAAAAACATTATTTTCCCTCGTAATTATCAAACTATGTAGCTGTCCAAATTAGGGAATATTTCCTGCAAAGTAGCAGGAAAATGTACATGTCGATCTTTATCTAAGGAAATTAGAATTTTGGTTGTTCGGTCTCTCCAAATTAAGTATGAATGCCAATAATCAATAAATCGCTCATCTTAGAAATCAGAGGTAATGGCGACCAGCGAGCGGGAGTCTAATAATTGGGCCTAATGGTCTAAAGTATCGTGCTTTGAGGTCTAGCTAGTCGGTCACCTCTGGCTTGTGGTTGTGGATTTGATCCCTGGTGTGAACGTATGGGGCCTTGAGATTGGAGCGCCTTCCCAATTCCCCACTTGTGCGCTAAGATAATAAAATTGAAAATAAGACAACTTGTCTGTGATATCATCCTCGTTGGAAGCGGACGTTAACCACTAATAGAATCATCATCCTCACCAAACTATATTTTCGGTACGATATAACAAATATAAGCATGAGTCAAAAATAAAACCTCCTTCGTTTTCCTCAACCCACTCTAACTAGAGTGGCAAACCTCTGACAACGCTGTCGGAGATTACCCGCTCTGGTTAAAGCGGGTTGAAGGAGAACGAAGGGTGTTTTTTATTTTTGATTTGAATTATATGAAGTCATATTTGGGTCCTTGAAGAGGTTTAATTGGTTTTGCAAGATTGGTATTGGGAGATTTGCTTTTCGAGATATATTTTTCGTTGTATGATTCTGGTGAAATGTAAATGTAATATTTTGATTTGCATATATAAATTTGTTTCATTATATTAAAATACAATTAAATTAAAGAAGGATACTTATACAGATGTCGAAGACAACAATTGGATACATAAAAATTATGGACTAAGAATTAAGAACACTAAACAAAGAGCTGTTTGGCCTTCTTCTATACTAATTCGAGTCCAATCGACCTTCCTAGAGGGACATATATTTTCAGATGTTTTATTTTTGAATAATGCTTGTGCTTATAAATGTTACATCTTAACTGTTATAAACTGTTGCATTTGAAATGTATCCTACTTATTATAAAAACGTATTTTATAAGAACAATGAGTTTCTGAGTTTTTCATTTTAATGTAGATATATTGGAGTAATATTGACTCCGTGGAGAATAAGTCTAAATTGAAGTTAATTTCGAAGACCAACATGAAGCAAAGAATTATCGGCCTTGACGAAAGACATTGCTGTCTATTATTTTTGGCTGTGTTACAATCGTTGTGCTTAACAACACTGTACAAATCTTTACGAAATATATATAGCGACTGATTTAATCAAATAGATCGAGACATATTTACCTTGACCAACTAGTTCAAGACAAAACGGAAATCCAGCACTGTTATTAGTTCCTATCTCCATATGCAATTTCACAGTTTCCATAGCGTTCAAATCAAAACTCGCTTTAGTTATATTTTCACCACACGAATACAGCCTTTGATTATTATTTTTATATACAGAATGTAATGAATAATCACACTTGTTGGAAGCAGTAGTTACATTCCTTATTTTAATTTCCACAGGATACTGAGTAGATGTAGTAATAGTAATGTAACAATTACAATCGATGCCATTTGTTCCAAATGTTATCCCAGACAAATAAACAACCCTTCCACTAACTGACAGGGCACTACAAAACGGCACTACAGGTGGCACACCTTTAAAAAAACAATTACATAAATTAAATAACTCAACAACTCAGAAAATGACGGTAAAATACGTTTAAAAATAAAAATGTGAATACAGAAACTATACAGATTACGATTGCATTTGTTCTAATTTAAATTCATGAACGGATAGTAGAAGAAAATATAAATAAAATACCGTCTGATGATTTGTTTAATTTGGAGCAGGTTGTGGACCAGTGAGTAAGACGTTGGTTCGCAAACATGGAGGTCCCGTGTTCGATCCCGCTGTTGGGCGAGAAAGTCCATTGGGATTTTTCGGCGTGGCTGATTACCACCGTATTCTACGCAAAATTTTACTATAGAAAAGTTGGGTCTGGTTTTGTGCCCATTTGGTAACCCGGCCCCCCTCCCCACCCCACCCCACTGAGCCTCCGGTCTATAATGGTTTGAGTTGTGATATTACGAATCAACATAATCAAGATACCATTCTTAATAAAACTCTTGAACCTACATATACAAATACCTGCCTGGTCTTCATTAATATGTAATATCAATATTGTAATTTTTTGTTAATAAATACGCTTGAGTAGAGTTAGGCTACCTTCTGGCTAATTCCTAACCGTGTCTTTTGAAGGGGAGCATTTAGGTTTTGCTTACTTTAGCCGATGAGAGTTACTTCGCTTCGCCAACTTGTTTTGCAAGTAACGATTCATTGGATTGATCGATAAAAAAGCACAATCATCAAGGACAGATAAGTTGAATACCTGTCCCCCATGGATTTACCCAGCGTTTAGTGGAGTGGAACGGATTGAGACCACTGGGGATACCGAGGATGGTCCTGTACCGCCAGATTTTCCCTCAAGACACATATCATTACCCTAGTTAGTGCAGAACAGCACGACGTTAAACCCAATTTCATTTCGTATTCTTAGTATGCGTGAATTGTGCATAATGTATCTCAATAAACAAAACACCTAAACATAAGAATTTCTAAATAAACCGTATTCAATGGCAATAACTTTAATAGTGTATAGTAATGGTCATTGATCAATAGAATTTATTTTGTGTAATATTACCCATAATCAAAATATAAAATTTGTCATTGTTCAATTTACTTACTTGAGTTATCACAGTTCATACTGACTGAAAATAAAAACAACCATACAAAATTACTAGTAGAGAGTAAATAATTGTTCAAAGAGTATCATGAGATATGCCAGTTGACAAGTTGTCTGTGATATCACAAAGAACGAACGAACAAGTATTCACAAGTAGAGAGGGATATGAGAATGGAATCTGTCCCCCTTTCTAGTACATCTGATACTGCTGATACTATTTTGATAATAGTTTCATAATAATTTAATTAATTTGAGAATCCGAATAATACTCGCAAGATACAACGTCGTCATTAAAATGGATAATTTAGAAAATGTTCATAAACCGCAGCCCTGATAAAAAGTCATTCTTAAAAGATCAAAAGCTGTGCTAGCTTGTATCTTTTCGAATTAGCTGTTCACGAGCAGATAGAAATCGGTGTTTATTGTATCTAAAACAGTTAAATTAAATTATTTAACAGTCTTATTATCGTTACGGGTGATATCATATACAACTTTTAGTCCCTGAAGTACAAGGAAACTCGTAATGTTTTGTCCCATATCCGAACTTTTAACTCCATATAAGGATTTTAAATCCATTATTAATGAAATCATTTATGATCGCTGGCAACGGTCTTGGGATCTTGAAGGCACAAACAATTTTCATCACATTAAGACCATCTTAGGAGATTGGCTAAGCTACTATAGAACTAACAGGAGAGATGAAGTTGTTTTGTGTGGCTCTCGAATAGGTCATATTTTTTAACACATATGTTATATATGTATATATGAATACTTTATGTGATAATACATAGCTTGTCTCATACTTTTTATCATTTGTTTGGCGCAAAATAGCCTGGCTGGAGCTGACGTGCCATAAAACCCCATTTCATTCATTCATTCCTAATGTTTTGTCATCAGTCTTGTTTTTTTTATCATTCTAACATTTTGTATTAGCTTTCGAATTTATATTTTAGAGGTTCAATCGTATATATATATATACGAAATTTCAGAAAGATATCCTAGTATTAATGTACTTACCAACAACACCAACAGATAATGCTATAATGGCCACGCCGAGACTAAATACTTCTCTATGTGACCTGACCATGATTCACCGGTGTTTATATGACTATTTCACTGTAAAACTTGTACGATGAAACTTAAACAAAATATGCAAACCAACATATTTTTAACATATTGGTGATTTATATCTAGTAGTAGTGAATATACACACTCATAAAGCGACCAAACATCTTTCTTTCACAAATATGTATATGTTGAGCTAGACATTTATAATATATTTCCTTGTTAAAAGTCTATTTATAATAAACAAGTAAGACGAGGTGACTTGTTCAATGGTCCCTTCCTGTCATAGATTGCGTGTAGATTTGTATACCCAACACATGAATGCATCCATTGTGGAACTTTCAAAATAAACATCCCAGATAAATTATTCAATTGCCGCAGCTTATAAACCACAAATATGTCGTCTTTTTAAATTAATCCCAACATAAGATAGTTCATACACACACCAAGGGTAAGACACGCCTTGCCGTATTTTGAAATATTTACATTCACTAGTCAAATATCATTGCAGAAAACAAATGATCTGCAATAAATCAAATACGATATCGAAATCACACACGAAAATCGATGTTATACACAGACAACCAGTACGATATCTCATACACAATCCATGTTATACACAAACGCCTAAAGACTAATATTGATATAGCTAAGGTTTTTTTATAATTTATGTTACGAAAGTTCAGTTGGCGTGACCACATACATTTGTTATTAACATATGCATTGATAAAATTGTAAAGCAGACGACGTAATATTTATAAAGAACAGGTTTCACGCCAGTAGTATGCGTAATCTACTTCCTCGCTCGTTTCATAACCAATGACTAACTAAATGAGAAGCTATTTGAGGTTTAATTATAGATTATAGAACTTGACAATAACAAATATCACTATAGCAATAACACGGTTACCCCTATTACTAGGGGCGGATTAAAGGATCGGTAAACGGAGGGCCCCATTAAAGGAGAGTTCGGGGCCGTCCCTAGGAAAATTTTGAAAATGACATCGCTGTAGATGAGATTTAAAGCGCTTTCATGTGGGTTTAGATACAAACTGGAGGGCTCTAATTGGAGTGTGGTGTTGCAAAGAGTAATAACCAACTCCGTGGAAACAAAAGTGACCCGTAAAATACTACACAACTAAATATGAGGCAATGGACATGCATATATTTCACCAAATGAGTTTCTTTCAAGTTATTTGACTTGCGAAAATGTTGATGACTGCCTCGAGATCAATGTCATCCACGGGCCTTTCGGGCAGCAGCAGGGGCCTTCGTCAGCAGGAGGGCATCCACGATTAAGTGAAAGTTATGTCAATTGTTGGATTCAAATGTTTGAAAGAAATTAAGTAAAGAAAAATGTTTGAATCTTAATCGTTCTTAGCCATGTAAAAATTAATATTTTTGAACAAATTACAGGGGGCAGATAGGTAAAGTCAGTCTTAAGCAGGTGATTCGCGATTCAGACTAGAGCATGATGATGGCACCAAACATAAACACACACTTCATAAGACAAACCCGCGGAGTAGATACACCATAAATACACAGACATTTCAAGTAATGAACAACAAACGTACATAAACTATCAACTGAATTGATCCCGGGGCCTGGTAAATTCTTTTAGCAGAGTATATATTGAAGAATGTTGATATCAACAGTCTCCCATCAAAACGAGGGGGGTTGGATGGCTGAATGGTTAGCGTGCGCGCGCTGTATCATAAAGTCTGTCATTGAGTCGACTGGTGTGGTTTCCAATCCCCGGTTGTACGTGGCAAGGAGTAGGGTCGCCTGTCCAACCTCGTGGGTTTTCTCCGGGTCCTCCGGTTTCCTCCCACTGCTAAAGACCCCTACGCGCAAGCGAATTATGTAAATAAAATTAAATCATATGTTAGTCCCGAAATGACCTAGTTTGTGTCGAGTGGACGTTAAACCCCATTTCTCCCTCTCTCCCATCAAAACGAAGGCTAGCGAATATCCAGCTTGGTCTGATGAATGATGGGCCTACTCTTTTATCGAATTCGGGCTGCCAAGGGGTCTTTTACGTGCATGCCAATGCGTATACGGGACCTCGTTTTTTCGTCCAACCGAGCGGCTACAGTTGTCTTTGTACGGCCCCGCGTCCTGACAAGGGGAAACCACGCCGGAAAATCCAGATAAACCCTCTCGGCTAAAACCGGGACCTCCAGACTAGCCAACTTACTCACTTATCCACCATGGCTCCTACGGCGACAGGGCATTCCAATAGTGGTAATACTAGGTTTATTACTGTTGGTTCTGAATACAAATTTACAAAAATGAAAACAAATTACATAATTAGAAATTATTTTACATAATTAGAAATTATTTTACATAATTAGAAATTATTTTACATAATTAGAAATTATTTTACATAATTAGAAATTATTTTACATAATTAGAAATTATTTTACATAATTAGAAATTATTTTACATAATTAGAAATTATTTTACATAATTAGATAATTTGTTTGCATAATTAGAAAATTTGTTTGCATAATTAGAAAATTTGTTTGCATAATTAGAAAATTATTTTACAAAAGTAAAACTTATTTTACAAAAGTAAACCTTATTTTACAAAAGTAAACCTTATTTTACAAAAGTAAACATTTTACATAATTAGATAATTTGTTTGCATAATTAGAAAATTTGTTTGCATAATTAGAAAATTTGTTTGCATAATTAGAAAATTATTTTACAAAAGTAAAACTTATTTTACAAAAGTAAACCTTATTTTACAAAAGTAAACCTTATTTTACAAAAGTAAACATTATTTTACAAAAGTAAACATTATTTTAAAAAAGTAAACATTATTTTACAAAAGTAAGCATTATTTTGCATAATTAGAAAATTATTTTACAAAAGTAAACCTTATTTTACAAAAGTAAACCTTATTTTACAAAAGTAAACATTATTTTACAAAAGTTAGCATTATTTTACAAAACTAAAAGTTATTTTACAAAACTAAAAGTTATTTTGGAAAAACTAAAAGTTATTTTGAAAAAAGTAAATAAAAAATAAAAGTAGGAAATAAACAAATTACAAAATTATCAAAAATTATTCTACAAAACTAAAAATAGAAATTATTGTTCAAAATTAAAAATAGGAAATAAAAAAAATTAAAATAGTTCGTATTTGAACTTCGGTTATCCCATCAAATCTTTTACTGTTTACATAGGAAGGGCGACGTGCAAAATTAAGACATAAACCGCCCTAAACAGAAATTGTACGGGTCACAACTAAGGCGTTGGATAGAAGGTTAGCACGTGCGCGCTGCATCATAAGGTCTGTCATTGAGTCAACTGGCGTGGTTTTGATTCCCTGGTTGTACGCTGTCCAACCTCGTGAGTTTTCTCCGGGTCCTCCGGTGTCCTCCCATTGCTAAAGACCCCTACGGGCAAGCGAATTAATGAAAAATATTTAACCATATGTTAGTCCCGAAATGACCTATTTTGTGTCTCGTGGACGTTAAACCCTATTTCTCTCTCTCGATATCCAAAAAAAGAAACGCACAGTCCATTTTTCATCATTTTTGCATTTGAACGGGATCGTTGTTTCCATAAATCTTACTTGTTTTTAATGTATATATGTAAGAAATTCATTTTTTACTGTTTGAATAGCATTTAGTAATTGAACACATTAAAATAAACACAACAGTTCTATGGATAACAATTACTATATTTAATTAAAGCTACGTTTCAACAATGATTCTCTTGTCGTTATCAAGCACAATACTAATACAGACAGAAGGAACGAAATATATATACTATGTATCAGTATTGTGCTTGATAACGACAAGAGAATCATTGTTGAAACGTAGCGTTATAGAAATACAGTAATTGTTATCCATAGAACTGTTGTGTTTATTGTAAATTCATTATTGGTTTTCAATGTAAGGTCACTAATTGTGACTGGTCATACTTTTTGCCGAAATTTGTTTTCGCTTGATGGCACCAAGACATAAGTTTAACAACTTCGCGAGCTTTTAGCATGAAACCTAAATCTAAGGCCTTTAAAATGCTGGGGCTCTCGATTTCAAAATTAGTTGCACACTCAACGAACCAAGTGATACCCAACGAGCCGTGTGATGCCACATCTGAACGAAGACCAACGCAACAACGCTATTGGTCGGTTACAAGCAGGTGAATCCCAGACAGATGTAGCCAAGCTGCTGAATGTTTCCCAAATTACCATTTCTCGCCTTCGGGGTAGGTACCGACAGCGAAGTTCAACACGTGACCGCCCAAACTCGAGTGACCCCACTTGCCCTGGAACGTCACATCCGGTTACGTCATTTGCGGAAACGGTTTTCAACAGCAACCTCTTACTGCAGCAACAATTCCCGAATGGCGTAGAATCGCAGATCAGACAATCCGTAAATGCCTACGTGAAACATGATCATATTTTGAAATACGCCGACACCGTGAAATCCGACTTCCATGGGTTCAGAGACAGAGGGTATGGCCACAGGAACACTGGAGAACAGTTTGGTTCAGCGACGTGTCGCGGTTCCTGTCGCAACGAAGCGATCGTAATAGAACAAGCCTATACTAACGATGAAGTGTCACTATTGCGTTTCGTTTTTTTAAGAGTATATTTCAATTTACCAATAAATATGTAAATTCCAGTATGAGTAGCTTACCAATACATAAATAGATTGAAAGTTATGTTAGCAATGTTTATAATTATGTTTTCATTGTTACAAACATCAAGTAATTTAGCTAGTTGCACATTAGTAGGTACATACACAGCATGAGAATAAAGCTGGTAATTAGCTAGATTAACACCTGAACGCATCTGAAAACTCGCCCTTCAGTTTTACACATCATTGTTTATAAGAGTACATATAGGGTTTAATAGTTTGTGAATCTGCACGATTACACAATATTGCATTATTTTCTGTCATAAACAACACATGCTTTGGGTTGTCATTTAGAAAGCAATACAACCACTTTTTGTGTGGCAAGTCGTCGAAACCTGTAAAATTTTAATGGTGAGGTCTTAGCCCCAATTATTCCCATCTACTAAAAGTCAATATATATATTTTTTTAAATCACCACGCTGTTCACATAAATGTTGTTTTGCTGCGTTCAACATGTAAATCCATATAAATATGTGAACTCTGTTTTGGTTGTCGTGGCGTTTCATATATGACATCTTTCTTTCGTCTTTTTATCAAACTAGAACGAACAAATATTTTTATTTAATAGGGTATCTAAACAAACTTATGTGACATGTTATTGCGAAAAGTAACGAGAATTGGTGAGTATTGGGACTAACTGGTGGACGGAAGCCCAGTGGACTTTAATCCTACCTTTCTTTTGTCAGTGTGTTTCTTACTGTATATTATATCTACTGATATTAAATAGTTATCAGATGAGTTATCTGCCCCTGATTTTCATAATCGCGCTTACGAACATGGACGTAATAGGCTTCAGATATAATATTTACTCAGCTTAATTTTATTTAAGAAAGATTATTCTTTGCTACAAAAGGTACAGGCAGTCGCATATTTATTTTAGTTCTTCCTGACGGCTACTTGCACGCAAGCGCAATAGCCCCATTGATCACCACTTACATGTTCTATCGATATATTAATAATATTAACATAAGATTTAAATGTTTTGTATACTTACCAAACAATTATAATAACTAAAGCTACCACAACCAGAACAGCTAGACTAGATCCAATTATTATACCAAACACTGTAAATAGAATACAAAAATTGGATAGATCCAATTAATAAAGCCACCACTGAAAATACAATATCAAATATAATACAAACATCAGATTAGAAATAATTACACATCAAAAACTATTTAAATACTAGCGGATGACCCGGCGCTGCCCGTAACTCCAAATATCAGCCTTGGGACAGACCTAGTGTAGCTGCCAACTCTGAACTAACAGACAAACGACAGTCACAAATATTAGTATAGTCCGGTGGCCAAGGGGGGGGGGGGGATCGCCACCCGAGCTGTGAATTTATGAGACCAAGTTTTCCTAGACCAGTTTTTTGCGTAGATTCCGATTCTGGGTGGTGATCAGGCGTTTGAGGGGGCGTTTTCGAGATATGGGGCGTCCAATGTCTACAATTGGGGGGGGGGGGGGCAATGTCATTATGTTGACATACATGATTATCATGTTATATATTAATAAAACATAAATTTCTAGGACTGTCCATCTCTAAATAAGTGTATATGATGCCCCTGGGCAACTGTTTTGATGTGTAGCGAGGTGGGGTAGGTGGTTGCAGGTGTGCGTGTGTGTAGGGTGGGTGGGGTAAAATTGGCGGGAAATGAGTTCACGTTGATTTAAATGATGATTTTCTTTGAGCTTGATAAAAACATTACTTTTTAATTCCGCTGCACATCTCTAAATATGTGTATAAATTCCCATTTGATGGGGGTGGGGGGCAAAATGTATTTGTTGGGACAGAAACCACTTGGTTCAAAATTGACCTGAAAAGTGGCCTTCGTTCAATACCAATTTCGTCATTAAAAATATTAAATTATAATGCAATCTGAATAAAACACAGATCCTATTTCTTTCCGTTTTTTTATAGTTTATAGTTTTACTTGTCTTCATAAAACCAGGATCTGGAAGAGTTGTTATATAAGCCGCGTTCTGGTTAATGAGAGGGATTAGCCAATGTAACGGTCTGTTACGGCGAGTTCTTGTCAACGCTGGTTGATTAATCAATGTCTGGCGTCATAGGGTCAAAAACCGCTCGTATGACCTCTGACGCCACCTCCCACTACAACCGGTCACATGTTCATGTAATGTATGGCATCGAAAGTATAAAAAAAACGATACGAAATATAGATCTGTATTTTGATCAGATTGATTATAAGAGTACTTTTCAAGAAATCTGGAAATGTAAATAAAAAAACATAAACATGTTTAGATTTTAGTTTATTCTTATATTCTTCATCAGAAGATTCAAAATCAAAGTTCATAATATGAGCGGGATAAATATCTTCTTTATGGGTGATCAACTGCTCGCATATATCCTTTGGATATGCTTCAGATAAACATTCGCATAGTAAATCTTCGTTCCAGCCAGGGGCGTAAATGTGGTACGTGACAAGGAATAGGGTCGCCTGTCCAACCTCGTGGGTTTTCTCCGCGTCCTCCGATTTCCTCCCACTGTTAAAGACACCTACGCGCAAGCGAACTACTGAAATAAAATTAAACCATATGTTAGTCCCGAAATGACCTAGTTTGTGTCGAGTGGACGTTAACCCCCATGTATAGTCGTTAGGATGGTACGAAACACAGAGTTCCCGTGTACACATTGGCGTGCATGTAAAAGATCATATGTTAGTCCCGAAATGACCTAGTTTGTGTCGAGTGGACGTTAAACCCCATCTCGCTCTCTCTGTTGTGAGTATGTTGGTCTAAGAACAAAATTTCCCCAGAGAGAAAAATAGTCGGTATCAAAATAAGTGCAGTCACTGCAGTCGGTCTCAAAATTATTCATCGGCGACTTAATGAATTAATGATGTAAACAAACAATGCCAGAATAGATCCCAAATACTAAGTATTAGCGTGAATCCTTGAGCCTAAATTGCATACGTCACACAAAACTATAGTATAAAATAGCCATGTCTGCTTGTCATGTTTGAAAAAATGTTTGTCACACTTATTCAGTTGTGAGTATGTTGTTTTATGAAATGTTTTTCCCCATGGCAAAAAAATAGTCGGTCTCAAAAAAAGTACTCACCGCAGTCGGTCTCAGTCTAAATGAATTAATGAGGTAAACAAATAATCACAAAACAGGCAAAATTGACAGATAGGCCACAAGATTCTCTCCCATTTCTTATCCTCTCGTTAACGAGAATTTGGTTCCATTTGCCATGACATTGACTAACATTTTCAGGCCCAGTTCCGAAAAATTAAAAGCTCGGTTACATATCTGAAATTTTTTACCGCCTGCGGCGCTCGATTCCTTTATAACATCATTTTTCTATTCCTTTGTTGCCTGATACCGTCTCTGCACTATCATATTCACGATTATAGTGAGCTGCCCAGTTATACTGGTGTGTGGGTCGTGGGGCGTCAGAATATACAAATGTTATATCAACTCTTGCAAAACAGGCGCAAATGACAGGGGCAGATCTCGAGATTCTGTCCCATTGACTCACATTTCTGGTCCTCTCGTCCACAAGACTTTCTCCCAGCAATGACCTCAAATGCTAGGATATTGACTCAATTTTTCAAAATTTTCTCTGGTTGCTCAGTGTTATAGGCACAATCATCATATATGACATAAACTTTATGTCAACTTAAATTAAACTGCTTTACGGCGAGACAACGATCGGCGAACATTATATAATTATGCAATACTATCTATGTTCTACTGGGACGCTTAAAGCGAGAATTTCATATTTTCTAAGAAAGTCAAAACATAATTATGTCTATGTCTTTTGCTCAATAGGTTGTCAACTCACTATTATACGACCATGGGCATTATTTCCCACCCTTAAAAATCATTGACACAGGAAATAATAACACAATTACCTCCCTTGTTTTCCTATTGCCTCCATGCATTAGCTACCTTCAAAAGTTGGAATTTGAAGTTGAAAATGATATTTTTGCCAATTTCTCAGCTGGCAATAGTGAATTATAGGATTAATAGGATTATTCTTTAACAAGGTAGGACTGTTTATATATAGATACCATCTATTTTAAGGCTTTATTTTAATACATTTTAAAAATATAACTTAAAAATATGAAATTGTAACTTTAATGTTATAGCCAGTATTTTGTTGACATTCATTGTGGGGTGGGATTGTGGATGGCTCCCTAGATTTGGAACCCACCCCACCCCACCCCCTATTCCCAGCGTCTAGATCCGCTATTGCACATGGCCCCTAGAAAACTCGCACCTGTTGTGCGCGACTACTGACTGCGTCACTCGTACTGGGGGTATGTGCGTCAGTCGGTCGCATTTTGGCTAAACACCCCCCCCCCCAACAAAATCGTTATGTACGCCCCTGGTTCCAGCTTTGTATTGTATCGCAAGGTCATCTTGTTCGATCATTGGTTTTGCAATCTGTCTCCATATTATTGCTACGTAAGTGTTGCGTTTAAAATTCCTCCAGAAAAATCTTTCTTCTAATGTCATCTACTGATTTAAGTTGCTTTTCACCGTACTTGGTACAAACAATTATTTCTATTCCAGCAATTACGTAATCAGAAACATGATTTGCCTGTCCCAGCTCTTTAAAAATTGTTAGAAAGTTGGAATTATCTTGTAAAAGAAAAACAGATAGTCATTACCACTAAAAGAATGCAGGTCGAGGTATTCCTTGACACTTATATCAAGATTAGTATTGAAAGTGTCGAGAATATCCTAGAACTGACAACAAATCACGAGGACACCAAAATAGCTTACCTACTTCTCTTCGCATTGCAAATTAATGGGGGCGCTGAAACAAATTGTATTTTGTGTTCTTGCTCGGGCGAAATAGACATCACAATCGTTCACCTCGCAAACGATGATCCAAAAATACACATTTTGATCGATAATGAGACGTACAAAGGTAGAAAATATCGCGGAAGGCGACTTATATCAGTAGATGATGCTAGTAGAAAGATTTTCCGAGTGAAAAAAAAAGATAACATGGCTGGAATGAAGATTTATAATGTGAACTGGTATCTGAAGTATATCCAAAGGACATATGCGAGTTGTTGGTAAGCAACCAAGAAGATCTTTATCTCGCTCATATTATTAACTTTTGATTTTGAATCTTCTGATGAAGACTAAGAATAAACTAATATCTAAACATGTCTCTGATTTACTGTGTTTTTGATTTACATTTCCAAGTCTCTTGAAAAGTACCATCATATTAATATTTTGAATGACCAAATATAAATACTGAACGAAAAGGCTATCGAGAAACCACTTTTAAGGTCAATATTGAACCAAATGATTTCTGTTCACAAAAATACATGTTGCCCCTCTCCCTCCCCTCCACACACACACAATGGGAATCTTATACACCGGACTAGTATAGATTAAGAGAATTCTCTAAAAAAAAACTTATACGCACCTGACCTCATTAAGGACCTGCCCTCAGCCCTTAAATGGATACTTTAATTATGTCATATAGCAGGATACCCGGCTTCGCTCGGGGGTCATAACTCCGAAACCGGAAGTGGTACACTAACGCCACTTGGCCTATGTGACTCCCCGGTCCGAGCTACCCCTATCCCCCAAATTTCAGACTCGGGGCAGACCTAATGTAGCCGCCAACCCCGAACAGACAGACAAACAGACAGACAAACGACAGTCACAAATATTAGTATAGATAGATAGATTGAGACTAACATACCATCAATATTTGCGAGGGCAAGCATTATGTCCTGACAGTGGGTTTCAATTACTCCTTTTCCATGGAACCTTGTTTTTGTCATATCGGATTTGAATTATGTAAATAATATATTTTATTTATTACCCGATTACATATTTTCCAGTTTTTATTTTTAAATCATTATAGAAAAATAAATGTCATTTTGATAAAACAAACAGTGAATTGTCAAATACGTCATGCATTTCAGACACTTATTTGATAACAAAACAAAGAACGACAACTTGTCTTTACAATTTTATGAACAAATCATGAGTTAAACTTAATGACCAATATTATACGTACTGCGATTTGAATCATCATTGTTTGGTTGTGGTTTCGTTGTTGAATGAATTACACTACTGGTGTTAGAGGTAAACCTTGTGTAACTCGTACCATCTTTTATCCCGGTACTGGAAGTTGGTATGTTATTGTTAGAAATCGTCGACGAAGTGTTTCCGCTTGCTGGTGTCATGTATGTTAATGTAGGTGAAGCTGTGGTTGTTGTTGACTTGGATGTGCAGTGTAGCTTAATACTCGAATCCGCTAAAATATTAAATAATTGAATTAAAGCCCTTGAATCACGGCCTTGAATAATTGTGTGAAATTAAGTTTTGATATTCGATATTAGCGTTATTCTGGTGACATATCACTGTCACTACATTTATACATATATATACTATTCAAAAAAAGTAGGGGATATTTGATTTTGGGGGCATAATACTAAAATATGCAAATGACTACGAAAAAAGTCACTATAGAACCTAACAGAAGAAACATTTCCAGTTACATGTGACGCCCAAACGCACCAATAGCTACCGCATGGAATGCAGGTGATGCTTGGGATCATCATGGGGGTCCAACCCAAGATTTGCACGACTCTGACTTTGAATGTTACAGTCATCGTGACATTGAATTCTAGGGTGGAAACATCAGTTTAATTGTTTTAGTGACCAGGAAACACATTTTGATATGCGTCGGCTTACCCAAAATGAAAGGTTACGTGCCCTTGGCATGCTACAGATCGGCACAACACAGGCGGTTGTGGCGCGGACGATGAATGTTTCTCAGTCTGTCATAAGCAGGCTATGGTCCAGATACCGTGATACACAATCTGTACAGGACAGACCACGCTCAGGTCGACCAAGGGCGACAACTCAAGCCCAGGATCGATTTATCCGTACCTTGGCCTTGAGAAATCGTGTCATCACAGCAAATCAGATCAGCGCTCGTCTTCAAACAGACACTGGTGTGAGAGTGAGTGGCCAGACGGTTCGGAATCGACTGCATAGGGGTCACCTTCGCGCCCGACGCCCTCGCGTGATCCCTTGTTTGAGAGATCATCACATTCAGGCAAGACGTCGTTGGTGTAGGGATCGTCAACACTGGGATAATCGACGCTGGAGCAATGTGATGTTTTCAGATGAGTCAAGGTTCACTGTTGATTTTTTGGACAGACGTCGGAGGGTGTGGCGTCGTCGAAACGAGCGCTTCCAAGACGTTAACGTCATCAGACATGATCGATTTGGGGGTGGTTCTGTTATGGTGTGGGGAGGCATCACTGTTGCTGGAAGAACGGCTTTACATGTTATTGCAGGGCGTGTTACAGGCCAGTACTACCGGGACAACATCTTGGCAGTCCATGTTGTGCCGTTCGCACGACGTCATGGCCGCCGTTTCATTTTCCAGGATGACAACGCAAGATGTCACAGGGCCAGGATCGTTACAGGTTACCTCCAACAACAGAACATCACCACATTACCTTGGCCAGCACTGAGTCCCGACGTCTCCCCCATCGAGCATGTCTGGGACATGCTTGGACAGAGGTTACGTCAAAGTCAACAACGTCCTACCAATGTCCAAGAACTTGCTGTTGCGTTGCAACAGGAATGGGACAATCTGGACCAAAATGACCTTAGACGTCTCATTAGGAGTATGCCACGTCGGATCAATGCTTGTTTGGCAAACAGAGGAGGATTTACCCGTTACTGACTTGGTTGTGATGCTGTGGTAACTTTGCTGTTTGACCCCGGGTATCATTTTACCCTTATAATGGTCAGTCTGTGCCTTACTTAGTCTAACGATCATTTGGAATAAATCGATGAATGTTAACTTCATTTCATTTTGTCATTTGTTTCTTCGTCAGTTTCATTAGGTGACTTTAATAACACTTAAAAATCAAATATCCCCTACTTTTTTTGAATAGTATGTATGACAAATCAGATAAACTGGCAAACATGAATAACATTTGTACAGAGATCTTCGTCGATTGATTGAATGTTATAACAATTGCAATAAGTTGGAATACTGAAGTAATAAACCACCTAGAGGAATTTCAAGACAAACTACATAGACATTGCAAAAATAAACAACAAATATCCGGGTGTCAATCGTAAGCGTCTACTACGCTATGCCGTCCCTGGCCTATAATGATACCAGCTTTACTCAAAATATGATTCACGAGAAAGACGTAGTGGTCGTCTTATGAATGACGTATTTATGGTTAGAATGAAAAGGATTAGCACTGTGCCATATATTCAGATATCTGTGAACAATCTGGAATGTTGCCCATTGATTCCTGACCGTGATTCGTGTGGTTTATTGGAATCAATTAATATATTTGTAGCATTTGCAGGTTCTCAAATAAGACTAGAATGTACCACAAAGTCACCAATAACCACATCGCCACCAACAACAACTGAAGAACCACCTTATGATAGTTCTGGTCGATGTAAGTATATTGGTCTTCTACATTTACTACTAAAGATTTCTTTTCAAATCAAAATGTAAAAACAATGGAGCATAGAATAAAACAAAAAAGGTTGTGTGTGTGTGGGGGGGGGGGGGTCTAATATAATATGTAGAATTAAAACCATGCAATCGCTTAAAAAATGTTATTTAAAATACAAAGGTTGTAGTAAAATACCCTCCATACCTTCAGACGCTGTTTTACCCACCAAAGTTGATAACCGTCAGGTACGGTTGTAGATCAACAAGGTTCATCTCTGCGTTGAACGTGCAGGGGCAGGTAATGGAACAAGGTTCCTAGCACAAATTCAAAGGCAACCACGGTGGCCCGGAGAATCCATAGAAAAGACATAGAAATACAATTACAATTTGTTACTCTTAAAATGACATAAGTAGACTGTCGACGAGACATTTGGCTTATTCATTACAACTAGATTCTATGTTTAGGATTAATCAACTCTATTAAAATGGGGACATGTGAGGATAGAGGCTTTTACGGGATACTCCACAACAATCAAACCCTACACTTGTATTATATTTACAGCGATATAATAATTGGATCTATTCTAATGTAATGTATTTACAGTGCTTGGTATAACAATTGGATCTATTCTGGCTGTTCTGGTTGTGGTAGCTGTAGTTATTACAATTGTTTGGTCAGTATACAAAACGGTTTGATACACACATTATTTTATGTTAAACAGCTAGTAATGCCGTTAATCAATTTATAGAGCGTCAAGTCATTGCTGTGATACTCAATGGTAGAACATACAAAACACAAAACAAAGAATCCATGTAACACTTTTTGTTTTATTACACACTTCTTAAAACCTTAGGGGGGTTGGATGGCCAACTGGTTAGCGCGTGCGCGCTGTATCATGAGGCCTTTCATTGAGTCAACCTTATGTGGTTTTACGTGACAAGGAGCAGGGTTGCCTGTCCAACCTCGTGGGTTTTCTCCGGGTCCTCTGGTTTCCTCCCACTGCTAAAGACTCCTTCGCGCAAGCGAGTTATTGAAATAAAAATAAACCATATGTGAGTCCCGAAATGACCTAGTCTGTGTCGAGTGGACGTTAAACCCCATTTCTCTCCTACATCTGCACCGACAAAGGTCTTTATCAAGCAAATGATTGTGTATCCATAAAATTGTACCTCGTGTTAATATGTTCTACTAAATGCCAATCAAAGAAGAGTTACAAATTATTAACATAATATATGAACCACATTCCATATACTTTAGTAATATTGGTATTTATTTGTTTTAGCTTGGTGAAAATACGAAGGAAAAGGCCCCTACAACCACAAGATAGGCCACATAATTATGTAAATGTAGCTGTAACACCCAAAAGCAACGCCAATGGTCACAACAACCAAAACACGAACCCTGGTAATCAGAGAATGATCTATTTAGAAAATGATCTTTATAAAAATATTGATGACGAGGAGCCGGTAGGAAGAACGGGAAGTAACCACGCAGGCATGATATATCTTAAAAATGATCTTTATATTTCAAGCAATGAAACTAATTATGTTCATAAAGATGCAGATAACTCAGTTGCTCATCAACCTGTTGAATATGCTGTGGTTAATAAAACCGCCAAGAAAAGTAGTTCTGGTAAGGACGCGTCAACGGGTCACACAGTTGGACCACGTGGTGACGAATACACACTTTTACAAAAGAAATAGTTGTAGAACGCCTAATTAAACATGCATTAGGCAAGAGCTAAATCTACCTATTGCAGGTATTTCTTTAGGCCTGGAATGTTATCTAAATTATTAATTATATATTAATTAACTTATCCAGACCATAATCAATACTCGGTATCAACGCTAGCCTGCGATATTTATCGGATTAGGGTCCGATTTGCTGTTCAACTTTGATTCATAATTTAATCGTGAAATGGATAATCGAGACTATGTTTTTATCGGACCGAGACTTTGGTAATGATGATCGAGGCTAGGCCGAAAAATCAATCGCTAAAATCTCGGTTCAGAGTGGATCAATTTTACTGAAATTTCCGTATCTTTAAGCAAATAACTTACAAATGAAAAATGATAGACAGTATATATGTTCAAACCAATTGATCTTGGGTCTTGCAGGCACAAACAAACTTCACCACATCAAACTAGACTTAGGAGGGATGAAGTTGTTTTGTGTCGCACTCGCATTGGTCATACTATTTAACTCACATTTCCATCTTGAAGCGAGAGCCTCAACCGGAATGTGAACACTGTCATGTTCCTTTCAAAGTTAAGCACATTTTGAGTATCTCAAAAATATTAATTCCAAATACTTCCGTTGCAAGTCATTACAGGATTTATCTGCACAACCGGGTATACATTGTGAAGCGTTGGACGTTTTTAAAGCGACACATTTTCATAGAAAAGTTTAATTTGAATATATATACTTGTCTTTTCAATTTTTTTTATATTTTAAATATTTAATTTTAATTACGTTAACTGTAATACTTGCTTATACCTGTTTTTATATATATATAATAATAGTTATTTATTTCATATCGTAGATATCACGAGTGAGGCCGATTTGCCAAAAACTACATTTCATTTAGCAGTGGGAGGAAACCAGAGGACCCGGAGAAAACCCACGAGGTTGGACAGGCAACCCTGCTCCTTGTCACGTATAACCACATAAGGTTGACTCAATGAAAGGCCTCATGATACAGCGCGCACGCGCTAACCAGTTGGCCATCCAACCCCCCTAAGGTTTTAAGAAGTGTGTAATAAAACAAAAAGTGTTACATGGATTCTTTGTTTTGTGTTTTGTATGTTCTACCATTGAGTATCACAGCAATGACTTGACGCTCTATAAATTGATTAACGGCATTACTAGCTGTTTAACATAAAATAATGTGTGTATCAAACCGTTTTGTATACTGACCAAACAATTGTAATAACTACAGCTACCACAACCAGAATAGCCAGAATAGATCCAATTGTTATACCAAGCACTGTAAATACATTACATTAGAATAGATCCAATTATTATATCGCTGTAAATATAATACAAGTGTAGGGTTTGATTGTTGTGGAGTATCCCGTAAAAGCCTCTCTCCTCACATGTCCCCATTTTAATAGAGTTGATTAATCCTAAACATAGAATCTAGTTGTAATGAATAAGCCAAATGTCTCGTCGACAGTCTACTTATGTCATTTTAAGAGTAACAAATTGTAATTGTATTTCTATGTCTTTTCTATGGATTCTCCGGGCCACCGTGGTTGCATTTGAATTTGTGCTAGGAACCTTGTTCCATTACATGCCCCTGCACGTTCAACGCAGAGATGAACCTTGTTGATCTACAACCGTACCTGACGGTTATCAACTTTGGTGGGTAAAACAGCGTCTGAAGGTATGGAGGGTATTTTACTACAACCTTTGATTTTAAATAACATTTTTTAAGCGATTGCCTGGTTTTAATTCTACATATTATATTAGACCCCCCCCCACACACACAACCTTTTTTGTTTTATTCTATGCTCCATTGTTTTTACATTTTGATTTGAAAAGAAATCTTTAGTAGTAAATGTAGAAGACCAATATACTTACATCGACCAGAACTATCATAAGGTGGTTCTTCAGTTGTTGTTGGTGGCGATGTGGTTATTGGTGACTTTGTGGTACATTCTAGTCTTATTTGAGAACCTGCAAATGCTACAAATATATTAATTGATTCCAATAAACCACACGAATCACGGTCAGGAATCAATGGGCAACATTCCAGATTGTTCACAGATATCTGAATATACGGCACAGTGCTAATCCTTTTCATTCTAACCATAAATACGTCATTCATAAGACGACCACTACGTCTTTCTCGTGAATCATATTTTGAGTAAAGCTGGTATCATTATAGGCCAGGGACGGCATAGCGTAGTAGACGCTTACGACTGACACCCGGATATTTGTTGTTTATTTTTGCAATGTCTATGTAGTTTGTCTTGTCGGTTTTATTTTGTATGTAGTGCGGTCATCCTGCACTTACTATTATGTACATATCGGAAGTATTTTTATTGGTATTTACTCTCTGTGATATTTGTTAATTACGTGTATAAATATATTTCTTTGATATTGTTTAGTGAATCTCGTTAAGACTACTATATATTGGGCGCTATAACATCCTGCTGAAGATGACGTATTGATAAAACACCATTTCATTTATTCATTCATTCAACGTTTAATCTGATGTGTACATCAAAGCATACTCTGAGTGTCTACTTGTAATTGACAGGGTGTTTGTAGGGATACATTAGTTTGTCTACTAGTCGGGCGGACATCTCTATTGGGCGATGATAATAGGGGTCGTTGTGGATAAACGTTTACATTCAGGATTCGGCAACATAATACCTACTGATTTAATCAAATAGATAGATACATATGTTTACTTTAATCAAATAGGAATATTTACCTGTACTATTAATACTTAGTTGAAGACAAAACGGAAATCCAAAACCATTATAAGTTCCTGTCTCCATATGTAATCGCACAGTTTCCATAGGTCTCAACTTAAAAGGTTGTACATTTAAATTTTGAACACACGAATACAGAATTGTACTTGTATTTCTATATACAGAAAATAATTGATAATCACACTGGTTGGAGAGAGTTACATTCTTTATTTCAATTTTCACAGGATCTTGATTAGATGTATATAAACTAATGGAACAATTACAGTCGATACCATTTGTACCATTATCTATTCCAGATAAATAAATCACACTTCCGCGTGCTGACAGAATACTACAAAACGGCACTACAGGTTTCAAACCTTAAAAATGATTAGCCACAAACACTGAATAACTCTAGAACTACGAAATTGTGTGAAATATGTTTAAAAAAGAAAATGTTAATAAAGAAACTTCGATTACATTTGTTCCAATTTGAATTGAATAGTTGACGAAAACAAAGATCAAATAACGTCTGATTTATTGTGTAATTTTCACTATGTTATTATACCGCCCAATGTACTATTCTATATTTTTAAAAATAAGTCGTGCAAATTGTATTTCATTAAAAATCTAAACATTAGAATGCCAACATAAACCCTGTTAATATGTTAACAATACTTTAATTTTCCCTCATTAGAAATTTAGTTTGTTTCCCAAATCAAAATATAAAAATTGTCTTAGCTAATTTACTTACTGTTGACAGAACCAAAGCAGTTCATGCAGACTGAAAATAAAAACAACCAAACAAAGGTTATTAGAAATAAGATAGACGTCTTTAAACCGAATAATAAAGTACTTTTTATATCTTCTTTGATTGGTATTTAGTAATTGAACATATTAAAACAAGGTACAATTTTATGGATACAACATTACTGAGTTTAATACTAAGCGACGTTTCGACGAGGATACTCTCCTCTTTATCAAGCAAATTATACAGGTATATAGTAGACTTGTTCACTAATATCCCCACAGCTCAGACACACCAAATACTTTAAAATAAAATCAATGACTTATATACCCCACTGGACACCCACCTAACCACTGATAATATCATTCAACTGTTACGTCTATGTATAACTGCCACTTACTTTAGATGGGGTGATGAATATCATCAACAAATACATGGCCTGCCTATGGGTAAACCACTATCACCACTACTGTCTGAAGTATTCATGACCAGCTTTGAAACTGATGCATTACAGACTTCCCCCATCAAACCCCTTTGTTGGTATCGCAGAGTCGATGATGCATTTGTGGTCCTCAATCAAAACAACAACCCAGAAACGCTACTCCAACATTTCAACAGTCGACAAACGAGGATAAAATTCACAATGGAAATAGAAACGGATGACAGTCCCCCATTTCTTGATGTCTTAGTGTTCTGCAAATTCAAAGGAGTGTTTCCCCAATACTGACTATACAATTTGGAAAGGAACTAATCATTATGTTGTCCTTGTTATTCGTCTTGGGATCAACCTTTTAGAATAAACGGCTAAAGTTCCGCCAATTCAACTACGATTGGCATGGAACTTGGCATCCTGCTCCTTGGTCGATTGCACGTTGACATGATTACTCGGTTCCAGGATTACAGCCCTCCCCATTCCGATTCGGTGAACCGTCCATTTTTTCGGACAATATACATGTATTTCCGTTTTTCGGGCACAAACATCAGAGAATGAGACCATTTATCATACAAATATAATTGTAAAATTAAGTCGCTCGCGGTTTATTTTTTGAATACTTCAATACTTAAAACCTTGTGCAATAACATTTGTGGAAAACTCGTTTTAGTTAATGATTGATTCATTCTGTGACTGACCCCCAACGCCCATGATAGTATGCTCTTACTTGTTTGGTACACTCTGGTGTTATGACAAGAAATAGGATCAAAAGTTGCGGTAATATACTTTAATAGGATCTGGCAAGTAGCTTAGACAACCAAGAACCAAGATCATATGCTTACACAATGTGTAAAGGGTAAAACATCAATGAATTATTCAAATGCCGGCGAACTGTGTTCTCTGCTGTTGATTTGGAAACAATATCGGTGGCTTTATAGATATTTTTTAAAGAATGTTTATGCATTTCGCTGGTAATTTTATCAAAAGGACGTGGTTTCGAATCCCCGGTTTTACGTGACAAGGAGTAGGGTCGCCTGTCCAGCCTCGTGTGTTTTCTCCGGGTCCTCCGGTTTCCTCCCACTGCTAAAGACACCTACGTGCAAGCGAATTATTGAAGTAAAATTAAACCATATGTTAGTCCCGAAATGACCTAGTTTGTGTCGAGTGGACGTTAAACCCCACCTCTCTCTCCCTCTCTTTCTCTCTCTCTCACCAAATGAGAATTGCAATAATAAATACACTATGTAAATAAGGTTAGGACACGTGATTGTTGGCCATATTAAAGAATTTGGGGGAGAGGTTATGTCTCAACATAAGCACTGGCCTAGGATGATGAAAATTTAGTTTAAATATCGTGACCTTTGACCGAACTAACAGACATGGTTTCATGCGTGGCCACTTTGGAATCGAAAATATGTTCTAATAGAGCCGACACTATTAACAAGATTCCGTTTTAATTGTATCTAAAACAGTTTTAGTAGCAAAAAGTTAATTATTTAACAGTCTTATCATTAATAACTCACCAGTGTTATTTTATAATGTGGCATTGTAAATTACACTTTGAATTTATATATAAAGGTACGATTGAAGTCAGAGAGATATACTAACTAGTATTATTAATATTTACTTACCCACAACACCAATATATAACGTTATAATGACCGCGACGAAACAAAATATTTCCGTATGCGATCTGGCCATTATTCGCCGTGTTCATATGGCCATTTTACTGTAAAACATTTGTGCGATTAAACTAGTCACAACCAATATTATTTAACACATTTCTGATTTATATCTTGTAGTAGTGGAGTTACACATTCATAATGCGTTTGACCATCTTTCCTTCACAAATACCTATACGTTGAGCTTGATATTTATACAGTAATAAATACGTCCTTGTTACAGGTATATTTATAATATATATAACTAGCTATTGGTAACGCTGTTCAGTGACCCCTTTTGTTGTAAACTTCAGGCAACCCATACATGTAATACATTAGGAATCAATAGTGAAAGTTTCGAAAATAAAGAACCCATATAACTTATTCAATTATAAACCACTAATACGTAGTCTATTTAAAGTAGCTAAGTCTTTAACTCAATATCATCCACAGTCTTTGACATTGAAAACACAAATTATTTGTCAATTTAAATCAACATTGATGTTTTGATCTTACCGGGAAAAGATATCCAATATCTAAGACAAAATAAACATTTTACCAATGGTACACGAATCGTATACCAGGGTGCGTTTCAGTGCCATTTGTAACAAGGGACTCGAAGAATGAGGCTAAACATATTCCGCAAGTCATGTCAAACGGTGTCGCCATATTGTTATTTTGAGAGCATGCGCAATAAATACCATCGGTGTAGACTGAAATGACCAGACGCTAGAGATTGTCATTCGATTGAGACTTTTCGCGTATTTCGCCGCACATAACTGATTTGAAATTAGAGGAAAATCAGAAGCGATTTAATGTAAATCAGTTTACTAGCATTCCTATTACATTATTATATTCGTTGCGACCCATTTGTATCCATTTCTAGGTGCCAAAGACTAGAGGGTTAGCTCCTTTAAATTATTCTCAACATTTAAAGCTTGTTAATAATTACGCCAAGGATAAGACATGCCTGACTGCATTTTGAAATATGTACATTCACTGTGTCACGTACAATATCGCATATCTCACATACAACACCATGTTATAAAACGAACGATTAACTAAACTCTGATATAACATTTATTTTTTTTAAAGATTTATGTCTGAAAGTTACGTCAGTGTGACCACATACCTCTGTTACTAAAATATGCATTTATAAAGCAGACAATCTGTTAGTCATAAAGAATAGGTTACTATGGAAGCGTATAGGGGTCAATAGCGCGACCAGATAGCGCAATATTAAGTTGGTAATATGTCAACATATTGTGATTGTTCTGGTGATTTTATCTCTGAAAAGACAGTAATTTGCGTTTTCTACTTCCTCGTTTCATAACCCAATAACTAACAAAATGAGAGACTATAACCAATCTCACAACAACATGCGTATAATATTATTTGTGGGTTTTTATAGAACTTGACAATGTCAGACGTCTTAAAGTTGAGGTGCAAAGTAGAATTACATTCAAACTTCTGTGCATAGCTTACAATTTTCAGAAAGATGAAACACCGGACTACCTGTCGCCAATTCTTGTTTCCTAAGTTCCTTGAAGAAATTTTCAGTTCCCAGATTTAGACGTGAATTGCACATGCTGGATAGTGATTAAGACGTTGCGTCAATATATTGAAAGAAGACTCTGGCTAACGCCATTGTGCAGTAATAAGATATTACTTGATGTCCCGTTCTCGACACCATGTTATTGCAAACTAGTCTGGACACTAACAAGACTGAAATCTGGGCATAATGAAAGCCTTTCTCCAGATATCTAGTGACAATAAATCAATAGGGTTCAAACAAAGCATTTATAAAAAATATTGAAATAAAAAAAAGAAGAGACATTTTAATTAAAAACATTTACACCTCTACACAACGAGAATAAATCATTGATATAACACAAAGAAGAAACACATTTTAGTCTATGAACAAATGGAATGAAATGGGGTTTAACGTCCTACTGTTCTGCTCCGAACAGTGCTAATGAAGACCGGCATACGCCATACACTACGGCCTACTCTTATATCAAATTCCAATTTCCAAGGGATCTTTTACGTGCACGCAAATGTGTAGACGAATTTATGAATATAGTTGAAAACAATTACACAGGTAGTATGTATAAACTAGCGTGTACCACATCTATAACAGTTCATCTATACAGGGTTATAATACTTTCGTCACCTGAACCAATTCATACATGTGGCACTGCGGTTGAGTAGTTACTTAATCGTGGCCTGACTTCACGTTGTTTCAATATAGTAACTCTAGAAATTATTTGCGAAACGACAATTTTCGTTTTGTTTACATTTAAATCCGACCAATTAAACATGCACGTTAATATGAAAATTATACTGTGAGTAGCTTACAAATACATTAGTAGATTCAAGGTTATGTTAGCAATGTTTATAATTATGTTTTCATTGTTACAAACAAGTAGGTAGATACAAGCTGTCGAAACTTGTAAGATTTGCCCGTTGAAGACATCGCGTTCTTGAAAGATGGTTATTTTGGTGTATCATGCCTTTGCGGTTAGTCCCCATTATTCCCATCTACTAAAAGTCAACGATACTTTATAGAGTCAATACATGTTTTGTTTTGTTTTTAAATCACCACGCTGTTCACATAAATGTTGTTTTGCTGCGTTCTACTGTTAACGGGTTCAGAATGTAAATCCATATAAATATGTGAACTCTGCTGTGGTTGTCGTGGCGTTTCATATATGACATCTTTCTTTCGTCTTTTCACCAAACTAAAACGAACAAATATTATTATTTAATAAGGTATCTATTGCGAAAAGTAGCGAGAATTAGTTAGTATTACGACTGGTAGATGGAGGGAAGTCTAGTAGACTTTGATCCTACCTGTTGTTGTCAGTGTATTTCTTAAATTTGTATATATCTACTGATATGGACTCAGACTAGTAATTATTTGCCCATTGACTTCAATGTTAAATGGCTGTAACATCACAGGCTGTAGCTTTTTGCTCAACATTCCGTTGGTTCCAATCTTTATAGGCACAATGGGGACCACATTTGGCAATCTCCTCAGCATAAACTTGTAGGGGGTTGACCGTTTAGATTTTTTGCTACGGGGATTTGAAGTTGACTGGGGTGAAAATCTCACTTCCGATACAATGATTGCTCGGCAGAAAGACATTTTACACCCCCTATCCCTCCGCTGTAATATCATCAGTATTACCCAAAACTGCTATAAAATTGCAAATTTGATCCCTTTTCTCCTATTCTAGACCAAAAAGTCAACCCAAAAATGCAGGAAGAGGGGAGAAAAAAATTAAGGGAAAAATTGTCTATTTATAACTCGCACTACATTCCTATATAAAATAGCTATCAGCTGAGTTATTTGCCCCTGATTTTGATAATTGCGCTTACGAACGACCACGTAATAGACTACAGACATAATATTTAGTCACAGCTTTAATTTATTTATGAAAGAAATTTCCCGGGCTACAACAATGGGTCCAGACATAATACTTAGTCACAGGTTAATGTTGTTTATGAAAGAGATTTTCCATGTTACAGGCGCCTATTTGTTGAAGTTGTTCCTGACGGTTAATTGCTGTACGTTTTGCAAAACGCAATATCATCACTGAACAACAGTTCGATATTCTATCTATTGATTAATAACATTAACATAAGATTTAAATGTTTTGTATACTGACCAAACAATTGTAATAACTAACGTTACCACGATCAGAACCGCTAGGATAGATCCAATTATTATACCAATTACTGTAAATACAGAGATCAGATTATAAGAAATTACACACCAAGAATGATATAAATATTAAGTGAATCTCCTCTAAGCAACCTTCTAGACACCTGTCCCCATTAAGCATCTGTCCCTAGTCCTAGAACCTGAAATAGAGTAGTGTTAGAGATCTCGTCGATACTTTAATTATGTCATGTTGAGACTAACATACCATCAATATATGCGATGGGGAGGGGGGGGGCATTATGTCCTGACAGTAGTTTTCAAATACATGTACTCCTTTTCCATGGAATCTTTTACATACACTAGCTATTCATACAAGAGATAACCTTGTTTGTTCAATATCCGGGTCTTCTTGGACAGCCAAGATGAACCATATTGGTCTAGACTCTTGACTTAAGATTATCAAAGTCAGACAAACTTTAATTTAGAGGGTATTTTACAAAAACTTTTGTTTTTAATTTATGTAATTAATATATTTTCTAATTTATTTCCCGATTACATATTTTCCAGGTTTCATTTTAAATCATTACAGCAATATGTTATTTTGAAAAAAAAGGGAATTGTCTAACACGCCATTCATTGCATGCACTTCTTTAAAAACAAAGAACGACAACTTGTCTGTAAAAACAAAGAACAACAACTTGTCTGTATAATTGTATAAAGAAATCAGGACTTACACAGATTAGAATCACCATTGTTTGATTTAGTTGTTGAAGGAATGCCACTACTGGTGTTAGATGTAAACGTTGGATAGCTCGTACCATCATTTCCGCCAGTACTGGAAGTTGGTGTGTTATTGTTGTTAGAAATCGTCGACATTAAAGTGTTTGTCGATTTCATGTACGTTAATTGTATAGGTGACGCTGTGGTTGTTGTTGACTTATTGGATGTACAGTATAGCTTAATACTCGAACCTGCTAAAATATTACATTTATTAGTAAAATAGTGACCGCTGGCCGCGTTAGAGGAGTGACCGTTGATTAAAGAGATACGGGGGAATTTCTCGTAACCACTTACAAGGAGATGTCGCTGAATAGGAGTGGCTGCTCGTACATATTCTACTGTAATTCATTGATTTAAAGCCCACGAAACACAGTCTGGGGTAAATAGCCAACATTTCGGATCAGAAAAGTTAAATATGTGCCTATTTTTTACGTAAAATACCCATAACCAATCTAATTATGCTCCCCTTTAACTGGCAGAGATTGAATTCCTAAAAAATACATTATGACAATGTGCTATTCAAACTATATGTAAATATATATTTTTGGAATCACTTGATATTACAATCTGCTGTGGACGCCACAGCAACGAACAGACCCGAGTTAACTGGATTCAACTAACGTGTGGTGAGCCTAGTCTAATCTCGGTGATCACGTCGCTAAGTGGGTAAGACGGTGGCTCGCTAGCCTGGAGGTCGGGTGTTCGATCCCTGCATTGGCCGAGAAAGTTCATCCCGATTTTCCGGCGTGGGTTCCCCTTGTCAGTCATGCAGGACGGAGGACCTGACAAGGACAGCTGTCTAGTCGTTCGGATGGGACGAAAAACCGAGGTCCGGTGTACACATTGGCGTGCACGTAAAAGATCCCTTGGCAGTTGGAATTCGATATAAGAGTAGGCCGTAGCGCTGCTGCCCGGGCAAAATTTCCCTCATAGCACACTGTATGGCGTATGCCCGTCTTCATTAGCTCATGTTAGGAGTAGAACAGCAGGACGTTAAACCCCATTTCATTTCATTTCAGTCTAATCTCGCCCTTGTTTTAATAGTTCTTGTTTTTGGATGGAAACAGAAGTTGGGTGGGTACGGTGATGTGCTTGTCCTACAAAGGAGACACAAAATTGAAAATATAACATTAACAATGGTCAAATATATATTTTATTTCAAATCGTACCAGGGAAACATTTATGGCATTTATCTGTCTTACCGCCTATTCCAGATCAGGTTTACGTCTTACGTCTCATGGGTCGTTGTGATAAAAAATAACTGGACAAAGGTTTACGCATCATATACAATTAATGATTTTATTAAATAAGAGTGAAACATATTTACCTCGCTGACTAGATAGTTCAAGACAAAACGGAAATCCGACAGCATTATTAGCTCCTGTCTCCATATGCAGTCTCACAGTTTCCATAGCGGTCAAATTAAAAATTGTATTATTTAAATTTACACCACACGAATACAGTAAACTACTTGTATTCTTATAATCAGAATGTAAGGAATAGTCACATAAGCTGGAGGTAGTGGTTACATTCTTTATTTCAATTTTCACAGGATCCTGATAAAATGAAGCTACTCTAATGGAACAATTACATCCGATACCATTTGTTCCCTTATCTATTCCAGACAAATAAACAGCCCTTCCGCGTGTTGACAGCCCACTACAAAACGGCACTACAGGTGACACATCTTTAAAATAAAATTAATTAGTCACGCAATTACTGAAACTAAGATAATGATGATATAAAGATTATTTTGAAAAAGAAACATAATTGATTTGCCTAAGCCCCACCCCGTCTTTAATAGCCCAGTCGACGAAGAACAGTAGGACGTTAAACCTCATTTCATTTGCCTATAAGCCTCTCTCCAGGCCAAACCTCATTTCATTTGTCTATAAGCCTCTCTCCAGGCCAAACCTCATTTCATTTGTCTATAAGCCTCTCTCCAGGCCAAATTAATATATAAAGAAGATATATATATTAAAGAAATGTCTAAAATGAAACCAATAATTAACAGCTTAATAGAACACGAAGGCAAAATGTCGTTGGATTTATTACGTAAAGTCTAGCCTTCCGACGGCGGACTTTGAATTAATGTTCCGCATCGACTTCCATTCCATATTTGCAAAGTACTGCAGTATGAATTTTTTAAAATGTGTCTGAATTAAATCAGTCGTTAAAAATGCAATGGTAAGATCAGTTTTATTTGTGTACATCAATGGTCGCTGGAATTTATTTTGTGTAATGTCGCAAATGTCTAAGTTAGATTTACTTACTGTTACTTGACGTATCGCAGTTCATGCCGACTGCAACATAAAAAGAAAAAGCACCATTACTTGACCAGTGTGGATTAGTTATGAGTACGATATGCCAAATATAATTCCAACCACTTCAAATGACAATATGATATACAAAATCTATGTGATAAAAGTTTTCTTTATTAAAGTTGAATTATTATGTAAGAGCTTAATCTGTCTGTTGCAGGTCTTTCTTTTGGTCTCAAATGTTATACAAGTTATAAATTACACGTTTATTCACCCTGTACCACCCTTTTTCATTATCTATTTTAAAGCCATTAGAGCGAGCAGTGTCGGCTTGTTATTTAATTCTTACATAATGCATCAAGTGTTATTCATACCTGTTAGTACGTCAATTCATATCATACGGTTAACATTTTACAATTAAATATCAGATATAAACATCCACTAGTATTTTAAGGGAGCTGTTAAATAGGCCATGTATGAAGAAAATACTGTTTATAAACCATATAACTATTAATAATCTGTACTTACTCACAGCGCCAATATGTAACATCATAATGGTTGCGATGAAACTAAATACCACGGTGAGCGACCTGGCCATAATGCACCCGTAAAAAGTCTGCGAGATGAAACTAGTAGTGAAATAACATAACCATTACTATATGACATTTCTTGCATTTAATACCTATACGTTGAGCTTTATATCAATACAATAAAAATAATAATTCCTTGTTACAGGTATATTTATAATAAACAAATAGGGCGAGGCTGCTTGTTCAATGGCCCCTTATTGTTGTAAATGTCAGGTAGATGTGTACAGCTAATACATTGTTCCATAGCTGTTTGACCGCGCATTATATAGGCCCTAATGCTATAAAGTTGTAAATACTAAACTATAAACAATGTCGGACGAACACGTGGCTAAGTGGGTAAGACGCTGGCTCGCTAGCCTGGAGATCAAGTGTTTGATCCCTGCATTGGCCGAGAAAGTTCATCCAGATTTTCCGGCGTGGTTTCCCCTTGTCAGTGATGCAGGACGGAGGGCCTGACAAGGACAGCTGTCTAGTCGTTCGGATGGGACGAAAAACCGAGGTCCCCTGTTACTTATTGGCGTGCACGTAAAAGATCCCTTGGCAGTTGGAATTTGATATAAGAGTAGACCGTAGCGCCGCTGCCCGGGCAAAATTTCCCTCATAGCACACTGTATGGCGTATGCCCGTCTTCATTAGCCCAGTATAGGAGCAGAACAGTAGGACGTTAAACCCCATTTCATTTCATTTCATAAAAAAATGTCAGGTGGATGTATACCACGTAAACCTATATCACATTAAGCCCAGTATCTGAATTCTGACGGGTAGAGGATCTCCTAATCAATAAAACAGTTCTTTTAAATCGACAGTCCAGTTAGCAGTATGCAATTACAATTGTAATCTGCGAAACCAGCGGAAATTCCCAGAGCTTTTCTCCGCGCGAATTAACCAACATTCGACCGTGTTCGTGTTCGCCGTTAGTTTAAACGACTGAATCAAAATAGCAGTTAAGCAATAAGTCGTGGTCGCCCTCTGTATAAATGGACACGTTTCCTGCAATAAAAACATACGCTTAAGTTTAACTCAGAACATCATTATTATCCGCAACTTTGAATTTTACTGCTCAATTGTCACTGTTTGAGGAATAAATATGAAATAATGTATATTCACATTAAGCTGTTGTCTATGAAAGGGTTAATATATTGGATAAAGATTAAGGCGACTTCAGTGATCCTTTATTTCCATGTTATACGTATTGACACTATTAATAACAAAACTCTGTAAATACAAGATGCGTTTTAACGACCACATATTTACAGGTATTGACAATATTAATAACTAGCAGGATACCCGGCTTCGCTCGGGGGTCATAATTCCGAAACCGGAAGTGGTAGATTAACGCCACCTGGCCTATGTTACTCCCCGGTTGTAGACTGATTTGCTATCAGAATCCAGCTCCGAAGATTTTTCATTTATACAAAACTATCCTGACTGGACCTGATTGCAAGTTACCACTTAGAAGAAGTAATTTTGAATTTATATGTATGTACATGCATATAATAATAATTAAATAAGACATAATTAACTGAAAATGCAATTGGTTTGAACATAAACCATCTATCATTTTTCTTTTCTAGGTTATTTGATGTTTTATAACTATTTCTTTTGTACAAGCGTGTATACGTCACCATGCGGTCCAACAGTTTGACCCGTTGATGCGCCATCACTAGAATTACTTTTCTTGGGGGGTTTATTAACCACAGCATATTCAACAGGTTGATGAGGAACTGAGTTATCTGCACCTTGATGAACGTTATCAGTTTCATTGCTTGATATATAAAGATCATTTTCAAGATACATCATGCCTGCGTGGTTACCTCCTTTTGGCCCAACCGGCACGTCGTCATCCATACTATTATAAAGATCGTTTTCTAAATAGATCATTCCCTGACTGCCGACTTGCGTGTATTGGTTTTTGTGACCGTTCGCGTTGTTGTTTGGTGTTATGGCTTCATTTACATGATTATGTGGCCTATCTTGTGGTTCCAACGGCGTCTCATATGAAGGCTTTTTCTTTCGTCTTTTTACCAAGCTAAATTAAAACAAATCAACAAAGCTGTGTTACTAAAGTAAGCGGATTGTTCCTGCTATATATTGCCCCGATAATGTTTAAGTATAAAATGTGTTTACAATAAGCGACTGATGCATTCCAATCCAGCAGGAGTGAACACGCTGTATGACATCTTATTCGTTATAAATGAACGGAAGATCGGTGAACAGGTAAAATCCCTATTTACGATACAATGCATAACAATGAAAATTGAGTTGATAACTATAAACGGAAACCAGTCATAATCTGAAAGTTCAGTCTGTGAAATGAGAATACTATATTCATATGTAGTTATCCCCGGGGTTGTCTACTTTTTATTGAGAGCCCCGCCCCACCCCCCTCCCAATAAACGTGGCTTCAGAATTGCTAAAACCATTTCACGCGCCTACTCATAATTACATTCGGTGCGTCAATGACGTTATCATTCGATTTATGACGAAAATTATGGGTATAACTTTCTTCGTTGACATATTTTACTGTTAATCAATTTGAAACAACCACATATCACAACAGAAAGTTTAGAAATGTGTATTGCTCAGTTTTGAAATACATTGAAATCTCTGAATTGTTATTTTAAAAGGTTTAATAAATGTAATAGCACTTTTTTGGATCACATCAATGTTTAGACGCTCTATAAAATGAGAACGAATAACATTAAAGTAAATTGGTATAAATCCGTTTATATACTGACCAGACAATTGTAATAACTAACGCAATCACAACCAGAACACCAACTATAGATCCAATTATTATACCAATCACTGTAAATAGAATACAAACTAATAGGATAGATCTAATTAATATACCAAACACTGAAAATATAATACATTTGTACAAAACAATAGGATAGATCTACACACCGTGAATACTTTATGGGAACATCCTCTGAAAGTGCACCTGTTCTCACTAAGAGACTTGGTACATTACCCTCGCCGTCACCAGTGATTCTGATTAGGAGGAATCAAGGTTTTCGCCTATTTATTTGCATGGGATGCTTTACGTGCAATACCCATTTGTGACGCCTTAGTCCATTAACCTTGTTGTATATAACATCTTCACATTCGCGGTCAACGCGCATGAATGAACCTAGTTGGTCCACAGTCTTATTTCTTATCTCTCTTGGGTAAAAATTCGTATAGAGGTTATTCACACCAACTTTTATATTTTAATACTATTTTTAGCATTTACTATATATGTTCTAATTGATTTCCCGATTGCATATTTTCATGGGTTTAGAAAATACACAATTTAACCTCAGACACTTCTTGCATAATGCAAATCATGTTCCATTCTACTGTTTTAGAATTCACTGTTACATTTTTGGGGTATTATTTAGATTTTCAGTAGAAAGTTACAAATGGCCATTATTATACGTACTGCGATCAGAATTATCATTATTTGGTTGTTGTGGTGTAGTTGTTGAATGAATAACAATACTGATGTTTGTGTTTGTCGAACTTTTGTGTGTTGAAGGTGCTGGCGATGTTGTGGTTGTTGTTGAGTTGGATCTACATTGTAGTTTTATTTGAGACCCTACAAAATATTAGTTGATTAAAGACAAAATTCCAGATAGTCTAGAAATATTCGTTATTTATAATTTTAAAATGATGATCTTTCGCCATAATTATCTAGCTATGGAAAAGCTGATAATCAAACCATGTGTTTTCCTTAATTCAATAAATCTTGCGGATTGATCGAATTTCATTAGCCCAGTCGGAACAGAACAGTAGGACGTTATATCCCATTGTATTTCATTTGTTCGAATTTATAACAAATAACCAGAGTTCACGTAATTATTACCGTTGCTTGTCACAGCATCATTTATTCGCCCAACCCGAGTTATATGGTGAAGTTCTAAACTTTTCCATTTGAACTATTTATATACATACGGAACTTATTTTGATGTTATTTACTCTCTAGGTGATATTTGTTTTTAATCAGGTGAATAAATATATTTCAATGATATCGTTTAATTTATTTCGTTAAGACTACCATATTTTCGGCACAATATTATCCTACACACCATCTCATTTAATTAGTGACCCATTAACCTTTTATTCTGGTGTATACGCCATAGCATACTTTTAGAGTCTACTTGTAATCGACTATATAATAGGTTTAATCTTTCCTTTGACAGGAAATGGAATCGGGGGTGGATACGGAGATACCCTCGGCCTCTACCAGTCGGACGGACGTCTCTACTAAACGAATACGTGTTAAACGAATACGGAACAACAAACACACTTCATCACAATGAATAGTGCAATATGCAACCTATTCGGAGTTCAGTAGACTTGTCATTAATTTTATTATCGCTAGTGCAGATCAGGTTAACATTTTTGGAGGCGTCGCCTGTCCATCCTCAGGGATTTTCCCCGGGCCCTCCGGTCTCCTCCCATTGCTAAAGACCCCCTACGCACAAGCGAATTATTTAAATAAAATTGAACCATATGTTAGTCCCGATATGACCTGACCTGTGTCGAGTGTACGTTAAACTCCTTTTTCTCTATAGGGAAACGTTTACATTCAGGATTCTGACACATATACAACTAATGATTTAATTAAATAATAATTACCTTTTCCAGTAAGTAGTTGAAGACAAAAGGGAAATCCAACACCATTATAAGTTCCTTTCTCCATATGCAGTGTCACAGTTTCCATAGGTTTCAAATAAAAACTCTTTTTAGGTAACTGTGCATATTCACCACACGAATAGAGTCTTGTATTATTATTTCCATATACAGAATGTAATGAATAGTCACACAGGTTGGATGTAGCAGTTACATTCTTTATTTCAAGTTTTACAGGATCCTGCTTAGATATCGTTACAGTAATGGAACAATTACATTCGATACCATTTGTGCCGTTATCTATTCCAGATAAATAAACAGTACTTCCGCTAATTCCCAGTCCACTACAAAACGGCACTACATATGACATATCTTTAAAAAATAAAATAGTCACGTAAACTGGATATCTCTGTAAAAAGCGGTAAATGTGAATAATTTGAAATAAAAAGTTATAAGTAAACAAAGATAAACTGCGGCCTGATTTATAGTTTCATTTTTAGTGTGTTATTGTACCATACCGCATCAATTCTATATTTTAAAACATGGAGTGAATCGTACCAATACAATAACACCTAAATATAAGAATATCAACACAGTTCAATATCAATAGTATGTTTAATGTTGTACAGTGATAGTCATCATAATGTAGTCTGTGTATTATTGTCGAATATTGAATTGTAAAGATTCTGTAACAAAATGTACTTACTTGAACTATCACAGTTCATGGTGACTGAAAAGAAAATCAACCGAACAGAATTACTATTGGAATTGGAGAGTATACAAACGGGCGCGCATTGATTAAGATAAGCAGAAACAAATTATACTACCCACAAAATAGATACAGTAACAGCATATTAACAACCAAATGCATATAAGAAACGGTAATAAAATCAAAAAGAAAAAAAAAATCACACTATTTCAAAATGACGGGTACAATAAATTACCCCAGTTATTTTTCTCTTATACAACGTCCTACGACCCATATATCAATATTTATTTCACGTTTTTAGATGACAAAGTAAATCCCAGGGAAATTGCCTTTTTGAATAAATATTATTAATACTAGTATATCTCTGACATTTCGTAGTCTCTTAGGTTCAATATATGTTTGTAAGAATGAATAAAATGCTGTTTAATGGCACGTCAGCTCCAACCGGGATATATTGCTCCAAACATATGGTCATCTTTTGGTGCGGTCTCTAATTTTTTCAAGATTGGACTATTGTAATAGTGCCTTGGCTGGAATATCTCAACATTTATTAAAGCGACTTCAAATAATTCAGAACAACTGTGCCAGAATCATCACAAGAACAGCAAAACGTCAACATATAACATCTGTCCTTAAATCGCTTCACTGGTTACCAATAGAGGCTCGTATAAACTTTAAAATCTTAACACTGGTCTACAAGTCTCAGCATGATTCAGCTCCATCCTATATCACAGATCTTATGCAGCCTTATGTACCAAACCGACCACTCCGTTCACAGAATAATCTATCACTTGTTGTACCTTCAACTAAATTAAAATCTTTTGGTGATAAAGCCTTCAGTGTATATGGTCCACGACTATGGAATGACTTACCTGACAAAATAAAGTGTTCAGAAACAGTTGCTCAATTTCGATCTAGACTTAAGACGCATATGTTCACGATGTATTATCCACAGAAGCCATTAACTTACAGCGCTTCGAGCATGCTCATGGATGGATTAAGCGCTATATAAATGTACATTATTATATAAATGTACATTATTATTATTATTATTATTATTTCGAGACAGGCAAAATTATCACAGAACAAATTACATGCAGCAATAAAAAAACAATATCACAGTAAATATCATTAAAAATAAAATACATCTTTTATGCATATAACTATCCAAAATACAAAAATGAAATGATATATAAATACAAATTAAAACTTATGATAAAAACCTGCCTCTTTTAAAAAGTCTAACGCTTTACCTATAAACGTGGTTGGGCAAGCATGTGAGGTAATTACTGACAACGGTAAAAATGCGATCTAATATCTAATGTTCTTAATTGTCAAATGAGCATGACAGTGTTCACATTCTGGTTGAGGCTCTCGCTTTAAGATGAAAACATGCGTTAAAAAAGTATGACCAATGCGACAGCGAACACAAAACATGTATGTATGTGTGTGCGCGTGTGTGCATATAAACAAATCATAAATAACACCAGTGACAAAACATTGCGTATTCTTTGTGCATTTCCCCCTCGGCGCCGTACATAGTACTATAGATCAGTGTATTGTAAAACCAAATCTTGATATAGATCTAAAATACCCGATTCTCCCAAGTGGTTTGAATCATATTTGACTAATCGTTTGCCGAATATAGTTACGTGTATTTCGTACAATGCATAAATCTTCTTAACAAGATACAAAGAAAGAACGTGTAGCTGGTATTCTTGTCAAATATACTTTTAGTCAGGTCAATATATGGAAAATACCCCGTCAACCCCCAAAAATTGCTACAAAGGGTTATTTAACTGATTCTCGTAGAGCTTAGTGTACTTTAGAACATACTAAAAGTTTACCAAAGTAGGACCCCCGGAAAAGTGTTTTTCCAAGATGGCGTCAAAGATGGCCACCAAAACGTCTTAAAATGGCCATAACTATGTAACTATGAACTCAAATTGTATGATTTTGGTGTCTTTCCCTATGTTTTTTTGGGACAAAGAACACATTAAGAACATTAAAAATGATGTTGACCTATTATGTCAAAAATGGCCGCCACGCCATCAAATGACCGCAAGTCCATAACTATTGACTTAAATTTAATGATCTTGATGTCTATCCCCAGGTTTTGGGGGACAAGGAACACATTAAGAGAACTTTGAATATCACTGAGCTGTTGAATCATTATGAAAACCTAAGAATAGACACCAAGATCATCAAATTTGAGTTGATAGTTACATAATTATGATCATGATCAAAAGTTTGATTCAAATCCCTCTTAAAAGTTTGTATTCGTCGGGAGATACCGCAAGCTATAAATAAACTGTTGTTAGACGCCATGTCAGTCAGCTCAATTCATTGAGGGGGGGGGGGCATTTTTCAGAATGTATTTTTCGTTACCTCAGTTAAAGATACATTATGGGGGATTAGATAAAGAGCTGACAGTTCGCACTATAATAGCTAAAAAAATAGATAATGTAAAGGGAATTTGCTGAAAAGTTCAGTCATATTGATCCACTCTGAACCGCGAATTTAGCAATTGAATTTTCGGCATAGCCTCGATCATCATTACTAAAGTCGGTTCGATAAAAAACATAGACTCGATTATTCATTTCATGATTTAATCATGAATGAAAGTTGAGCAGCAAATCGCATAGAACATATTACCTCAGTATTTAGAGAATTGCATAGACTGAATGTTAAACAGCGTATGTTTTGTCACACCTACATTTTTATATGATCCTGGTTGTCTATGTTACTTGTCAGATCTTAGCTCGTTGCCAAACACAAGCTTGCATCTTAACGTCCCACGTGTCTGGCCAATCGTACTGTATTTGACCAATCATATTTAAGAGCGCTAGCATCACGCGATATTTCTACTTACCCACAACACCAATATGTAATACTATAATGGCCACGACGAAACTAAATATTTCCCTATGTGACCTGGCCATGATTCACCGGTGTTCATATCACCATTTCACTGTAAAGCTTGTACGATGAAACTTGTCCTTAAATTACACAACCGATGTCATTTACCACATTTCTGATTTATATCTTGTATAGTAGTTAATTTACAAATTCATACAGCTTTTCTTCACAGATATGTTGAGTTGTATATTTATACAATAATAATATACTTCCTTGTTACAGGTATGTTTATAATAAACAGGTAGGGTGAGGTGACTTGTTCAATGACCATTGCTACAGGTATATTTATAACTAGGACTCGGTAACTCGGTTCAATGGTCCCCTCCTGTCATACATTTTAGGTAGATCTGTACAACCCATACATTTAATACATGACATGACTCAATGTGCAACTTTCAAAATAAACATCCCTAACTTATTTAATTGCAGCAGCTAATAAACTACTAACGTGTGGTCTGTTTAAATTAATCCTAACGTAAGATATATAGTTAATACACGCCAAGGATAAGTTAGGTCGTACTGTATTTTGGAAGTTGAGATAACCGAGTTGTGTACAATTCATGTTTGGACATTAACTTGGCGTGACGACATAATTTCTTACCAAAATATTCATTTATAGAATTTATAAAGCAGACGACGTGTTATTCAGGGAGAGAGAGAGAGAGAGAGAGAGAGAGAGAGAGAGAGAGTTTAACGTCCACTCGACACAAACTAGGTCATTTTGGGACTAACACATGGTTCAATTTTATTTCAATAATTCGCTTCCGCGTAGGTGTCTTTAGCAGTGGAAGGAAACCGGAGGACCCGGAGAAAACTCACGAAGTCGGACAGGCGACCCTACTCCTTGTCACGTACATCCGGGGGAATCGAATCGAAACCCCACCAATTGACTCAATGACAGACAGTATTATACAGCGCGAGCGTGCTTACCATTCAGCCGTCAAACTCTCCTGTGTTATTCATAAAAAAATAGGCTACACACCAGTAGTATGCGTATTGTACTTCTTGTTTCATAGCCCAATAACACAATAACTAACTAAATGATGGGTTATTTTGGGTATAAAACATTATGTGTGGGTCGTTGACAATAACCAGTCTCACAGCCCGTAACAGAGTTCCTTTTTATAAAAATGTTCGTTTATTGCTAAACGGGTTTCTGGAATAAAAGCTCACAGTTATATTACTCCCCCCCTCCCTCCTAAATTGTATTACGTATCTAAATTCCAGGTAATTTGTATATAAATTATACCAACGCGTAACCAACGACAGGCGGTTAGTAAAACAACTTATTTTTGCTGTTTCTGCGGTTTGTGTTTGAACACGCATCGGGAAGACTTGGTTGTGTAACACCGTAGTGTTTGGTTCTGCGATGTAGGGTAGTCTTACACAAAACGTATAACCGGATTTTGTTTTCAGTTGGTTTTCCAATTGCCTTATTTCTAGTAAATAATTTAGGCGAGTGTAATATATAAAAATACAATTGTAATCATCATTCCCAGAACTAAGGCTATGCCCGCCCGTAATGGAAGCCTTTTTTTCAGATTCAGATATTTATCGAAGAACGACGACAGTAAAATCAGATCGGTCTGAAACAAAACATTTAAAACAAATTAAAATAACACAAAGACGACACATTCTAATTTATTAACTTACAAAGTCTAAAATATTACACGTAATAAACTGGCGTGCACTCGAAATCCTAACTAAAGATAAAATCCACAATTTTAATTGGCTAAGCACTAAAATCAATCTAATATTATCCAATCAAATATTAAAATTTGAATTTCATCTTAGTTAAAATTTCGTGAAACAGGCCCCTGATCATGTGTGGGACACCGCAGTTTACTAATGGACGAACCCGGTAAAATTTGCCTGTTGAAGACATCGGGTTCTTGAAAGATGGTCTTCTACGTGTATCATGTCATTAGTCTCCATTATTCCCATCTACTGAATGTCAACGGTACATTATAGAGTCAATACATATTTTTTAAATCACCGCGCTGTTCACATAAATGTTGTTTTGCTGCGTTCTAGTGTTAACGGGTTCAACATGTAAATCCATATAAATATTATTATGTGAACTCTCTTGTGGTCCGCGTGGTTTCTCATATATGGAATCCTTCTTTCGCCTTTTCACCAAGCTAAAAAGAATATAAATCAGGCATTTAATCAAACTTGTGTGCCTACATTATTGGGAGAGCTGGGGCCTGTTTCACGAAATTTTAACTAGGATAAAATCCAAATTTTAGTAATTTGATTGGATAATATTAGATTGATTTTAGTGCTTAGCCAATCAAAATTGAAGTATCTACTACAATTTGGATTTTATCTTTAGTTAAGATTTCGAGAAACAGGGTCCTTGTATGTATTTAAAACAGTTTGATAGAGTGGAGGCTAGTGGACCGTGATACCACCTAGGTTTCAGACGAATTATTTGCCCCTGATTTTGATAATCGCGCTTAGGAACATGAACGTAATAGAATTCAGACCTAATATTTAGTCATAGCTTAATGTTATTTATGAAAATAAATTTCGGGTTTTAGGCGCATTTGTGTTTTAGTTTATGCTAACAGTTACTTGCTGTACGGTTTACAAAATGCAACACCAACATTGAACACCACTTCGGTGTTCTATAAATTGGTTAATGACATGAAAACGTTTATGTACCTGTCCTCGTTGGGACCTGCTCCTAGCCCTAAAACCTGAAATGGAGTACATGTCTCTCGTCGATACTTTAATTATGTCAAATTGAGACTAACATGACATATGCGAGAGGAAGCGTTTTGTCCCGACATTGGGTTACATTATACTATTTTCCATGGAATCTTTAACATGCAGTAGGTATATACAGACGGAACTGTGTTTTTGTTATAACCCTGTTATAAGTACACTGAAAAAAAAACTTGTGTTGAAACAACACAAACTTGTGTTATTTTCAACACAAGTTAGGTGTCTCTATTTAACAACACAATCTTGTGTTAAATGTTGAAACAACACATAACTTGTGTTAAATGTTGAAACAACACAAAACTTGTGTTAAATGTTGAAACAACACAAAACTTGTGTTAAATGTTGAAACAACACAAAACTTGTGTGAAAATCTACACATTATTTGTGTTGAAATTTCTGAAACTTGTTTGTGTTGAAATTTCTGAAACTTGTGTTGAAATTTCTGAAACTCGTGTTGTTTCGTACAAACTTGTGTATAACAAAAACTTGTGTAGTATTTTACCAATTTATATCCAGTATAGCAACCTTTCGAATGCAACCCCTTCCATTCGTTCTGTTTAAACTGTAATTATTGATAAATGACATAATAATTTTGTTTGTTAAATTATTATTTATTCAATAAATGATATGAAAAAATAAATTAATGCCTAATTAATACCAATACAGACATCTCGAAGGTTAATAAACAAAGTTAATTCCAATACTAATAAAATTGTGTTATACAATGAAAAAATACCCCCCCCCCCCATTCCCAATTATTAAATAAAAAGTAGCTATTTAAATTGAAAAATAAAGCACCGAGACATTTGGAATATTAATCAACAAAGTTAATTTCAATACTAATAAAATTGTGTTCAATAGTAACAATATCCCCCCACCCCTCAAAAAAAGCTATTTAATTTTTTTTTACAACTGAGAATATAATATATATGTTCACAATATCCCTACCCCATGGTCCCAAAACATACATTTTAAATATATCTAAATTTAATATCAACCAAACCAAGCACTAAAGACATTAATAATGCACTAAATTAAAATACTTTTAAGAAAAAATAGTCCCTTTAACAGATTAGGAATTCAAAATTTTCTACAGTATATAAATGGGAACTAATAGATAAAGCACAGGCAAATAATTATAGATAGATAAAATAAAAATAGCATAAAAATCAAACAAAATGGAGAAAATTAAAAATTTGTAAAACAAAAATTGATTAATTAATAAAACCATTAAAGAGGCATTAACATCCGAAATGTTCACTAAATGTTTAAAAATAAAGGTTGATTTCATCCTACAATAATACATTTTTATAATTATCGAATGTTACTATTAATTATTGATGATCCCTCTATATTATTTCAAGTTTTCAGGCCAAATCTTTAGTGTTTAGGATTACACTGCATTCTATATAATGAAACAATATTAGAGATGGTTTGGTATTTGACATTAAAAACAAAAATGTGATTAAAAAGGCAATATAACTTTTGGGTTTCCACAATAAGATCTGTAAAAAAATTTGATGACTTTATATTCAGAATTTAGAGTTGTTTTCTTTCTTTCGTATTAATATGCACTAAATATATATAATTCTCCAAGGATGTTCAAGTGATTATTATAAATACACTTATCGACAAATGGGGTTTTGATGTGGATTTAACTTGGTACACCAGTCATGGGTATAGAGTTATTTAGATGGCAGAATAAAAGTAAAATAACTCATTGAGCAGGGGGCGGGGGAGTTGAAAAGAGCATAATTTAACAATATATTATATTATTTTGAGACTCATATGTATGACTACATGCGAATGCAAAAGGCGGGGGGGGGGGTATTTAGTCAGGTAGCATTATTGCTTACTCATGTACACCAAAAACACGTCATCTCGCCTAAACAGATGTTTTACGCCAAAACGCTTCAACTTGATTGATTGCCATGTTTTTGGTGTATATTTATATCTTTTCTTGGGCGCCGAATCGAACTACGGCTTTTAAAATGTTCAAAAATCGACGTAAATTGATTTTTTCAACGTTAGTTGGTATACAACGATGAGCACATGAGTGAGTAGACTGTGGGAAAGTTACGACAACTCATTTCCAGGCGCCATTTTGGGTCCCAATTATGACGCCATAAAAGCTATGACGTCATGGCTTCATACAGGTTTACATACCAGTATTGCAGTATTAGACGTTGAGGGATAATATAACGTTTTACCCTAAAATAAATTGCAAAAGAAACCAATGCAGTTTGGTTCAGTGATAAATATATCAAACAAAATCATACCCAAAATCGGGGAATTTTCTGAGAGCGATATCTCGTAATCAGTGTGTTTTACTATTTACTCGTTGGATTGTAAATGATTTCTTTTTAAATTCCTCATACACAGAGTGGTTATGAAAGCGAAATGTGCCGAAAAATCGAATTTGACAAACGTCAAATTAAAAAAAAGAAGTATTTGTTATATGGTGCCGGGCGTTTCTTTCATAATGGCCGCCAAATTTGGTAATATTATTATTATTATTATTATTACAGCATATTTATAGCGCGCCCTTTCATAAAACATGTTCAGGGGCACTTTACAAAGTGACAATGTAATCATAAATAAACAACAAGACTATGGACATGTTAACAATTGTATACAGAGTCAGTTAAAAGCCTCATTAAATAAATGTGATTTAAGTTGTTTTTTAAAAGAATATAGAGATGTACAATATCTTAAACTAAATGGTAGATTATCCCATAAAACAGGTGCTTGATAACTAAAAGAGACTAGTTGAACAGTTTTGGGCTTTAAAAATAGTTTATCTGATGTACGTAATGTTCGACCATTATATCGTGGTTATGTACGCGAAATGTGCGGAAATCGAATTTGACAAACATCAATTAAAGAAATGTATTTTCCATGTGGTGCCGGGCATTTCTTTTAAAAGGGCTACCGAATTTGGTAATACATGTATAAGGCAATTTAACAAAAAAAACATAAATTTGGTAGACTAAAAGGGCATCTCTTAAGATACGTAAGATATGACTTTTGCAATGTCCTTTATATGGTTTTCGATGTCTCTGAATTTGAAGATAAATTTTGAAAATACAAAATAGCAGCAACACCAATTGGCGGATATTTAATTAATCGTCATTTTTCCTGTTGGATATTAGATAGTGTCTCTTAAGCATGATGTACCCTGTAGTTCGATGTACCCTGTAGTTCAGATACAGTCTCCACACCGTGTTTACACTGACTGTAGTTTGGGTGTAGTTCGTCAAATGAAGATGAATTTTACGATACAAAAAAATGAATATATTGTAAACGCGCTTTAAATATCTGGATGCGATAGACTTCGTGATAAAAAATTCAAGGTACATTATATCATTGGCAATAATAAGATCCAATTTTAGTTTTTAGTTACACAATGTTAACCACCAATAGATGTTTTAATGACAATAAATCCTAAAATGTATTCAGCTCGACGTAAAACATAAATAGATACAGTTGGTTTAACTTGAATAGAAGTTTTAATTATCTATGCTGCATATATGCATATATCACCTTGATGTTCATATCGTCTTACGTATTTGTCAACATCAAGGTTAGTGCGACCCATTTGTGACAATTTCTAGTTCCCAAATATTAGCGATTTAGCTCCTTTAAAAGCGAATGCAAGTTAAATATGTTTAATCAGAGGCGGATTCAATGGGGGGCGCGAGGGGCGCCCCCCCCCCCCCTAATTTTCAACAGTGCCCTTTTTTACGGCTGAAAGTGCCGTTTCTCAGACTCAAATATGTCCGTTCCCAACCCGTTGTAGGGATCCCAAATGACTCGAACCATCGACTCAAACACACCAGTCTGGGAAATAGCTCTTGGAATGGCTACAGATGCAAGGAAATGACGGATAATTTTCTTGGGGACCCCCCCCCCCTCAGCGGCAAGCCCCGTCTCCGCGGTCAATGCCTTCATTTTGCAGCGCCCCCCCCCCCATTTCAAAATTCCTAGATCCGTCCCTGGTTTAATAGTACTTTTATCTAGTGTATCTTTTATTTTGATTTTTCTTATAGAATAAGGCTATATAACAATAATGTGCGCTTCTTGTTGTATAATACTAATAATAGTATGTTCAGCTATACTTTTCGTTTAAAAAATGTATGTTTTATGTCCTATATACACTTATTCGCTGAAATCTATGACATCCAACAATATAATAGGTCATATAAATAGATAATAAGTTTGCATGACGTCATATGAAATTCCTGGCTTCACAGTTGTCGCAACTTTATCTATACACGGCGTTGCGTCGACCAACCATGCAATGTGAAGTAGATGTCAATATGGTTATGTGCATAGGCGTACGAGCTGGGGGGGGGGCTGGGAACCAAATGCTGGGAAAATTTGGGCACACAATTGTATTTTGTAAAAGTTGTATTAAAAAATATTGTGTTCTTGAATGTGTCCAATTTAACAGCGAATTTATTATTATTATGTAACATATTAAGAACCTAACTACATTTTTGGGGCACCAACCACCACCACCCCCCCCCCCCCAGTCAAAAATTTCCCCGTACGCCTATGGTTATGTGTAAGAATATTCAGTTCAATATATTAACGGTGTATGATTTTATTCATACTTCAATTTTAGTGAGTTACTTCTGCAACGTTTTTAGAAAGAATTGCTATTAATTTGGCCAGTACTGTAATAGCAAGTGTATAAATATTTTCTGTTCAGTCTGTACACAGTAACATATCTGAGAACCATATTATCATTTCTGCCCAAGGCTCCCTGTGATTTATAGTTAGCAGTGATACAAGGCAATTACCAATTTTCCATGCTCTTGGCCTGAAGAAATAAAATAATAAAAGTCAAGTTTTTATTATTATGCAAGTGGAAAAATACAATTCTTCATGGTATGATTTGAATAAATACAACTGATTTGAAGTTGGAATTATTATTTGTCTAAGATGACTGGGCATTTACAAATTGAAATAGCTACTCTTCATCAAGAAAATACATGAATATTTTTCCCAATTCACCTGGATTTTATTGTAGGTCTTTGTACGTGAAATAGCTTTATTTAACGTCCGCTTCCACCGAAGTGGTATTGCAGAAAATTAACAAATTCGGATTCCCTTTTAAAGGAATTAGACTACACTATCGCTGGATTGTATTATATTCAAAATGGCGCCCAGAACACAAAACAAACATTGCAATTCAGGGCGGACTGGTGTCGAGGTTGTATCCTAAGAATGATTTTTTGAATATTTAATCAAACAGAAACACAATTATGCACATGCAGTTATGATATAATATTAAATTAGCTTACCTCAAATACCTCGAAATATACTGTTTGGTCAGTTTGTCCGCCCGCCATATTTCTATTAGTCACACATCCTTCGGCCAATTAAAATGGAGGTATATTTTGTTTTAACCGAAACGAAAAACTTGCGTTATAAATACATTGTATTAAAAAATACCAAAATCACAAACATTATATTCTTATTTTCTGAACAAACTTTTTTCACAACAATATCACTTTTTTCGATAATAATGCTTAATAATACAGTTAACATTTGCAGTACCACAGGGTTTAATACCGCAAAATTACTTCAATAAATATTTATTTCTTTGTTTTAAGAGTAATTCATTTTAATTGGTCATTTACAGGTAAGAATAAATTTCCAATTTCGATTAATGAACCAATTAAATTAAATAAAAAGATTAACTCGACTATTTCCACGCCCATTCAAACATTTTTTTAAAACGTAGATATAACACAATTGTTATTGTCTTTGATGTGTCAAGTTTATTGGGGCGATATCAATCAGACACTTCCAAATGCAGACATTGTAATAACCTGTCTCTGTATATTGATTGAGACAAGATGTGAAAATATACAAAGAGTAGAATCAGAATAATCTTTTATTATATCTAATTAAATAAATAGTTTATATTTAGATAATAATTGACTAAAACTTTGATCTCTTATATCAGTATACTGTTATAAAATACGTTGTTTTAAAAGAGATATTAAATGCATCGCACGATACATACATTGCGATTTCTACTTAATGTTTGTAATAATTAATATATCCTTTTAGATAATTAGAAATATTAAAAAATAAATCAAGTGAATTACTCGACATTCAAATTCAGGAAGAGTGGTTTTACATATAGGCTAGTGATAAAGGAACATAATAAATGTTATCTTTAATGTCGACGTAATTAATTATATGGAAAAAAAACACATAAGATTTTATAAATGTACACAAGTTTGTGTTAAGACATTGAAAAAAACACAAACTTGTGTCATTGCAATGCAACACAACACAAACATGTGTTAAATATTTTTAACACAAGTTCTTGTGTTGAGATCCAACACAAGGGTTTTTTCAGTGTGGTAACCTTGTTTGATAAATGTCATGATCAGGGTCTTCTTGGTCAACGCTAGGATAAACCTTATCGGTCTATACTCTTGACGTACGATTATCTTGGTCAAATAAACTATATTTAAGAGGGTATTTTACAAGAAAACATGATTTTAATCCATGTAATTTTAATTTATTACCCGATTACATATTTCCCAGTTTTTATTTTAAATCATTACAGACATATAAATGTTATTTTGAACAAAACAGTGAATTGTCAAATACACCATTCATTTCAGACACTTGTTATTTGATAACAATAAAATAATTTTATGAATAAATCATGAGTTTTGGAGAAAAGCAACAAATTACCAATATACTTACATCGATCAGATTCATCATCGTTTGGTTGTGGTTCAGCTGTTGAAGGGATGGCATCTTCATTCCTCCAAGTAGTCGGAATTTGTATATTTTTGGTGTCATAAATCGATGTAGGTGACGCCGTGGTTGTTGTTGACCAGGACGTGCATGTTAATTTTATTTGGGAACCTACAAAATATTAATTGTATTAAGTCCTAAGAACCACTGTCTGGAGTATATATTCTACATTCTAGATGGTATTTAAAGATAAAAAAAGTCCAATATGTGGTTAATTATTATGTAAACTATATATGACAAATTTTATTGTCCTTCTCATGGACTGGCAAACTTGAGTACCTGTAGTACATATATCTTTGCAGTAAAAAAAAACAAAACATAACAACAATGTGTATCTGGAGTAATTAAAATTTATGTAAATATTTATTGTGGGAATCACTAAATATTCTAATTTGCTGTGAAAGTAACAACACCGAACAGACCTAGGTTGACTGGATTTTACTCAAGTGTGGCGCGCCTGATCTAATCTCGCCCTCTAAAAAAAGGTTATCGTTTTTGGATGGAAACAGAAGCGGGGTGCACACGGGGATGTGCGTGTCCTCTACTTGAGACAATTGAATATGCAATAATATGTAGCCATGTTCAAATATATATTTTATTTCAAACTGGATCCAATAAACATTTATAACCCTTATCTTACCGCCTACTTCAAATCAGGTTTACGTCTCAGGGACCAGGAGCCACAGTGGCTAAGTGGTTAAGACGCTGGCTCACTAGCCTAGAGGTCGGGTGTTCAATCCCTACATTGGCCGAGAAAGTTCATCTGGATTTTCCGACGTGGTTTCCCCTTGTCAGTCGTGCAGAACGAAGGGCCTGACAAGGACAGCTGTCTAGTCCTTCGGATGACACGAAAAACCGAGGTCCCGTGTATACATTAGATTGCACGTAAAAGATCCCTTGGCAGTTGGAATTCGATATAAGAGTAGGCGATAGTGCCGCTGCCCGGGCAAAATTTCCCTCATAGCACACTGTATGGCGTATGCCCGTCTTCATTAGCCCAGTAAAGGAGCAGAACAGTAAGGCGTTAAACCCCATTTTATTTCATTTCTCAAGGGCCATTGTGCTAAAATAAGTGGAGAAACATTAACAGTCACATTTACAGCATATACATTGGCTGAATTAATTACATAGAGTGAGATATATTTACATGTACCTCGATCAACAAGTAGTTGAAGACAGAACGGAAATCCAACACCATTATAAGTTCCTGTTCCCATATACAATCTCACAGTTTCTATAGGTTTCAAATCAAAACTCGCTTTGTATGTATATGCACCACATGAATACACAATTCCACTATAATTTCTATATACAGAGGATAATATATAGTCACACACGTAGGGGTGCATAGTTGCATTCTTTATATCAAGTTTGACAGGATCCCGAGTAGATGAAGATAAACTAATGGAACAATTACATCTGATACCATTTGTGCCATTATCTATTCCAGATAAATAAACATCCCTTCCGGCAACTGACTGGTCACTACAAAACGGCACTACGGGCTGCAAATCTTAAACAAAATTAATTACTGAAACTGATAAAACGATGACATAAAGATTACTTTGAAAAAAGAAACAAAACACAAGATTTATTTGCCAAAGTTCCGTCTTCATTAGTCCAGTTGGAGACGAAGAGTAGTACGTTAAACCCCATTTCATTTGCCTAAGCCTCTCTCCGGGCGCATTAAGAATATATATATATATACTAATGAAATCAATGATTAACAATTGAATAGAATACAAATATCAAAATAAAATGTCGTCGGATATTTTAATGAAAGTCTAGCCTTTCGACGCCCCACTAGGTATTTTAGCCTACATGGATGGAATTCTGTTCCCCATTTGAAAATTATGCGTGTGAAGTTTGTAAAATATGTCTAAATTAAACAACCTAATTATTAGAATTTCAACATGGCTAGAGTAGTTTTATTTGTGTACAGTGTAATAATATCACAAATATTAACATTATCTAAGTTAAATTTACTTACTGGTACTTGACGTATCGCAGTTCATGCTGACGCAAAACAGAAAAAAACACCATTACTCTACGTGATAAAATGAAATGAAATGGGGTTTAACGCCCTACTGCTCCTAAACTGGGCTAATCAAAACGGGCATACGCTATACAGTGTGCGATGAGGGAAATTTTGCCCGGGCAGTGGCACTACGGCCTACTCTTATATCGAATTCCAACTGCCAAGGGATCTTTTACTTGCACGCCGATGTGTACACGGGATCTCGGTTTTGGTCCCATCCGCACGACTAGACTGCTGTCCCTGTCAGGCCCTCCGTCCTGCATCACTGACAAGGGGGAACCACGCCGGAAAATTGCGATGAATGTTCTCGGCCAATGCATGGATCGAACACCCGATCTCCCCAGCGTCTTACCCACCGGGATCCTCTCTACGTGTGGCAGATCTTTCTATTGGTCTGAAATGTCATAAATTATTAATTAGATATTTATCCACCCTATACCATCTTTTTCCATTATCTTTTTAAAGTATATATTTAAAGTATTATAGCGAGAATTGTCAGCTCTTTTTTCTATATCATTAAAACACCTTGGTATATGGCATCATCCATGTAAGTACGCGAATTCATACACTAATATTGTGGGAGTAGGGTTAAATAGGTCATTCCTGTTATGAATCAAATATTGTTTAATAAAAAAATAAACTAATATATTAATAATCTTTACTTACTCAGCACCAATATGTAATATTATGATAATGGTTGAGATAGATCTAAAAACTAACGTGTGTAACCCGACCATGATACCCACGTGTTCAATGTAAAGCTTGTGGGATACAGCTAGTAGTGAAATAACATAACCAATAACATGTGACACACTTCTTTCAATAAATATTCATATATTGAGATGTACTTCCTTGTTACAGGCATGCTTATAATAAACAAGTAGGGTGAGGTGAGTTGTTCAATGGTCCCCTTTTGTCGTAAATGTCACGCATATGTGTGCAACCAATACATTTTCCATAGCCGTTTAACCGAGTATACGGGCGCCATGTTTTCAATATACTAAACTAAATACTATAAATAATGTTAGGTAGATGTGTACAATCTAATGCAATGTTCGTTAATTATTTTTTTTACTAAGTAATCCTATATCACATTTAAAATACGCGTATTTTCTGAAGGCACAAGGGCCTCCTGAGTTAATGGTCTGCAATTACAATTGGAATCTTGGATATTAGCGGAAATTCACAGAGGTATTCTTAGCGCGGACCAACATTCTACTTCGTTCGTGTTCGACGTTAGTTTAAACTAGTTCACCAAAATAGCAGTTAAATTACATTATGCAAGATTTAATAGAGACCTGAAAGTTTTCGCTATAATAGTTAAATCATTGAGAATGTGACGCGAATATGCTGAAAAATTCAATCAAATTACTTCACTTTAAGCCGTGATATACTCTTTTTAATAACATTGTAGCCTTGATTTCGTTGTTACGATAATAGAAATAGTCTCGATTATCCACTTTTGTGGTTGATCATCAATGGCTGTTACGGCAGATCGGATTCAAATCTAATCAAAATGGGAAGCATCAGATGGCATCGAGAGTTGATCATGGTCCTGCCATGTTAATACATGTCTAATTAATAATTAAGATAACATTTCAGGCTTAAAAAAAACCACTTGAAATAGGTAGATTTAACTCTTGAAGAATGTTTGTTTAAGCAATAAAATGCGATCGCCGCGGCCGCCCTCGGTATGAATGCACCATTATCCTGATAAAAGTCAGACATTAGTTTATCGGAGAACATCATTTTGGGGATCAAATGGAAGATATTGGATGAAGATTGTGTTCACTGTAGTAATCCCCAACGTCCTTGTTACAGGTATTGATTAATAACTGAAGATAATGATACAAATGTACCAGATGTGACAGAACTAAAAGGGTGTATAACACCTTCACTGAAGAAGACAGTTTATTCTTAAGGCTTTTTGGAAATCTATGGACTGAAAAAAAAACCGGAGTATACAATAATTAATAGAAAGGAAAGATGTTAAAGAAAGGAACACTCAAGAAAGTGGTGGGGGCACAGAATACAAAACTCATTCGATTTACCTTAAGTTCAGGGTAACACAAAAGTTCAAGTGTGCAAAAATCATTGTTTTTAATTACACCTTCCATTGTCAACTTTCATTGTACGACTTGTTAAATGAAAGTACACCCGGCATTCTAATAAATCACCCGAACCCCCAAAACACACAGAAAATGTTATCAAGTTACACCATGCAGAACTGTTCCTTAAAAATCTCCCAAAACTACAATCTTACTACTGTCGATCCTCCAGCAAAAAGAGTTATCTAGAACCCGTTTTCATTTCATTTGCTGGGCTACATAGAGCTATTGAGGCCGATGTTAAAATACATAACTACCCCACTGCTGGTCGGAAACTGTTTAACAAGCTTTTTGATGAATTAAATATGTCTGTATGTTCACCCACGAAAAGGACAAAGTGACACTTGTTGTGCATTCGAAAACAAAAATATAGAAGAAAAATTATAATATTCATTTTAATAGAAAAGATGACCGCAAACAAAAAACATCCCAGAAAGAAAGATATATATATATATATATATATTATATATATACACACAAAAATATAAAAGTTTTTGAAAAAAAACTACATTATTTGTCGAATACTAGCTCTTTCGCTTATTTTATTAAGCTCTTCAGATAATCAACGTTTTCAATTAACTTTTAGTTAGTATTGGAGAATATAGCTTACATGTAGTAACAACCCAATCGTCTTCAATAGAAGGCTTAATCTCGCCTTAACTACGTACATCTTATCAAGCCCTTCACGTAATACCCCGCATATTTGACACTACTTTCGATTGGGTACAAGCCCAGCTTTTGATCCTATCAGATTCCTTCGTTAAAAATATCGTTACCATTATCAAGTATCAAGCTAAAATGTCTACATGTGACAATCGAGTTGCAAAGTTCAAGGTTCGATCAATGTCAAGGTTCTGGAAATCATACCTGATCAACAAAGAGTTTCTATGGAGACCGCCATATTTGTTTACAGTGTGTTATGTCCGACGACCTCTGATTGGACAATGCTAATCAGTCACGTGTAAATACAACGAGCGCAAAAGTTCGGGAATTGCCCAGTACTAAAGCAACGGTTAGATGTTGTAAAACTCACGATCGTTGCTTCAGGAACATGCAACCAAATAGACCCTCTCCCCCCCTTGACAGAACACACGGATATAGCTTACATGTAGTAACAACCCAATAGACACACAGACATAGTTAGTAAATTGAATTAGAATGGGGTTTGACGTCCTACCTTTCTGCACCGATTGGGCTAAAGAAAGACGGACAAACGCCAGTGCGCTATGAGAGGAATTTGATAAAAGTTCTATCAATTCAAGTCTGACTTGAGGACAATAATATATTTAAATTTAAGAACTACAGATAATTTACAAATAAATACAGTACGATAAAACAAATACAATTTCAGCTAGGATAATTAAATGATGGACAATAAATGTAGTACTATAAAACAAAAACAATGTTAAACACTATAAAACAAAAACAATGTTAAACACGATAATCAAATGATGGACAACATTTAAAATCGATCCACGCATTGTTCGTTTTTGCTAATCAAAGACTCGATGCGCTATATGAATTCCTTGCAACACTTTGAACGTGTAATCTCTAATTTGAATATCAGTCCAGAAATGATCGAATTCCATTACAAAGTTATGATAAACTGTATTTCCATCGATCTATGCTGCTCGAGTGTAACAAGACTCCGCCATCTTTTATTCCCATGGTAGTGGAGAAACATGCTGGGTTTAGTTTAAATCCGGTTTAATCCAAGCGGTGAGATTTATCTAGCGTTGATATTTTGATTTTGTTTTCTTAAGTAAATGTCAAATAATCATAATGATTACATATTTATCGTTTATTTATCCGTTGGAAACTCTATATTTTAGCGAAAATGCAAATGGCGCATCGGGCCTTTAATTAAGGGCGTACAAAGTGCAGTCTCAATCTGTGGTGAACGATCCGTTGTGTGAATACATTTGTGGTTACCAGTTACAGTGGCGAGGTATGGGGTATGTTCCTTTTATCTGGTGATAAATACACCATAGATCTAGTAACAACTTGATACTTAATGACTGATCCTCGCTCACTGAAAATAAAAAAAATATTTGGTTGGATTGAACGGTGTGTAAAGGATGTAAATTGTTCTAATTACTGCAAACAGCAAGAAGAATAGTTGGATCAAGATGAAGAGTTAAAACAAGACTCAACAGTCTATTATAGTATAATGTTAAACCTACTATCTATGGGTTGGTACACCGTAGCAACTAATTCGTCTAAAGTATAAACTGACGCCAACATCATCACCAATATCAACGATCTTATCCACATCTTTAATTCTATAACATAAATATTATATATTATTAGAGGTACGTCACACACCATATTCACACGCTTACCTGATTAAATATTCAACCTAAGAACATGTACAATTCCGTTCAGCCAGCCAATATTTTGTGTAAAATATTTTCAGTGGTCTGAAGCCTACCAGTTAACGAGTAGTGTTATTTAATTACTCAATATTAACCTGTAAAAATTAATTCAACAAACCAATACTAATCTGAATCATACCTGTTCAATATCCTAACCAATCCAACTCCGAGAGAACTGTAAAATCCTCTTAATAAAACAATAATATTCTCAATAATTTGAAATTCAATTTACCATAATAATAAGTTTACCTACTCTGTATTACACGCAAGCTGACCTATTTGATACTTTCAAGCTCCAGCTTACATACATTATACAGGTATAACCTGTTTGAATAAAACACAACTATTTTACAAACGAAGGACGTAGTTCACACCTGCCAACATGAGGAGTGATGCTTCGTGAGTTAATTACTAATACCCATATTATGTAAAACAACTTTGAACATTCGTTAATTGTTGACATGAGTTGTGATGTTTCGTGAGTTAATTACTAATGCCCATATTACTAATTCGTTAATTGAATTGGTTATTAATTGTTGAACAGAATAGATTTAAACTCCAAAATGTTTCCTTTAAATAAATCAAGTGCTGATTGTTGATGTTTAACGAATCTAAACCTCTGACTCAGAGTTATCCATAATATTGGAAATAGAAGACACGAATTAGAATTCAATATTGGTCTATGTTAATCAATATTGATGTTAATATGTTACCGGCAAAAATATGTAATCATAATGTCCTCTATTTAAGTCACAATAAACATTTTGAAAAGAGTACACGACGCCGTTTACTATTTGTAATGAAGAAAGAAAATATATCCCAGAAGACAATTCAGAAGTAATTAAAATTGTCTGATAATACTTTTAAGATGCGTAGATTGAAGCCGACTCAAACGACTGCAATTCAATTTGGACGTATTTCACCGAACATTATTTTATATACTCGTATTAAATAAATATGTGGTTTTAGGCCAATTATAGAGAAAATGAATGATAATAAAAAATAAAATTATAGAGAAAAACAATGATAATAAATAAAACAGGCTATAAATATAAAGAAAATGAATGATAATAAGAGAAACAACTTTCAAATTATGATGAAAATGAATGATAATGATACAACTAACTTTAAAATTATGATGGAAATGATTAACTAACCTAGTTAGTAATGGGTCCAAACAATTACATTGACTGTATATTATCCTGTATGTTCTATCCCGTGTTTCACCACTGTTAAAAGTTTGTTAACTGATTATACATTGTACATCAGTGTATATAAATAATGCTATAAATAAACGTACACTTTTTTTAAATGCTAGTTTCATATTCCAACAGCCACGCTTTGCATCCTAACGATAATATGTAAGTAATGACAACATATCTACCAGGGCCACCCATACATTGAAGATGAATTATGTAGATTTAGATAAAGGGCTGATAGCTCGCGCTATAAAATTCAAAAATAGATAATGCGAATATGAATAATAATGTCTAAAATTTCAGTCCAATTTGTTCATACTGAGCAAATTTTTTACTATTTAAAGAAATAGTTTCGATTTTCCTTGCTACCTGTGTTACGATAATAAACAGTCTCGGTTATCCAATTTTAAATTAAATTATTAAATAGTGATCGTGTTTCAATCCATTCAAAATCACAACTAAAGAGTTGATTTATGGCTTGTCATGTGAATAAATGTATAATTAATATTATATTATCTGCAATAGGCCTGCAATAGGCAGATTTAGCTCTTACATAGTGCATCTTTAAATCGATAGTTACATCACTATGCAATAAATACAGGGTGGAGTCTTTCTTTACAGTTCACGCCAGTCTATAATCTAACGGTTACGCCATCGTAGTCAGATGATTATATCACTGCCCGCGGAGACTCGTATAGAATGCAATAAGCTTAGATTACTCACGTGTTCTTTTGTGATTTTCCCTCAAGATGTATCTTACCAAAGTCCCGCGACCCAATTTCTATACAGCAAAATACAGTATCTGGATAAAAACACATTTTTTTTATTTCCCAACTAAACGCTTGCAAAATATGGAAGACCAAACAGCTCTTTATTCAGATCAAAATGTTGACTTTTCTGTTAATATGAAGAAATAAGAATTGAGGACTATGAATGAATGAATGATTGTTTAATGGCACGTCAGTTCCAATCGGGATTTATTGCTAAGGACTATGAATTAAGAATTTAGAACACTGAATAAAGAGCTGTTTGGTCGCCAAAGTCGCAATTTGGGATAAAACTATGAAAGTGGCGATTAAAATTTGATTTTGGCGATAACGCGTTGCGGTACAGGCGATTCTTTTTGAGAACTGTCGGAAAACAATCCTGGATTAACCATTACAATTACATTGGGTGTCAGTCACGTGGCCGTAGATTCTATAAATTAATCAACTGGCTGATAATCCGGATCTCATATACATATATAACTGAAACCAATATAATTCTATCAGGGATTCAGATTTTGATACCTTTACGGTGCCTATTGTACAGGCAAAACATAAATTTATGGAAAATTTGCAATCCTTGAATGAGATCTGACGTGTAAATAGGCCTGCTGTAAATATATTGTGCTGTTCGGTGTGCAAATAGACTAAAGTCACCAAAAATAAAATCTTATTTTAGTAAATCAAAACTGTGTTAATGTATTATGTAAGGACAGAGTTTTAAAGTTGTATATATTGTATATATCGGCACTTGTTTTATAGTAGGCCTACCTGAGACATAAAACTGTTACATGTTGTCTTTTTTGATCACATATTTTTGGCAGATAAAATATTCCAGTTGGCGGAAAGAAATAAGAACCTTTTTTTTATATTAAAGTTATCATTCATTTTGGCGGGACAAAAATGAAAGCCAGCGAGAAACCCTGGTCGTCCATACCAAAAGGCATACACATTTCATTAAATAATGGTTTCTATGAAAATATAATTAATAAAAAGTATAGCACTGGAATTTTGTGGAGGACATTCATTACCAGACGCTTCTCCCTGCAACTCGATAAAAGAAAACCGTACTGGAAAAGACCCGAGGAACGTTATATGCCAATGCAGGGATTGAACCCGGTACACCAGTTGTTAGTGATCATGCGCGTTATTCACTGAGTCACGTTGGTACCCATTGGTAAAATTGGAATGGCAATGTTAACCAAACCCATTGCAACTTTGACCCTAACCATTTGACCTGTGGCGTTTCAACCTTGAACCAAACCATTTTACCTGTGCCATTTCAACCTTGACCCTAACCATTTTACTTGTGCCATTTCAACCTTGACTCTTAACCATTTTACACGTGTCATTATTACCTTGCAATGATGGGACCTAACCGTTTTTTTTTTGCCAATTCTGATGAAGCCAATACTATGGTGAAAAAACTGCCTTTAAAGTTTATTAAAATTAATACAATACAACACAATTTACAAATAAATGCACCCATCCAAGGTACCGGTGGACTATTTGTCAAACGAGTTCCGAATTCTCTTATATTATAGCCTACACAGAGTAAGTGTAAGAGAATGGCACCAAGTGTAAAAACCCAATAGTAACGCCCGAGACAAATCTCGCGGACATGGTAAGTAATTATTAATAACAGGACTATAAAATTAAGTGAATGACCTTGTTGATGGTTAATATTTCTGTATTCTTTGGTTAACAATGGTTAATATTTCTGTATTCTTTGGTTAACAAATAATCAACACGAATTTCATCATACATTTAATGTAACAACCGCTTCATGGTAAATAAACTCCAATGTGGATATGTGAATGGACATAACCGTGTGTCTCCAAATACCGGTAAATCAAGTCTGTGATCTAAAGTTGGTCTCTTTATGACAGGTTTGTAGAGAGGTCCCCGCTTAACTGACTTATTTAGGACTATATATCCCCAAGCATTTCCCAGGGCATGAATCCTATAAATCTAATGTGAACATATGGTAGCGCTATTCCACACTGTCTGTATGCTCGTACAACATTTACAATACAATTCTAAACATAGCGTCGGAACAGATGAGTCTTCAGGAATGATTTGAAAGTTGATAGGGTTGGGCACTGTTTCAAATGAATAGGCAGATTATTCCTATGTGAAGCTGTCAGATATGAAAATGATTTTGCCCAAGTGATTTTTTTAAATTGTAAGTTGGTAACTGTGGCAGATAGTTATTTTTTCATCTTAGGTTCTTAGAAAATGTTCCTGCAGGTACACAGGTGCTATTTTGTGAACTGCCTGATATGTTAAACACAGTAATTTGAATTCAATACGTCAATTTTTGAGATGCCAATGCAGAGAGTATAGAAGCGGTGAAATGTGAAACAATTCTTGCCCCTGAATTTTGTATCCTTTGACGTCGATTTTGTTGATCTTTCGTTATTTGACTATTGCAATAGTCTAGTCGAGATAGAATATAACAGCATCTCATGTTATGAAATGGCGTATTGAAGCAATGTTTCGAATGACATGTTTTGCAGAGGAAACTGATACTAGCTGGGCCACCGTGGCTCCTGAATATTAGAAAGATTCCAGTTGATGATGACCCTTGCTGCAGCCCCTGAAGACCGTGAATGACATTAACCTCGAGGCAGATGAGAAGGCCTGAAAGAAACTATTTAAGAAATGTTAAATATATGTTGCCCGCCCATTGTCTCATAATTAATGGTGTCGAAGGATTAACGTCTTTAGAGTTATTGCCCATCTTTGTATGGCAAAATGTCCTTCATTGCCACTACATTGCGTATGTACGTCTTCATTGATCCACTTAGTTCAGAAGAACAGGGTGTTAAACATAATTTCATTTATTTTTCGACAGATTCGGGCAACGAATTCATGGGTTCCAGTGTGTATCTTAATCGCCAGGAAAGTGCTCTAAATCTAATCTCCGTCTGTGTTAGCTCAGTTGGTGCAGAACACTAAACGCCATTGTACGTGACAAGAAATAGGGCAGCCTGTTCAACCTCGTAGGTTTTCTGTGGGATTTCCGGTTTCCTCCAACTGCTAAAGACCGCTACGCGCAAGCGAATTATTGAAGTCGTTTAGACTTTACCCCCCGTTCTCTGAAATGAAAATAAACAATCTCTCTCTCTCTCTGAATGTGAGAACATTTGGGCACAGATCACCAAATATTTCTACGCCGTCACCCACGAAACAAGGGCAAAAGTTATTTTTAGTCTCTCTCTCCCCTTCCCTTTTTCCCCCTTTTGCATGACGATTTTTGTTGACTTTTTGGTGTAGAATCGGAATTGCATGTAGGGCCGGAATTGCATGTTTACTTAACTCTACTTCCAGCTTGTGTATCTCAAGTTTTTCATGGTGAACCTCATACATGCTTTTGGGCAAGACTTTCCCACATGTTGCTCCATCTGTGGCAGAAAGCGTTCTACCTAACGAAAATTTGGGGAAAAGTTAGAGCCGGTCTAAGAGACGAGAATTAACATTAAAGTCAATGGGGACATAATTAGTGATCTGTGGCCATTTGGTCGTTTTCTCTGTACAGTTATCTCCCTTTTGGTGAAACTAGTTCGTTTTCGTGCACTCCAATGTGTACACGAATATTTTTCTACTTGAACGATTGGACACACTATCCTTGTCCGAGAAGGTAATTTTATTCGATAGATCATTTTCCTACCGCTCGTACCCTTGTCAGTGTATACAAGAGCGTGCACGTAAACGATCCCTTAGCAGTTGCCCGGGCAAAATTTGTGGAACTTTAATTATACAAAGTAGCATATCTACTACAGGTTGAAAGACCACGTGTAGTTCAAAATGACCCGATAAATGTGAATCCTTTCTGAATGTTATTACAGACGCTCGTAAAAACTAATAAACGATCAGTCAGACTTTTTAATTTCATTTATCGATATATCCATGACGTTTTATCACTTAATAATCCTAAATTTAGTGATTATATAGAATTCATATATCCTGATGAGCTCGAAATTAAAAACACCACTGACAGTGACAATTAAGCTTCCTACTTTGATCTGCGTCTCGATTTTGACAATTGCCATAAACAGAGTGTTAAATTGTACGATAAACGTGATGACTTTGACTTTCCGATTGTTAACTTTCCATTTATTAGTAGTAACATTCCAATATCACCAGCTTATGGAGTGTTTGTGTCTCAGCTAATTCGTTACGCGAGAGCTTGTTCCTTTTATTCTGATATTTTAAGTAGATCGAGGCATTTGTCATCTAAGCTTCAACTACAAGGATACTTGCGCACTAAACTTATTAAAACCTTTAAAAAGTTTTATGACCGTCATATTGATTTGATTGGTAAATATAACGTGTCTCTCTCGGCTATTATTCTAGATATATTTAATTGACACGTATACTATTACTATCTCCCTGATAATGTCTACTACATCGTTAAAACAGTTCATCGCGTGCATTTTGCATACCGATAGTTCATTGGCCAATCACGCTATTTTACCGACATTTCGCCTAATAGTTTGGATGCAGCTATGGCGGGTGTGGCGCCATGCAGGGTAAGCTTACTCTTCCGGACACCTGTTACCAGTGTTTGTCGTGTATTTTGTACACGGCGAGCAGTCCATTTGCTGATTACACTATTTTGCCGGATTACACTATTTTGCCTATACCGTTTGTTTTTGGAACACAACCGGTGTAGGCTGTCATTGATAGTCCATTGGCCAATCACGCTATTTTGCTTAGATTTCGTCTAATAGTTTGGATGCAGCTATGGCGGGTATGGCGCCAGGCAGGGTAAGCTTACTCTTCCGGACACCTGTTACCACTGTTTGTCGTGTATTTTGTACACGAAGAGCAGTCCATTTGCTGATTGTACTATTTTGCTTGAATACATTATTTTGCCTATAACGTTTTTTAGGACTTCGAATTCTGTCTTATGGTTTGGATTGTTCGTACTTGGTTTTATTTTATTCCCATATAATTAACTTTGAAGTCAATGCAATTTGATTGAAATACAGATCTATATTTCGTTTCGTTTTTTTATACTTTCGATGGCCTACAATACATGAATATCTGATCAGTTGTACTGGAAGGTCGCGTCAGGGGTCGTAGGAGAGGTTTTTGACCCTTGATGCCAGATATGGATTAATCAATCAGCGTTGACGTTTCTAGTTCTTCACCCACAGTTCCGTGCAAATCACGCCAAGAAGTCGCCGTAATTCCTCACACCAAGCAGAACACCTGTTATATAACAACTCTTCCAGATCCTTGTGTAGTACAGAAAAATAAAACGAAATTTTGAACTATGAAAAAACGAAACGAATAGGATCCGTGTTTTGATCTGATTGAACTCAATAGGGAAATAATTAATAACGGGATGCAGACCACCAAATATTTTCCTTGGACACCTCTATATCATGGACGGAGCAACATCTGGCTTCAAAGCTTTTATATGGTTGACCATGCAACTTGTGAGATACACACATTGGAAGTAGCGCGGGCTAAATTTATTTCACACGAAGATTTCGTCATAAGTCACGATATGTAAACAGGTTTAGGGCACTTGATTGTTGCCGTAGATTGTGGGTTAGGTTAAGGCTTCGGGCTAGCTAGATCTTGTATTAGGGTTAGCTCTAGCCCTGTTTACATCTCGTGACCTATGACGACATCTGCAGGTGTGCATGTGAAATAAATCTAACCAAGTAGCGAGATTGCCGTAACTCCGTCTCGGTAGCCTCCCTTTAGATCAAACAACGCAATCTTGTCTGCATGAAACACATTGTAAAGATTGCATGTTGGGGTTTGAATTAAGTAAAATAAATTAAATTTATTATCTGATTAATATATACATACACATTATTTACAACTAATTACACAACATTACTACTCTTCTAACGTTTTAATATACGACATAGTCTTTCACATTTCTATTTACAGTGAGTCAATCATTTTTTTATCTTTTACAAACTACCATTTGTCTCACCATCAACTAGTTCGGTTAAACTAGCTTCGTTTTTAATCTCAATTCTCGGTAATCATCGTAAATCTAAACTTCGGGAAAATATCTATCCCATTGTGTACCGTTTGCTTGAGATTCTGTATTCAATATCTTTCGTCTGGACAACTAATTGGCTCGGAGTCGTTAAGTTCCGATGAACACTGTCCGAATCATGCCCAACCGGAAATTGGGCTTAAACCTCACCAGTATAATTAAACGTTAAAGGGTAGATATCATTGGTCACGCTAGAGATTTCTTCAGACCACAATGTTCTGACATCTGGACGGAAATCGATTGATTCAAAATTACATATTCAAATTTTTAGTCCACTCATGAAAAAAACAACCCGGCAATTGTTCTATTGTACCACTTGTCTTTTTCATTCACCCAATCATAAACTTAAAGTGCCTTAGAACGACTAATTGTCAGATTGGTTGCTATTAGATTTTTTTATTTGGTTATCCAGTTAAAAGCGAGTTATTTTATCTGAATTGTCCAGGTCCAGGTCGATTTAATTTGGCTTTGCCATAAAAACAATAACTTGGCATAGGCTTTGTTCCTATTGCTTTGTGATAAGCACATAGGATTTTAATTAGGAAACCCACCCCTTTGGAAAACATTGGAAATTGGTTTTGCTTCTTGCCTGAAAACATAGAAAGTTATATATGTGTAGTTACGGATTTGAATAATGTTTATTTTTGGGGATGAACGAGTACCCTTGATTGTGTACAGTTTTAAACAATGTTTTTAAATTTTATTCGGGTAATAGTTACTTAACGTGTATGTTAGTAGCACATACATGCTGACAGAAAATCAAATCGGATTCAACATCTTACTTTCCTGCACCAACCGGGATAATGAAATCGGACATTCGCCATGCAATGGATAATGTTTCCCGGACATCGGCGTTTACGCTATCTGTTCGTCGAAATCCAACTGGCCGCGACTAGACAATGTTCCTTGCTGCACCACTAGCAAGCGAAAACCATCTTAATTAGTTATTTCTATAATACCAAGGAAATGTGTTATTTGCATTATACATTTCGTGCAGTTGTTATCATTGGCCCTAACTCTGGATTGTCAGCCAACAATATCAGCTCATGAAAACAAGGATTCATTTGAGGGCGTTTTGTTTATACTTGTATTCCGAAGACTGCCATGTCTAAACGTGTAGCTATAAGTAGTATCGGTGTAGCACCGCAAATATAACTGCATATGTAGACAGCAAACCCTCTAACAATAACCAGTAGCATTTTATTCTATGCTTTAGGCAAATATATATTTGTTCAGGTTTATACTGTATTTGAGTATATAACAGTACATATCTAGATAGTTTAATAACTCATTATACCTGTAATGAAATTCGGAGGCTTTGCAAAGACCGTGACCAGTAACATTAATAACAACATCGTTGTCTTCATCTTGAAAACCATATTTTATCTGCAACCTAAAACACATCAAAATGTCAATACATACTTTTACCATAATCATTTTAAAGTGGAACTTCAAACTTTACCATGACTATTAAACTAGAATCTAAATATTTGCCATGATTATTAAAACTGGAACTTAAATTGAGGGGTGTAAACGTATAACAGTCTCTGCAAGAATTTACTCGGGCCTCAATTTGTATGATAAATGGACAGTAAGTAATGACAAATACACTCTGAAAAGAGACCTTCCTTCAATCAAGTTAGGTGACGAAATATTTCTTCTAAAAAACAGATTTTTATAGCTTAGGGTATCTCTCCGTGAATACAAAGATTTGAAGAAAATCTTTGATAGATTAATTAGTTTGGAGATGTTTTTAGTCCAAATATATCATCAAATCACCCAGTTTGAACGCGGGAGGGTATCTTTAAACAAAACTAGAATATGAAACTTTACCGTGACTGTTTTGAGATAAGCACATGCATGGTAAGTGAAATTTACGAAGAATTCGCCGAATCATCAAAGAGAAATAAATTGAGGTTAAACATTCGACTTTGAAATTGCCCTCATAGCAAACTGCATTGCCAATATATAGGCCCGTTAAATCCCATTCCATTTGGTTGAAACGTTTTTAAATTCAATAATGTATGGAAAAAGACAATAAAAGTTACAGGTAAGTGAGAAAAAAATAGTATCAATTGCTTATCATTTAAACTATATCTGTAACTTTAAATTTAAATAAAATAATAGATTCATCCATCTTAATTAGACATCATTAAAACTAATCGAATTCTATATTTAGATAAAAAGAAAATAGTGTCATCAATCTTAATTGGATATCATTCAAATAAAATTCTATATTTAGATTAAAATGCTTGAATACAATCGGATAAGATTTATGAAGGTTTTTGTGTATACAGTGGCGTGCAGATTGGGCGACGGCTAGGACTTCAATGTTTGAGGTGCTGGGAAGGGCATTCAATCAGAGATTAGCATCAAATTAAAATTTTTGAAATGTGAATTTATCACTGTCAAATTTGTTGTTAAAACTGTCATGTTTCGCCATCTTTAAAATGTTTCCCTTTCTTACATTTGTCGGTATGAGGCTCTATATTTGAGTCCTAGGGCCGTGAAATCCAGGTGTTGACCTCGAGCATTACCAGAGCTATACACGCCTCTGTGTAGAATTTGTTCAACGTAGCGTCACAATAATAAATGTTATAACCAAACTTACCAGTAAAATAAACAAAGGATTGGATTCAAACAAAAACTACAACTTAAAACTATCTGTACAACTTTTATAAACAAACTCTTATGGATAAGAAATGACTGAATAGCGCTAATTCAGAGCATATTATATACCTATATGCCAAATCACGTGACTTACAGCCTAATTATACAGTACCGGTTCATTTTATAAATAAACGGTGGTGTAATCAGAAATTACATGTATTACCAGAAATGATGTAAAATATCGGGAATAAAACATTGCAATACACGTAGTACCGGAAATGAGTAAAATATTGTAAATAAACTGTCAATATATACGTGGATTAACCTGCAGTTTCAATGAACGTATGTCAGTACCCGGATCGAGACTTTCACGTCATTAGCGTCAATGTCGATATTATTGTATGATGACGAATAGATGTTTTGTTAAACTTCGGGGATTGTGTTTTATTTTAGAAAGAGGCTTGACAACGAAACGTAGACGATTTGTAATATTCTTAATGTAAATCAGATGACTCAAGACAGATCGCATCTTTGTTAAGATTATATCTGTTCTAGGTTAATTTGTTTTTTATTTTGATTGACGCATGTATCATTACAGGTCCATTGCAGCCGTGCAGCGTAGTGGGCGTTTACTGCTGGCCACCCGATCCATTGACTTGATTTGATACGGTTGTTGTATATTACATGTATTGTGACACACTGATCAGCAGTGAATATTCGCTAGGCCGCTATAATCTCTCATAAGGATGACATCGGTGCGGCGTTATGAGCCCTCAATATTACCTACTTTGCTTCTGCAAATTAAATTCTAGAACATATTTTTCAAGCATTTAAAAAAATAAATAAAGGTGTTCAAAGTAGAGGTAGGTCAAAAATAATATGTCCTGTTTAGTGTAAATGGGTATATAAAATGAGTAAAAGGCACCATTCTGCCCGGGCCAGTAACGTCTTATGTAAACAATGCACGCGCCATTGAGTCAATTCACTCCACTCTAATCCTACATACATGTATGCACCTAAATGACCAGAAATATTGTCTCGGAGATTCTGATTTTGTAACATTCCACCAGACCTCGATCACGCCGACCAAACTTTATGTTCTCTCCACCCCGTTTAATTATGTATATGAATATTTATGTTGTGATAGTTGTTTAATTTGTCTCGGATATATCACGGTCGGTCGGTCAGTCGGTCGGTCCTGGTGTTTAACGTAGACAAGCATGCATCACCGTATGTTTGGCGCAATATAGCCCAGTTGGAGCTGACGTTCAATAAAACTCATTACACACTGGACCCTTTGTTCTGACTCGGGTGTTCAAGTTACTGATCAACCTGTAATTGGTTGTTTTAGCACGTGCACAGGTGATCATTTGAGGAAAGGTAGGTGTTCATATAAATGAACACCCCAACATACTAACCCGGTGATTGTGAAATCAGACCACGCATTTTCGTGCGTGCACGGTATTAGAAATCACAAGAAACACTGTGTGAATTTAAAAAGATAAACAATAAATAAATATTTTTTCAATTTAGATTGTGAAATAGTTTCATTAGCTAGAAAACGCATCCAATAGTATAAGGAATAAATACACAAAACCTAGCGAACTGGGAGAAATTTCTGTTTGGTCATGTTTTAGATAATTGTAATCTTGTAAAATAACTTTCCTACATCATCGCACATGCTATTTTGTTGCACATGGTTAGTTTGTTCTGTGGTTGGCAATTCCTGAATGTAAAACGTATTCCAGTCAATGCAGCATACCCCATTCACACCAAATTGATATAACATTATTCATTGGCCTGTTGTGCGTTTTAAAGATAGGGGTGTCGCATATTTATTTCTTTTGTCGGTAGGGAGAGAGAAATGGGGTTTAACATCCACTCGACACAAACTAGGTCATTTCGGGACTCACATGGTTCAATTTTATTTCAAAAATTCGTTTGCGCGTCGGGGTCCTTAGCAGTGGGGGGAAACCGGAGGACCCGGAGAAAACCCACGAGGTTGGATAGGCTACCCTACACCTTGTCACGTACAACCGGGGAATCGAAACCACGCCGGTTGACTAAACGACAGACCTTACGATACAACGCGCACGCGCTAACCATTCGGCCATCGACCCCCCCCCCCTTGTCGGTAAGGAAAACATTTACAACACATTAAAATATAATTACGAATAAAAACCCATTAAGTAATTGTCATACTTGTTTGGCTTCTAATTCTGCCCTATACTGACTTTGAGTACTAAAAACATTAAATATCAAGGGCCATAAATCTGGAAGTCATTATCGGAAATCATTGAAAATCAACAGGATTCGTCATCTCATGACCATAATTGACGGGAGCGACGACAATATACGACATTTTGGCGTATAAAAAAGTGTCGAAAACCGGGAATCAGCAAATAGGCTTAAAATACATTTATGCACATACCAATCCACATTTCTTAATAAAAAGTGGCGTTGGAATGATCTGATTTGTATGCATCGTAAATAAACAGGTATACACATATTCAGGTTATTGACCCACTCCCTAATCTCTGAGTAAACAACAATATATTATGACGTGCAAAATAATATATTGATACCTGTTTTAGACGAATTGGTAAAATTATTTTGTGTGATAAACTTGCGTCTCTCTCATATCCGCCCATTTTCATTGACTCATTCAACTTCTTACACAAAGAATCCAGTGTGTAAGTCAGTTACCGACCTTCGACCCTCGGGGTCAAGTTAGATGAACACCCGAGCTCGCGCAATTGAACACTTCGAACGCTGACGCGTTCTCGGTGTACAACTTTGCACGAGCTCGGGAAAATTTTGAAAAATGAACCCCAAATATGCGATTTAGTGGCATATCTGATTATAATCTCTGTCAAATAATATATCTCATAAATTGATTAATTTAGGCCAAAACCCCGGCCTGCAAGTAATTTATAACCATCAACCTGTGAAATTATCATATCGTCATATTATTAATTAACGTATTATCATTGTAACGTTAAGAGTCAAGAGAATTTAACTGGTTAAAAAATGGGACTAGTTGAGAAAATTTTGACCATTTGATTAACCAGTTAGGAATATTGAATAAGTAGGAATATATAAAACATGATCAACATCGCTCCATGGCCGGTCCAATACCCCCCCCCCCATATAATGTTCAGCAGAAAAAGGGTTTTTAGACGAATTGGACAAAATTAATTTTTTCATTTTTTGACCGACCGGCCCTTCGGGCGATCGCCCGATCCGCCCGTGTGAGTGGGCGTCTCTCTCCGGTTTCCACCCACTGCTAAAGACTCCTACGCGCAAGCGAATTATTGAAATAAAATTGAACCATATGTTAGTCACGAAATGACCTAATTTGTGTCGAGTGGATGTTCAACTCTCTCTCTCTCTCTCTCTCTCTCTCTCTCTCTCTCTCTCTCGTTATACTTACCGAATAAACTACTGTTAAATCCTTTCTTTACAAAGTGCCCGAAATAACAAAAAACAATCCAGAGTGAAATAACCAAAAGATACTATCCTTTCATTGCTTTGAGGAAAAGAATTTTAAAACACATCTATTATTATCACGCATGCATGTTTATACATTGCACTGTTGACCAGCTATGGGTATTCCAGAATAAATAAATAGCGCGATATTTCAATATAATATTATAACTTCCAACCAAATATAACCAACCCTTTGTTTGGTTAATAAAAATGTTATTGCTATAAATTCGTTGCCTGTGTATGTGTTAATCTAAAGCCCGTCTTTCACAAATACATAAATATAATTAGTTCTTTCATTACCAAAACACGTCATTCACAAATATATTACACTGGGCTTGTCTCTCAAAATATTAACAACAAAAGTATTAGTAGTCTGACTCACACGTGGTATATTAGAACCATTTGGGTCATTTATATCCCGGATGTAAAAGATCATGTATCCAATCGCTGTCAAGACACCCTGGGAAATCCATACATGAATGACTATATATATATATATATATATAGACTAACCGCTTAAAATACAATACATGATTACTACCTGTATCCATCATGTCCCATAAATTTAAGCTACTTTACTATTCACCAATCACCGTCCAGAAACGCTATAAAACTACCAAAATTTCCTCTGAATTTGAAGTAAACACGGTAATGATTAATGTTTATATCGCGGGGACTTGATATATCGTGACAAACTGACCTTTTCAACTTTTATATTTACTAGTATGTATACACGATACTCGATGACCTCTTGTTAACCTTGACAATATTAAAGCTCTTGATTCAGCTAGAGTTGAAACAGGTTTATTCAGATTGTTAAAATTCCTCTCAAGACAGTCGATGTTTACAAGTCAATGTTGTCAAGTATTACGTCATATATTTTTACACCGCTGTATTCAGGTTCAATGTAACCAGCTTCACACCTTTATATATTTACAGGTAAATGAATCTAAATCTTCCATGTTTGCATTAGCGAACAGGTCAAGGATTTGATGGAAACATTATATTGCCCCCCACCCCATCCCAAACACATAATAAAAAATAAAAAACAATTTACAAGGTAGTAAGTATTGGAGAATATAGATTTCATGTAGTGAGAGAGAGAGAAACTGGGTTTAACGTCCACTAGACACAAACTAGGTCATTTCGTGACTATGGTTTAATTTTATTTACATAATTCGCTTGCGCGTAGGGGTCTTTAGCAGTGGGAGGAAACCGGAGGACCCGGTGAAAACCCACGAGGTTGGACAGGCGACCCTACTCCTTGCCACGTACAACCGGGGATTCGAAACCACGCCAGTCGACTCAATGACAGACTTTATGATACAGCGCGCGCACGCTAACCATTCAGCCACCCCCCCCCTCCACTGATAAAGACCCCTACGCGGAAGCGAATTGTGGAAATAAAATTGAACCATATGTTACTCCCGAAATGACCTAATTTGCGTCGAATGGACGTTAAACCCCATTTCTAGCTCTCTCTCTCCAATAATGGTCAAAAATATTTCAGTGGTCTGAAACCTACCTGTTAACAGATAGTGCTATTTAATGATTCATTATTAACCTGTAAAATCAATTCAACAGTCCCAATAATGATTTGAATCCTAACTATCCAAACAATTAACACTACCACAGAACTGTAAAATCCTCTTAATAAAACAATAATATTCTCAATAATTTGAATTTCAATTTATCATTTAAGTTTACTGAAGGAAAACCTATCTACTTTGTATTACACGCCCTATGACCTATTCGATACTTTCAAGCTACGACTTCCATTATACAGGTAAAACCTGTTTGAATGATACACAACTATTTACCTGTGAAGTTTCGTGAGTTAATTACTAATACCTATATGATGTAAAACAACCCTGAACATTTGCTAATTGATTAGAAATTCCACACAAAAATTGAATGCGAATTATTTTACACACTCGTATTAAATTACGAGAGCATCGCTAACGCTGCAATATACGTCCACATTCCAGCTTTGATTGATATTGTACTTTTTAAAATGAAGAGAATGAAATAGGAAATGACTGTAATATGATAAGAGGCAAAGAGGGCTAGGCAATGGGTTTGTTTTGACAAAATTACAGACAAAATACTAACAAAAAAGTGGGTGTGACACTGCCCAGGGGGTCAGAGCAAGCATCAAAATAAATAGTTGCTGTCTTTACAGTATAAGGAATAAATATGCAAAGATCCAAGATGATCCATTCAGAATTTCAGCCTGTAGACGATAAATACAAAAAATGGGCATGGCGCTGCCCGGGTGGGAGGGGGGGGGGGTGGATATGGAAACAATATAAATAGGTACCATCATGTTATTGAAATGACAAGATCAATAGTTGCCGTCCTTAGGGTGTAAGGAATAAGTATATTCAAGTTCCAAGATAGTCCATTCAGAATTGTGGCCTTTGGGCGCTAAAGGCAAAAGTTGGGCGTGGCTCGTCCCCTGGGGGCATTCACCAAAATCAATAGTTGATGCCCTTAGGCTATAAGGAATACATATGTCAAGTACCAAGTTGATCCATTCATAATTCCGGCATGTAAACGATAAACACAAAAATTGGGCGTGGCTCAGCCCCTGGGGTTCGGGATATGCAGTTGTCGTTCTTAGGCTATAAGGAATACATATCCCAAGTTCAAAGACAATCCATTAAGAATCGTGGCATGTAGGCAACTCACAGAGACACAAAGAAAAAATGGATGTGGTTCTGCCCCTGGGGGTTGGGCAATCACCAAAAATCATCAGGGGGCATCCTTAGGCACACAAACATTGCGCGTGCGTCTGTCCCAGGGGGTCGGGCTGGCACCAAAAATAATAGAGGTCAGTCTTAGGGTATAAGGAATAAGTATAAAAAAGTTTTCAAGATGATCGATTAAGCATTGCAGGCTGTAAGTGACATACAGACACACAAAAAGGAAATGGCGGTGGCTCTGTCCCTGGGGGCTGGGCATTCACCACAAAGAATAGGGATGTTCCTTAGGATAGAAGGGGTAAGTATGCAAAGTTTCAAGGTTAAGAAATGCGGTCTGTAGATGACAGACAATGAATACAAGAAATGGGCGTGGCTCTGCCACTGAGGATCGGGCATGCCACAAAAACAATAGGGATCATCCTTAGGGTATAAGCAATTCATATGAACTTTTTTCAAGACGATCGATAATTAAGAATTATGGCCTGTAGGCGACACACACACACAAAATAGGCGTGGCTCTGCCCCTGGGGGTTGGGCATGCACCAAAAACAATCGGGGTCATCCTTAGGGTATAAGTACTATAAGGAATAAGTATGTAAAGATTCAAAATGATCACTTAAGAATTGTGGCCTGTAGGCGACACACAGACACACTAAAAGAAAATGTGCGTGGCTCTGTCCTTGAGAGGTGGGTATGCACCCCAAACGATAGAGATGTTCCTTAGGGTACAAAGAATAAGTATGCAAAGTTTCAAAATGATACGTTAAGAAATGCGGACTGTAGACGACAAGTAAACAAACATAAAAAATGGGCGTGGTTCTGCCCCTTGGGGTGGGACATGCACCAAAAACAATAGGGATCATCCTTAGGGTATCAGGAATAAGTATGTAAAGTTTCAAGAGGATCACTGAAGAATTGTGGCCTGTAGGCGACACACAGACACACACACAAACACATATACTGAGCAACATGGAAAACGCATCACTTTTTCGCCCAAATATTTTATTACTAGGTGGTTTTGTATGTATAATATTATGCAATACTATGAACTATTGTTTCACACAATGCTCCCAAACGCAAAAAATATCGGCCCGTGTGCACCAAAAAAATTGTACGAGATGCACATGAAAAACCCAATATTCACGTGCAGCATTGTGTGTGAGCCCTTTAAAAGCATGTTTTCAACTTAATGTGCAGTACATGAATTGTGAAACGTCAATCTGTCGTAATTTGTTGTTGAACGTGTGAAGGAATCGAGCTAGAGATGCCGAGACTTACTGAAAATCAACGGAATGAAGCCATGAGAATGTCCCCTGCTGGCATGTCTACACGTGCTATTGTCAGACACTTCAATTGTCCACTATTGTAAGGTTGGTGGAACGTGTTCGAGTTACTGGATCAACACGTGACCGTCAACGTCCTGGTACACAACGCGTTACAACCCAGGCTCAAGACCGCTACATCCGAATCACTCATCTGCGTGACAGATTCCGCCCAGCGTCTCGAACAGGTGCAGCAGTCGTCGGAAGACAAGGACCAGTAAGTGCCAACACCGTAAGACGTCGTCTAAGAGAAGTAGGACTCCGTGCACGACGACCTTATGTTGGAGCTATACTCAGAGATCATCACCGTCCGCGACGTTTGATATGGGCGCAAGGACACCAGACATGGAGAAGAGTAGACTGGCAAAGTGTGCTCTTCAGTGATGAGAGTCGCTTTCATCTTTGTCACGCTGATTGCCGTCAACGTGTGTGGAGACGTCTTGGGGAACGTCTTGCAGACTGCTGCGTCTTCGAAACGAATCGATGGGGTGGGGGGAGTGTAATGGCGTGGGGAGGCTTCACATTTCATCACCGGACCGCCCTACAAATTTGCAGGGGTCGCGTTAATGCTGTAGCCTACCGTGATGATGTCTTGCAACCAATTGTTGTTCCGATGTTTCGAGCGCACCCACAACTTCAGCACTTCCAACAGGATAAGGCACGTCCGCATACCGCCCGTTTTAGTATGGACTACCTGGCTGCTAACAACATCAATGTCTTGGACTGGCCAGCCATGTCTCCGGACATGGCACCGATAGAACATGTTTGGGATGAGATTGGACGCCGTCTGTATCGGAGACCACAGATTCACACTATTGCTGCTTTAGAAGCTGCTCTTGTCCAAGAATGGAACAATTTGCCCCAGGCCTTCTTTCAAACATTGGTTAATTCCATACGACGTCGCTGCACAGCGTGCGTAAGAGCCCGTGGAGGACACACGCGCTACTGACATCTGTGTCGCACTTTTGGTTTTGACCCCTCTGACTTTGTACCGTTGATTACAGATTAAACATCCATAAGTGTACAAATGTGTTGTTATTGATGTGTTCCCATTTGAATATTGTTTACAATAAGAAGCAAAATAAATAAGATATGTTTACAGGATCATTTTGTTATACGAAAAACTAAGTGATGCGTTTTCAATGGCGCTCAGTACACACAGACAGGGGCGACGGCAATATACGTCCACTTTATGGATGTGGACGTATACAAATGTGCTTTTAGAGAAAATGAATGATGATAATAAATATAGCTGGCCTTAAAATTATGAAGAACATTAATGCTAATAAAGGTTCCAAAGATACTGTAAAATAAAGTAAATGCGTCCATTCTAGATGATTATTTTATTACTGACATGTTTCATACAATTTTCAAAGTAATGTAGGTAACT